GACTGTGGATTTTTCATAGAGAAAGGCATCTGAACTTCTTTATAAATGTCAGATTTTTCTTCAGAAGTCTAAAATTTTAAGAGCTAGAGTTTCAGGTCTGACGAAGAACTTAGTTGAAAACCATTTAAGTTTTCCCCCCAATAAATTAATCACTGTTAGTCAGAATTTGGACACATCTTTTTGCTAATAGCCAATCTTTTGTGAGCAACATATTTTTGTGATTGAAAATCAAGGCACAAATTTGGTAAAAAATATTCCCTGATTTTGTGTTGGTGTTTCAGATGTTTTTAATCCATCTTCAGCGATTGTCATCATCTTTGTACGGTAAAGGTCACTTCCTGTCAGAATGTTGGTCAACAAAGTTCTTCATGTGAACCACAGTCATCATCACCATCATGTCGAGCATCAAGGGAGTTATCCCACCGGATTTTTCCATTCCCACAGAGGGGGAAGTTTCCACAACATCCCAGAGATGTGAAGCAGGCTGGTTCTCATGGAAATGGGACGCTGGTGTTGTGATAATGAGTCTGGAGATCTATGGCTCAGATACTGCGACGGATTTAGAATGACTGGGAGAGGACTGGTGTCTGTGATCTCACTGGGTGACAGAGTAACATTTGCTGCGATGATGAACCCACCATTCTGACAGCTTGATGATAGGAATTGTGTTTGCAGATTGGTTTGTGCTTCATTAAATCTGATTCTTATTTGCACATGCCAGCGCTGAGTTAAATGCTGTCATTACTCTGGCTCTAAATATAACTTTGGCCACTATTCAGCAATTTTCTGAAAGGGATGGGTATTTATTTGGGCACAGGCTAAAATTAAATGACTGGATAAACACTGCAGTCATTTAAGTTAAAATTAACTCTCAGACTTGGACAGATTGGGATGTTATGACTGTCATAAGAAGCATTATTATGTTGACTGTCATCATAATTATTGAGCTGCAAAAGCTGCTGATATCTGGACCTTCCCACACATTGGATTCATCCAGTAATTCTCTATGATTTTCTTTTCTGATAGTTCCCATGAACATGTAATGCTCAGAATATTCCATCATGTGAATGAGGTTATAATGCTAAAGATAGAAATTCTTAAAATGCATTATTTTGGTGAAGTAGTGCTCAAAATATAGAGAGTGGATATTTTTACTGAATATATTTTTATTTTTATCCTGTGGAGATCACTTGATCTACATTTCTGTAAAAAAAATTATTCTGATCATGTTCTGACCGGCCACTTTAATTAAACTTGAGTTTATTTATGTAGAAAGTCCAGTTCGTTTGGGGAGGTGTGAACACGCAATTAAACTCTGATTTGGACCAAAACGGCGAACGCTAGTCCCCCTACAAACCTATAGGTCTCGGTTCAGTTGAAGTGAAGTCTGGTGCATTTCGAATGTGTAGGTGGATGCCAAGCGGACCAGAAACTGCTCCAAAAGCAGGAAGCAGACTGTAGTGCAGAGCATTCTGGGTAAAGGCAACCAAAGCAAACACAAAAATTTAGTGCTCATGGGAAAAATGGCGGGAAAAGTCCTACAGCCTCTAAAATCTGACACGACTCCAGTTTTGTTTACATTTAGTGAAGAAGAAAGTTGCGCTCAAACTCTTTTGTGTCGTTTCCTTCAGTGGTTCTTGGTGCAGCGCCACCAAAGGTGAGAGAGTGAACAGGTTCTTCAAAGGGTTTGATTCGTTTGACAGTGCAATGTGGAAGAGAACCAGCTGAAAATGTAACAAATTTCACAATTTTGTTTCCTAATCTACTAGATTATCATGTGTGAAAACGCACTAAGACTCTGTATAAAAGGAGACAAAAACAAAGTAATTACACCCCTGACAGATAGGCCTTCTCTATAAAAGAGAGAACCAAACATGTTAAACTGGATGCTAATGGTGCTGCATGAGTCAGCTGGCGAAGCAGGATGTCTTCAGTTCCAGGTCTGATTCCATTTGCTCTTATCATCTTGCAGCTGATGCACATTCCTTAAATGATCAAGTTTAACTTGATGCTACATTGTGTGAGAGAGCTTAGTGATGAGGAAATGTCTATTCTACTGCTTCCAGCACCTCCTGAGAAGGCTGCTTATCAAACTGTTTCTGTTCCCTCGTCGTCCTTGGATCATGTTTGCTTCCACCAAGGCTACGTGCAGACAGAACCATGACCCACTTCCTGTTCCCTTTTTATATGAAGGACTCAAAATTAACAAAGCTTTTCCCGGTCCATTTACTGAGCATCTGGATTTGAACTGCCCTGTTCTTTGGTTTCTGCTGAGAAACTGAAAATGCATGGATGGATCCATCCATCCATCCATCCATCCATCCATCCATCCATCCATCCATCCATCCATCCATTCTTTCATTTATTTATCCAACCCCAAATCATCCATCTCTGGAAAATTAACTTTTGACATGAATATTCAGAACATTTTATATTTTACTGGTATGTAAATATTTCTTTACCTATTTTTAAAACAGCCTAGTTCAAACCTGAGGTCAGTCATTTTGATTTTTGGTTCATATTATGCATGTGCCATGTATGGACCTGTATAAGAACCAAGAGCAGAAATGCAACTGTTTCACACCATCAACAGAAAATGTAAAACCAAAAGTAAACCATGATGGAATTGTTTTAAACCTAGTTTCATTCATGAAGGGAGCTGATCATTAGCGTGCAGCAACAGTTGTGGGAGGGGTAGCATTTCAACATTATTTTGCGTACTGCCATGTGCAGTTTGGTCTCTCCAGCACGTCTCTTACTTTTCAGCCAATGTATTAAAAAAGTGCGATGGTTTTGAAATTAACTTTTTAAAATCTAGGGTTTGACATCAGCTGATTTTACTGGGAAAAATGAGGTAATTGTTAATCATCATTGGAATAGAAATATCTGGCTACTGGCTGCCCTGACAGGAATATCAGCACCATCCATGGAAAAAGCTGTAAAACTAAAACCTGATTTGACATCATTTGTGATAAATTAATTTTATGAAGTGTGATGTTGTCATGAATTTAAAACTATTAAGTGTGTTTCCAGTGAGACAGAGTTTCCACATATTTCTCCCTGAGGAAGATGAATGTCCTGCAAAAACATGTCTGGGAGGTGGAATGACCAGCAGAGGGTAGAGCGTCTTAAATCCATCGTGTCTGACGAGAAACATCTTAGTGCCCAGATGTTCCAGCTGAATGACACACACTCTCAATAAACATGTATTAGTGAGTCAGGCAGTGAGCAGCAGTGATAACAGTGATTTAAAGCCCATGTGCTGTGGAATCAGCAGGTCAGTCCCAGAAAAACAGCAACAGATGCTCCCTCTGTGTGTGTGGCGGCATCCGTGTGTGTGTGTGTGTGTGTGTGTGTGTGTGTGTGTGTGTGTGTGCATATTCACAGTTGTGTAACCATTGTGATTCACTCCAGGGGCTTGTGGTTTTAAATCTGCAATTGCTGTGTGTTTTTATGTCTGTATGTGTGTAAAAATGTTTCATTTAAAATGGCTTGAGTCTTTTTTTGGGGTCCTTCACACAACCTGGAAGAGACATAATGATAAAAATAGCATGAGTTGGATTTAAAGGAAACTTGCCAGTAGCTCTGACATGATAACAAATTTTGCTGGATAATAAATTTTTCCAGTAATTATAGCGATAAACAATAACATTGTTGTTTTGAGACCATTTTCAATTAAAGTATCTCTGGAAAAAATAAAGAGATCACTGGACAGAACTCTGAACTCTTCCTGAGTAAAAACATTAGTATTGCTGTGTCTTTGCACTGCAAGCACTGCAGCTTTTTTGTTATTTTGACAATTTCTTGTTTTCTGAAAATAAATACTACATTTTTGCTTGGAATTTTGGAGACATGTTATCAATAGTTCATAGGATAAAACAACAATGTTCATTTAACTCAAACATATAGCTATAAAAAGTAAAATTGGAGAAATTGACATTTTTAAATGATCTGTTAATTGTTTCCAGGCCTGTATGTTGATCATTTTTACTCCCTCAGACCTGTAAGGTGTTGATAATGTGGATGATGTGGCTAAAGCCTCAATCTCTCTAGTCTATTTGCATTATTATATAACATTTTATATATATTTTATTGCATCAAATATACATCAGCTTTAACATTGGTATCAGCTGATGTTAGTCATTTTCTTTTAACACATTGGTTCTGGTACCAGAAACAACACTGGGCTGATATGTATAATTGATGTTTATGTCCATCTTGTTACTGTTTGTGTTCATGTTCAAGGAGCGGGAACGGAGGATGTTGGTCATGTTAAACTGAAGGAGAGATGCAATGTTAGTAGTAATATTAGTTTTAAGGTGATGAAAGGGTAGGGAAATGTAAATATTGATAAATGTCACTATCGTCACTGTAATATTAATATTGTGTACTAATATTGGCCCAAATGTTCATACCCACTGATGACGACTGCTGTTTAAAGTGGAGGTTCTTCTATGATTTAACATGCATTACATTTACCTGGGCAGGTAATTAACTTACTGCTTTCAAATATCATCCATTATCATCCACCAAATGAGAAAGTCTGTGCAGATATGAAAACTTTTGGATGACTGTTGTTGTCATCAGTGTGTTAGGGCTGTGGAATAGAAATGTTTTGTGTATTTTCTGAAATTTTGCATGCTTGCTGCACCCAAGTGCAGGTGTCATGTGGGCGAGACAAACTAATGCTGATGTCAGTGTTATGTAAGAGCTGTGATGTCATCACGCTGAGCTCCTTGGCCTGCTTTCATGGTTAGGTCTGTCGTTTTTAAATCCATAAGGTCAACACAGCAACGCAACCTGACCTTCAGCACTCACACACCAGCTCTATTTCCGCATCTTAAATGTCAATATTTACGGCACTGTAATTACTTCAAACATTGTTTGTTCAAAGTCAAATAAGATGGAGTCTTACAGTGCCTGCTGGTTTGATGTACAGATGATTTTCTGAAGTACAAGTAAACTCCTTTCATTAATATTTATGTTTCTTCTGTCTGCAGAACTCGGAACCTTTCTGGTGGTTCTCCGAGGCCCCGACAAGCTAAGAAGATCCACTTCATTAAAAACATGAAGCAGTACGACACCAGAGGCAGCAGGTGGGACACAAACAGAAACATGTTATTGTTCTGCACCATTAACCTATAGATTATGGAAATCCTGTGCAAAAACAAAGTCTGATCCAGCTTTTCTGTTTGTCACAGTTAACTTTTCTGCTCTAGAGCGAGTGTAGATAGAAAAAAAGAAAATATCCACCAAAAAACACAGAAGTTCATATTTATCAAAAATTTTGTAGAAAAACTTTGGAAATTTAAGAGTTTCAAAGTGAAAATTTGCTAGAAGAAACTCAGAAATTTTGACATTAATCACAGAAATTTTCTAGGTAAAACAAGGCAATTCAAAAGTAAAACAAATAGAACTTGCAACTTTCAAACTTGAGCAAGGACAGGGAGAAACAAATGAAAGAGTATGAGGGTCATTATTTAAAAAAAAAAGTAAATTTCTGTCAAAAAATTTAAAATTCTGAGATGAATCTCAAAAAACTTTTATTAAAACTTGGAAATTTCTGAATTTCAAGTCTAAAATTTACTGAAGTTTTGAAATGAGTCACATAAATCTTCTAGAAAATGTCTCGTTTCTAAAGTTAAAAAAATTTGGCTTTTGAAACTCAGAAATTTCAGTTTTTCTAGAAAATTTCTGAGATTAATCTAAAAATTTCCAAATTTTTGGCAGAAATGTTTTTTTTTTTATTTTTATAATGGCCCTAATACGCTTTCATATGTTTCACCTTGTCCTTGATTAAGTTTGAAAGTATAAGTTTAATTTTAGCCAACACTGTTCCATTGCTGCAGCCAAGTGTACATCCAGGTGCTGCAGCATGCTGAGCCTTCCTGTTCACACCGTTTGAAGTTACTGAAGAACAACAGCAATAGAAAGGAAGGTCAGGCCAGCTGGCTGGCACGCCAGGCCTCTAAATATCTGTGCAGCTTAAACAGAAGTGACACGAAGGCTGCAACAAACACCAGTAGGAAGCATTTTAGCGCGCATGCACAAGTGTTATTGTCAGGACTAATCACTCACTGCTTCTCCAAAGAAAATTATGTTGAAACAGCAGAAATCCAGATCTGCTCTTGGACATCTGCCGTTTGTTTTAACCCCGCTGAGCTGCACATTCCCAGCAGTGAGTCACTGTTGTCCTTTGACAGCGGACTGGCTCTTGGAAAACCTGTGATGCATTTATGGAAATATGGAGATGCAAGGTTTAGTAGTTAACCTGTTAGAAAATCTCAGTTATTATGTCTCAAATCTAAAAATGAGTGTTGATGTTCCGAGTGCAGAGTACTCTGAACATAAAAGCCCTGAGGCTTTTATTGTGAAGGTGTAAATTAGACACTTGTCAAACAGCTTCAGGCTCATGTTCTTGTTTTCCTGTCCTGCTGAGAACAAGCAAGCTGTGGAATAATTTACACTGCTACTCAGACATACAGACCAGACCATCCTGAATATCAAAACACTAAAGAAAAGCAACCTTATAGGCAACCAGAAGCTACAGGAGGCAAAACAGTCGAGTCATTTCCTGTCTCTGTATAGAAAGAGGACAAAAATATCTTTAAAAAGCCTTTCTAGTAGTTATAAACTGAAACAGGCTGCTGCTTTTAGCATTGCAGCTCAGGTTGAAATATTTCTGTGTCTGAGGTGGTGTGTTTAAGAAACATGAAAAAAATTTTTTGAAAGGTTTATATAGAAATGCATGGACTGTCCCTCACTGACAAACTAATAACACTGGTTTCAGGAATTAACACTGTAAAACGTTACAGCCAGGGAGAACTCTTTGGGTCTAATTATTTGGTAGTGATGCCAAGAAAATACCTTTTCTGTATCGATTTTAAAATCTCCATTGACTTTAAATGCAATTTGATGAGACAAATGTGGAGCTTTTCATCAACAAACATTAAAGTTGTGCTTGGAAATAAATATTTCCACTGTCAACCTTCTTTTGTAATGAACAAGGAAAGGAGATTATGACAAATTATAAATAGAAATCTGGCAAAAAAAAAAAGAAAGAAAACAAGTTGTCTATGGGTCAGGAGATAAGTTCCTGCTGTGTATTTTTATCATATAATAACTATGCTCAAATAAAGGTTGTATTTTCTTTCATTTTCACTGACATGGACAACAGGAGGAAGTGTGGCACTGCTGGGGAAGCCTGGACTTTGTCAATCTGAAGTGTTCACTTCTATTCTCGTCCTTCCTGCAGAGAGCATAAATTAAACCTGGGCATCAAGAGAGCTGAGGACAGTTTATCAGCGTGAGAAATGATTGTTGTAAAAACAGGTCCAGCTGGGAGCATTGAGACATGTTTGTAGTTTAGCCAAGATTATCATTATTAATTGGAATTAATAATCGTAACAATAAATCTGAATTCTTCTAGGAGATGTATCACAATAAATGATAAATACTACAAAAAATGTCCAGCCCTTCATAAAACCTTTGTCTTAACTGAGGATCAAAACATTCCTTACATAAATAAATCTTATCTCAAATGTTTTGGACAGAAGGAAAAGTGTTAATAAACCCATATCAGTCAACAAAAACATTTCATTTGTGACAAAAGTTTGTTTTCCTCTGGCTGTTTTTCAGAGTCTAGTTGCTCTTTCATTGCACTCTCCTTTGGCCCGTTCTTAGACATGGAGCAAACTCAGATTGGCAAATGGAAAACCCCCATTAGCTCTTTATTGTGCTTCTCTTTAACCTTTGATGAGTAATGGTTACAGAATGTTTAAATGGAGCCAGATTAAATACAAAGCTCAGCAGAATCCTGTGTTGAATTGAGGGATTAGTACTTTCTGTTTTTTCCTGATCAGATTTTATGTTATGAGTCAAAAAATCCCTTCATTAAATCTCCGTTTTGCTGCGATTTCATTTTTCAGGTTCCTCCAACTTGATTTGCTGCCACCTTGGTTTCTGTTTCTGCACCTCAGCTTATTTTAGAAATGATCTGACAAAATGAAGCAATATTTTTCTTGTCTAGTTGGTAGATCTGTATAATTTATTTCTTGCCTTTTTTTATTTTAATATCAATCTCAGTAAATTCAATCTCAGTAAATTCATATTGGTTCATAAAAAGACAAAAATTATTTTTAATGGAATTTGAAATAAACGTCTACAAATAAATAAATAACATGTAGTTCAGAGGTGTCCAAAGTGCGGCCCGGGGGCCATTTACAGCCTTCTGAAGGATTTTGTGTGGCCCCAAACCTCAGAGCAAGTTTAGGTGGTTCATGCAAATGGACACAATTTTTTTTTATCTAGAGCTAAAAAAAAATTTCAGATAAATAACATCTTTAAAAAAAAAAAAGATACAAATTTCCATTTATCAACATTTCTGCAAACTATGACCTACTTTTGCTCAACACAAATCATTCAAGTGTTCACTTCTATTCACAAAAGAAAATAATCAACCCTAAAAAGTTAGAAACTGTTTACCTGTCTTATGATAACACAATTTTGGAAATCCTTTTTTTACATTTTTCTCTGCAATTATTGAATAAAAAAGGGGAAAAAGCCCAAAAAGTTTGTTTTTTGAAGGTCGAAAGGTTCAATTTCCCGATTTTGGCCCAAAAGGTTTGGACAACACTGGTGTACTAGTTAGAAGTTATCAAACAAATAAGCACAACTGAACAAGTGTAGAAGTGTAAAATGACTTCCATGTTCCAACATCTTTGCTGAACCCAAAATGTTGTCAGATGATTAATGTTTTGGGGAATGGTCTGCTGCTCGTCCTTTTCAACTAGCTCTCCCGCCTCCATTTCAACATTTGAAATTTCCTCCATTTTCTCAACCTTATCATCTCTTTCACTTCTTTTTACAAACTGGATGGGGGTTTTAAAACACCCAAAATACAGACATGAGCAAAATTACGTCAATCTATGTCATACATTTTGGTGTTAATTTTCAGTTTATTTTAATTTCGAACCTCCAGATCACCAATTCGATCTGGAGGTCTGTTATGAAGTCAGTTATGTGACAATGCCACTGGATGTTATGAAAACAGCTCGGTGAACTTGAGGTCTCCCCAGCTGGGTTCTGACTGCAGCAGTCATGTTGTGATTGGTCCACTGCTTCCTCTCCTCTGCTTGGCGACTTCCTGTTCTTGACTTTCCCACTGATCATCAGAGACAAGCTGGGCGACCGTGTCGAAGGTCCACTTTGAGATAAAGCCCCCCCCCTGAAAATCTAAAAACAAAAGCTTTTTTTTTTTCACTAATCCCTTAGCTATAGAGCCAATGTCAGCGCTAATCTCATAAAGCCATGCATGCCATATTAGCCAAGGTTTCTTTTAAATCTCTGTTTAATTTGTGAATATTGTTAAATCCAGTTTATGTAACCACTTCAGCAGATTTGCTGCTCTCTCTGCCAGCGTTCTGATTAACTTCAGAGCTGATCTGGCTGCGTTTTAGTGTAGCATCTGCTTCGCTTTAGCAATTTTAAAACAGGCTGCTTGTAATTTTGTGGTCATCCTCATTGTTTTGCGTCACTCCGACACTGACCTCTGTTTCAGAGAAACACAAGGTCAGTAAATATGAAGTTGTCCAAAGGCTTCATGTTGAAATCGGATAAGCATGTGGTTTGTGTTTTCACACACTTGTCTTAATTGTGAGCCTAAGTGTTGCAGTGTAAACATGTTTCTCCAGAGCGGCTCTCCTCAGGGGTTTGAGCTCAGTAGGAGATGCTTTAAAAACACACACACACGCACGTACACACACACACACACTCTCTCTCACACTCCAGGCGGAGCACTGATGAGACGTCATAGTTAACACATCAAAGCATAGATGCATGAAAAGCAGCTTTCTTCTTTAAAAAAAACACAAAATGATTTCATTTGTAAGTAGGGGCGAGGATTTATCATATCGTTGATCATTTATTCTGATATTTTTTATCATAATTAGAATTTTTATTTCTCGTTCTCATGATAAATCTCAGTAAATAATGTTTGAAGCCTCCCAAAACTGTCTTTATTGAAATTTTTATTGAAAAAGGATAAAATAGGACGACTATCAATAAATATCAGTACATTTGAAAATATGTGTGCAGTTTAGTGATAAAAATCGCATTTCTTAATGGACTAGTGTCTTGAAGAAACATTACAAATAAGAATGTTTTTCAAGAGCAGTGTGCGTTTGTGGGGCTGGGATTTTGCGACATGCAGTCACAGCCTTAGAAAATAAGTAATAAGTTCTCATCAACACTTTCATCATTATCACAGTGGTACCTCAAAATATTTTGATAAAACTTTATGTTCATATTGTCCACTCCTATTTTTAAGGCTTTCATCCGAAACCAAACACCCAACTTTATCACACAGCTCAGTTCTCCAAGTAAATTATAGTAAACCTTTGATGTTGTGGATGAAAATGCATGATGACCTGGCACTGCAAGAAAAATAAACTCAGTAGGTAGCTCAAATTAACAATTCAAAACAAAAACCATGCTCAGGATTTTTGCTCATTAATTTATCTGGTTAAATTAAAGAAAGAGAAGCACACACCTCCAGGCTGCGTGGATAGGCTGGTTTCTGGGAGTGTTAGGTCTTTCAGCTCCTGAATGTGATTTTTACTACATCATACTGAAGCCCTGATGTCGTGTTTAGCAAAGGGGTCAAGTTGGAGGAGAAAGACTGAGGTACCAGGATTTCTCTTTTCTTTTTTTTTTTTTTACACATTCTAGGTTAACTCTTTGTGAATGCGACCTAAAAGCTATCAGAAGCAAGTATAAACATGGGATAATATTAAAAAATATTAAAATATCCAGAAGAGATTTTACTGTTGCGTGGAACAAAAAAAGAATGATGTTGAAACACAACTTGACCCAAAGGATTCCCCCTTTCTCTGGTACAGAAAATACTAAAATGACCAAATTCAAGGTATCAAACATATTTACCATCCTCTTAATAAGCTTATAATGGGTTTTAATTAATAATTTGTTGGATTAGCCAATAACGATAAAATTAAAATATTACAAGTGTTGCAGAGTTACTAACATGAAACGACGGATAAATTTACCATGTAAATATGTCCAGAAAGTGAGTAAAATAATAAATAAATACTATTTCAGTTTCAGATGCTGAGAGCTTCTCATCTCAGCTGTTTCCAGTCACAGCTGTGCTTCAGAGTTGATTGTCTGTGTGTGTTTCTCTGAGATAACGACGGCCGCTGCTCCCCTGAGATCCTGCAGCCCAGCCGAGCCTCGGTTCTGCTCTTATAAATGGATCCAAGTGGACAGATGTTAACCGGTTTGCTTTTTTTCCATTTCAGGATCGTGCTCATCTGTGCGAAGAGGTCTCTGTGCGCTGCCTTCTCTATCCTGCCGTACGGAGAGAGCTTCTACCTCAGGTAATCAATACACTTCATTCAAGTGTATTGAGACTGAAGGACTGGGGAGGGGGACAAAGGGTTCAAGAAGAGAAAGAAATCTGGCCAAAGGGGGAGATAAACTGGAAGTTGTCATTTCCTACTTCAAGACAAAGGAAAATAAGAGAGGAATTTGGAAAGCTGACATGAAGCCTTCTGGGTTGACCTTGGATCTCCCTGATGACTGACGCAAACACGGCGACATAATCGCACATAAACATCCTCAAAGATACTTAGCTCTTACGCAGACGCTGAGATACACACGCAGAGGAGGTGTTACATAAACGTCATTCTAATCTTCATACACTTTGTTTCAAGTTGATATCTGTTGCACGTCATCACGTCTCGTTGGTTTGATGCTGCAGAACAACAGGAAAACATCCTTATAATTATCAGAATCTTACTACTACCCACACACACACATGCATACGTGGAAATGGTTTGAACACACACACGGTGGTTGAGGCAGATGAGACTCTTTCTTTTTTTTCTTTTTTCTGTTTCACCCGCAGAGGAAATGAGCTCAGACCTCACATTTTATCAAGTAGCTGCGGCTGTGATCTGGAACTGAAAGAATCCAGCAACATGGTTTCTGTGACCTTTCAGACACAGACACGTCCCTCTTTTGTTTTTAGATGCTCTAATGTGCAATCTATTTACATTTCCTAGCTTGTTGTCTTGAATCTTAAAAACTGTAACTTTATGTTTCTCAGTTCCTTGCAGAATGACTCATGTGCCTTGAAGTTTTTCACTTTTACTAATGACAAACTGATATTGGATGTGGTAGACCTACAAAGATGCATCAGACATTGGTCGTGGTTTCCAAAATGACTTAGAGATAAAAATAAAAAAAACCTTCTGAGTGCTGCAAGTCATTTGGGGTTTTTCTCCACCAGCTAGATGCTATAAAATTGTCACATATTTGTCTCTGCAGAATAGCTGGAGCTAATCTGATCTTCAAAAGGTCTCCGCATATATAAACAAGATCCACGAACTACATGAAAAATGTTTCAGTCTGAGGAGGTTAGATAAATTTAGTGTGTCTGTCTTCATGAATATGCAAAACATTTGCAAAACAAAGATGTCTGCGGTCAGCAGGAGGAATAGATACAATGACAGAGTTGGCATGATTTTCACTTCGAGTGGATCTTTTGTACAAATCAGAACTGTTTATTTAAACATCTCAGGGTTTTATAAGCCTGGCAGGCCACCAGGCTTTACTTGCCCCCCACCACCATACTAAGCGTTGTTTATCTTAAATGACTTTAAAGTCAGAATCAGAATACTTTTTATTGTTCATTTCATTTCAGAAGACAATAAAGAGACAAAAAATAAACAAGGACGACGCCAGTAACAGTGATAGCAAAGAGTTGAGGTAGATTTATATATATCTGTAATCTTTAGCAGTGTTCTTCACAAAGATGATGGCATTTGAGTAGTTTTATTTAACTGTATTTTCTTCAAAATTGACTTAACATTTTTTAATACAAAACCACGATGGGGCAAATGGTGAACTGCCCACATGCCTCTACCACCAGGTAGGGGAAATCCTGGATCTTATACACAAAATACTTACAGAAAAAAAAAATCAAAAGTCATTTTTTCTTTATAACATCTAGAAAATTGAGTCTGTATATGTACAGAAACTCTTTTATTCTGTCGGTTGCATTTGTTTCAGTTCCCTGCCTCTTTTTGTGCTTAGTGACCCCACATTAAACCACCCCAGGAGGAGACACTCCTCTGGGAACATTTCCACCACCCTGGAGATGCTGCCAGGACTCGAGGGTTTCCAGCTGGACTCTTATGGGAGGGTAAGCCTCTCCTCTCTTCTTTTCTAACCTGAAGCCATCTGTCTTCAGATCCATTCATTTACCTTCTTGCCCCATCAGTCGGTGTCCTACGCCCAGTTCCTGTATCCCACCAATGCTCTGGTGAGGTGCAAGCCGTCGTCAGTCAGTGACCTGACGCTACAGATCCCCATGTCCAGGAGCACACACAGCATCCCGGGCCGGAGCCACCCGCCCAGCCGCCTGAGCAGCACCGTGGGACTGGATCTGGGTAACGAAATGCACACAGCAATGCAAATATATTGCAAAAATAAGTTGATCTATTTTTACAAATTCCCTTTCTGTACTTTCACTATTTAAATATTCCTTAAATGTTGTTTTCTTTTGGTTTTTGACTCAGTTTGAGGCGACAGCGTTAATCTCTTAATTATTTTGTTGATATGTCTGTTTTATTTGTTATAGTTTAAGCCCTTTGGCCAACAGTGTTGTTTTAAAGTGTATTATAAATTTTTATCCAAATTTTGGAAGACCTTTGGGTTAGCTGGTGTTTTTTATTGTCTTTCTGCAAAATGCATGGAAGGATTCGGTGCAGTGCATGCTACTCCAGTTTATCTGCATTAATGCTGCAACAACAGAAGTGGATCTGAGTTTTCCCAAAAGAAACGATGAAATCCCAGCATAGGGACCGGCTGCAGGGATCTGTTGCTGAAATGAGTCTAACTGTGTCTTTTTTTATCTTTTGTCTTTTGGGGGGAAAAAAATCAGCATTTCTACTCCGTCTGACCACAGTCCATGTTTTCAGCCCAGATATTTAGGAATATCTTTGGAAATCAAAGCTGATTATTGATGAGATTAGTGCAGAACAGTTGAAGTGACTTTGGTGAAAACCTATTTTCTCCCCTAATGAATGTATTCTGCACTCTAGTGTTGGTAGAAAAATGTTTACTTTTTCTATCAAGTTATCAGCAGCTCCTTAATGTGTGTGAACCAAATCATGTTTTCAATCACCTTGCTAACATTACCTGACTTTTATTACGTCATCTATGCACCTCAACGCCCCCTAGTGTTTGTTTATGGTATTGCAAGGCTGAAAAAGCTCAGTGCCGGACCAGAGGCTTGCAGGCAGTGTGCCACACTTTAATTTTTCAGGTCATCAAATAGATTTTCTTATCAGACAAAGACAAACTTTTTCAAATGATAATTTTGTTTATTAAGAGAAGTTCAAATCAATCTGGCTCTTGGTGAAAAAGGTGTGACAGACTTAAAATATTTTCACCAGATGTAGAAGTTTGTTTTGCATTGATGTGGAGAAATTAGAGGTGGATTGTCCTGCTTAATAATCCAAGTTGGTTTTAGTTTGAGTGTTATCTCAGATTTGGAGAGCAGAATCTGTTTGACTGTCAACCTGTGGTACTATTTTCTGAAATGCCTCCGATGTCATGGAAACTTCTGTGTTCTTCTGAAGATTTTCCCAAAAGTTCCAGGATCATAAAGATGCACCTTTTTATTTTTTTATTTTTTATTTTTGGTCAGTACTTGCTTTTTTCCCTTGGATCTCATAGATGCTGTTTGTTGCCTTTCTTACTGTTAAGCTGTGAATAATGACCTCATCTGAGACAAATGAGGCCTGCAGAGTAGTAGATGTTGTTCTGGGTCATTTCGTGACCTCCGGGATGAGTCAGGACTTCGGGAGTCTGACCTCTCCTGGGAAAGGGCATCGCTGTTTCATGTTTTCTCCATTTGAGCAGAAAGGCTCTCACTGTGGATCACTGAGGTCTTAGACATGACTTTTTAACCATTTCAACTCTGATAGATGTCACTGACTGTATTTCTCGTCTGGGTTTAAATTCCCAAGACATTTTGAACAGAATGTGTCAGATTTTGAGATTTCTCACCCTGCTTCAGGATGTCAGATTGTCTCTATCTAAAGGATATAATGTTTCTACATTTTTCTTTGTTCTCTCTTTCTATCAGAAACTGAGTGATAAAAGTTTTCAGTATGGTGCTTTGATATCAACAGGCCCATTTCTGGAAGAACGTGTTGTTTCTGTTGTTTTGACTATTTTGGGTATTTAAAATGTCTTCCACTTTCAGTGTCCAAAGAACACATTTGAGAATGTGTTCTTGCATTATTATACTATTACGTTACTTGAAAATGATATTTAAACAACAATATTATCATTTAACTTTATGGTCAAATAAATCAGTATTTGTCTCAGATTATAAAACATTTCTCCGTGATTTTGAAATTTTAGTTCTAAATTTGAAAGTCTCTACATTGACATGCATCAGGACATTTAATGACTCTGATTTCAGATGCAAATTATGTGGTTTTAGATATAAAAGGGGAATCCAGGAAGTAAAGCCAGAGGTGCAGGAAGGCAAAAACACAAAGACAGATGAAGGACGCCACTGGAGGAAGTGAAAACAAATACAGGATGGAGGGAGGGACACCGAACAGCTGTGCTGGAGTTTGGGTCAGAATATATCCCAAACATATGTCACATCCTTCATCTGTAAACACACGCACACTCACAGAGGATTGTTTTAATATAACACAGATGTGTGTGCGGGTTGATGTAAGGATGGTATTTTTAGTTTTCCTGTGATGTAATATTTCATCCTCTTACATCTCAGTTTACATATAAAGTTAAAGATGACAAAAAGTTGCAGAGCCCCCCTCTGTCTTCAGTTTCTATTTGTTTAGAGGCCCAGCTGCAATAACCGAGCTCATCAGATGGTCGGCTAACATCTGCATCATGTGGCCTCTCTGCAGGTTGAGCAGCGTATAGTTAATACAGAAACAAGATTGTTTAGCTAGTACATAAACAAAATGGCCATTTATTGACCTTATTGTTCTTCATGGGGCAGCAACAGTTTGTGTGCAGATGTTTAAAAAAATGTTTAAAAAATACGTTCTTCTGTTGTTCCACCTGCAAAATTATCAAAATAGTCGTTAATTTAAGTATGTTTAATATGTTTGTTTTTGTTCCAATTCTGTCAGGAAAAAAGCTCCTATTAAGTGCCTTTTATTATCCAATTATTGATTAATTAATCAAAAAATAATCAACATGAGTATTTTCTTGCATCCTTTGCTACAAATAGTTTAAGTTTTCACTAAATGAATGATGTTATTGCATTTAGGCAATAACATAAAAATTAATTAAATGATTTGTTTACTTGATTGTTTCAATGTATTTCTAATATTGTGTAAAAAAACAAAAGCTTAAGTGGTTCAATAAAAAATCTACAGAATTTTTCAGTTTATTTCATCCAAATAATTGATTATTCATCTTGATAATTATGTTCTTAAAAAGTCATTAGTTGCAGTCAGATTGGGACAGATTTTGGAAACAAGATGGCCTCTTTCTTGACCCCAGGATACAGAAAGTGATTAATTACTAACAGTATGTTTGTTTTTAACTTGTCTGATTCTGTTTTGGTTCAGGTGTGGAAGACGTGTCAGAATACGACCCAAACCTCCTCAGTGACCCCCAGTGGCCTTGTGGGAAACATAAACGGGTGTTGATCTTTGCTTCCTACATGGTAGGAATTCACACCGCTGCTGCATTCCAACGCTGTTTGTGTTATTTATGAGGCGTATTCATATTTTTAGTTTTTTATTTTGGAAACATCTATCGGTCTCGTCGTTCCACATCCCAACGCTTGACACCTTTAGATGATTGATGCTTTTTGTACACTGATAGTTTATGAAAAATCTATCTTACTCGATCTAAGGCTATGTGAATGTGTATAAAGTAAGAGGAATAGTCCAGATAATCCGAGCTTTGATGGTGGGGCAGCTGTGGTGTGGCTGCAGCCTCTGAGCCGACCTCAGACTAACATGCTCTGAGCTCTCAGTGTGATGCCAACGCCGCTCTGACCTGCCGGGCGGCTCCAAGACTTCAGCCGCAGATCCTTTAAGCCCTTTAAGTTGAGGTTTGAAGCCTCTGCCTATCAGATTTGCTCCAGCTCATCACTAAACACCTCGTTGGTGGGTCACGGTTTATCCCCACCACCTTCAGGGAGACCAGCAGCCGCCCACAGTTGAGTCATCTATGCTTATTTATTGAATTCAATTTATTTATGTTGCATCATTTCTAAAAACTGTTACCTGAAGGAACTTTACTGGACTAAAACCTTTGATTCATACACAGTTACTGTAGTTTCTGGACTATTGAGCAGAAGCAATAAACCAGATAATCAGTTGATTAATTGGTTTAAATGATTAAATTAATCTCTTTCTACCAAAAACTGGATAATAAAAGTGTTCAGTCTGGTGCTTTGGTCTAAACTAGTCCAATTTTGTTTACATAGACTCCATAATTGATTTTATTTGTTGTCTTGGTTGTTTTGTTGATATGTTTTGAATTTTTAAAATGTCTTGCATAAAATTAAATACAAATATTAGTTATTTGTATTTAGAAATTAAAGTGTATTGATATTTGAGAGAGTATATTTGCATTATCATACCATTATCATTATGTTATTTAAAAGTGGTGTCAAAACAACAATTGTAATATCATTTTAAAGGTGAAGTCATTTCTAATGAACTTTTAAAAGCCTTCAAGCGAAATAAAAACACTGCTTCTCCAAAAATATGACACAATATTGGGCTTGTACCAATCCAGTCCAGTCCAGACATTCACTGCTGCGTTTCTGTTTTACTTCCAGCTCTGCATTGCCTCACTGCAGTTTCTAATCAGGAATATCAAATAGCTCTTTATAATAATGCTGCGTCATAAATTGATTTCTAAAAGTGGAATAAATACTGGAGTTAATTACGACACAGCTGGACTCTGGGTTTCTCTGATTCTGAAAAGTGGGGTAAATTAGCAGTTAAATAAAAAAAATAAAAAAAAACTGAAGAAAAGATGGAAATGTAGAGCCATCATGAGAAACTCACCTCCTTCACATGGTAGAATCATCCTGAAAGCTGTGGCTTAGTTTGATCCCTCTCTTGAGATGAATTAAATGTATGGAAACACGCGCACGCACACACCCACACACACACACATCCCCACACACACGCACACACACACACACACACACACACACACACACACACACACACACACACACGCAGACTGAATGTCATGCTACTTATCTCCTCTGAGAAGATTAATGTGAGGTGGGTTGGGCTGCTCTGACACCCACTTCAGAGCAACTCAAGATGTGTGGGATTATTTTACCACCTTTAAATTATGCCTAATCTGTGGATACATCATGGCATACTATTACACTTTTGCTGACATTTGAATTAACACAGTTTTAAGGACTAATTAAGGAAGCTTACCTTCATTCATTGCTGTCTATAGCAGACAGAGGGAACGTAGGATGCAGCTGACATGGAAGCTTGAGGAAAGGATCCGGAGAAAACTGAAGCTGATTTTATTTTTTTCAATGTACAGATTTATTCTGAAAATTACACAGACAATTGTTTTACAAAAATTTATACAGTACATTCCAGACATCCTTAAAAACTCTTAAGTAAAAAAATGTAAGTTGGCCTTTTAATATATTAGTCACAGGTCTTAAATTTTGTCTTTTTTTTTTTTTTTTTTGCGGGATTTTTTTGTCAGGCAAAAGTTTGCGTCGCACTCAGACGCCTTCATTGCTTTCTTAGACTCATTCACTGGTAACATACCCCTACTAGCTAATTAGCTAGGAAAATAACTAGCCACCCAGACGGGTAGGCTACTGGTAACTCACTGCTAACATAGCCTTGCTAACTTAGTATTTATCTTATCATGGGTAAGTACAAATTTATCGCTGGTTGGCTGGATGAAATTTGCACATTTCTGTGGAGATGTAGGTCTTAAATTAAATTCAGGAGGGTCTTAATAAGTCTTAACTTTGAGTTGGTGAATTCTTCAAAAGCCCTGGGAATATAAGTTGCTCCAGAGCATAAGTTGCATAAGTGCTACGAAGTGCTATGAAGAGTGAAGAAAACATTTATAAGTAGCTCTGGACTATAAGTCCCATTGCCAGATAAACTATATTTTCCAACTTACACTCTGGAAAATATGGCAGCTTCTTTATCAGTTCCTGCACTTTGCACCAGTAGTGATTAGATACAAGAGGATGTACAAATATATGGATTATAATAGGGTCAGCTCAACATTTACAACCAGATCCCTCAATGTTTTTCAGTGTAACAGCTGCCCCATAGTCAGCTTGAGAGAAAAAAATGTTTTATTGCCATTTCTGTTCCCATGTGAGGAACAACCTCTCATGTTTTTCTTTGTGTGGTATCACACAAACTTATAGGAGGAAAACCTGTTGAAAACAACTGATTAGTTGCAGTTAGAGAGCATAAAGGCATCACCAGCATGTTTGTTTTGGGCTGTAAATCAAGCCCTGGTCGTATTAAAGCTTTGTTTTCCCCCCATGGCTGCATGAGAGGAGAAAAATCATCTTATGACAAATATTTAACTAAAATCAGAGCAGAAGAAAGAGTGGTGATCACTCTGCATTCACTACAGGCCTCACATCTGCATCAAATGATTCCCATTTGTTTCTGCACAGCAGAAAATAAAACTAATTAAACCAGTGGACATATTTTAAATGTGCCAAATGCGTTCATGCTGTTCATCTTTTTTATAAATCCTTCACAAAGGACCTTTATGTGAATAGATGACATCTCTGCATTAGCACACTTTATTCTTATTCATTTAGAGAAAAAGACGTATATTTATGTAAATGTAAAAGGTGCAAAAATGTCTTATTCTCAAAGATTAGTGCCATTTGTGTCATGCATCACATTAAGAGGATAAAGTTGCCCCTTTGTTTCATTAAAATATTGCATCTTTATTTTATTACTGAGCGCTTAGTTGTTTTAAATTGGAAAAACAATATGGCCCCTGAATACGTTCAACTTTATTACTGTGGTCCGTGTTTCATAACTGCATGCTAGTTTGTAAAAAAGTATTTTATATTTTCTCTTTTGTCATGTCAATTTATCAAAAAATAAAGATAATCCCTCAGTTTCTTGTTTATAAACCAGATACAAGCTTTTAAAAAAAACTAAATAAATCTGAGTTGGGCTTTATGAACTTATTTTGTCATTAAATGACAAAAATACGAATGATATAATTCATGTTTCACATTTCAGTGAAATGGAGATGGAGCACAATGACCTTCTCTAAAGCAAAATACAATCATGAACAAACGGCATCATGGAGAGGATTTTTGTGAAGTTTGATATTTCCACATTGTCCTGAATGTTTCTGTGAACAGTCATTTCCAATTTTGCTGTAAAATAATCTGGGTAATCCTGGCATGATGAGAGAAATATTTACTCCTCTCACTGTTTACATTCTCTTGCAGTTGTTTGTCTGTTCTATACTTCTGCTTACACTCCATGCAGAGATCATCTTTCCTCTGTTTATGCATTTTTTCCCTCATTATGTTCTTTTTCTTTCTTCCTCAGACGACCGTTATCGAGTACGTCAAACCGTCCGATCTGAAGAAAGACATGAACGAGACTTTTAAGGAGAAGTTTCCCCACATCAAGCTCACTCTCAGTAAAATCCGCAGGTAAAGTGCGAAATATAAACACTTAAACGTGTGTATTTTATTCTGTAAATTGTCTCTGACCGTCCTGGACGTTCTGCCCAGCCTGAAGAGGGAGATGAGGCTCATCGGGGAAGACTGCGGCCTGCAGCCCGTCACCGTTGCAATGGCGTTTGTGTATTTTGAGAAGCTGGTGCTGCAGGGTCGACTCAACAAGCAGAACAGGTAAATTCAAACCTTTTGTTTCATGTTCTTCCTTTTGTTTATTAATGTTTTTGGGCTCCACTCAGAGCTGGGTAATAACTCGTTACATTTATTCAGTTACATTTACTTGAGGAACCTTTTGGGAAAAATTTACTTTTAGGAGTATTTTTACTACTCTGTACTTTTACTTGAGTGATTTTATTATGAAGTATTGCTGCTGATATGTGAGTAAATATTTCTGGATACTCTACCAACTGTGAGTTGGTTCATTGAATGAAAAACAGACGAGTTTTAACCAAGACACACAGCAGCAGTTTTTGTTACATTTTTATAAATTTTATATTGAAGAAACAGAATTAGGCATTTTTTAGTTTGCTTTATTTTGTAATTATGTGTTTATATAAATTTATTTGATTTTGATCTTTAAAATAACATTTCCACTTATCTTTATATTTAATTCCATCTGAGGTCATTTAAAAATATTAAATGATTGATGATAATTTGATCAGTTATTCATAACTTGAGTAGCTTTTTTTTCCAAATACCTTTTTTCTCTTGAGTAATTTCTTGGATGGATCCTTTTTACTTTTACTTTAATAAAAATATGTTGAAGTAGTATTACTTTTATGTGAGTAAAATCTCTTTTTCTTTTTTTCCTGGTGCTCTACTCAACTCTGCTGGAACACTTGCGCCCTCTTGTGGTTTATTTGTTATTAGAATAAAAAAACAAGCTACTACATTAATTATATCTTTGATAACCAGCTGTGCCTCACTGATTATCTCTAAAATGATGTCATTATTTGCAGTGTTAATTGTTGACCTATAAAACCAGAACAAAACTTTAGCCTCTCTAAAGTTTTTAATGACTCATAAACCATTAAAAATGTAATTATGTATATTCTGATAATCTTTCAGAGCAAATAAATCAGTTTTCCAAGGATGGCATCCTGCATGTTTTAGTGATTTTCTTGGTTCATTTGACGGTTTCTGCAGAATTTTGACATGTTAAGGAGTAAAGCTGAAATGATATGACTTAAGAACGAAATCTCAGATTTGTTCATATTGGATCTAATTTTCAATTTTAATTAATTTTGTTTTATTTATTTTATGGCTCTCCTCTCTAGTGTAAGGCTACAAGAATATTTCTTTAACTCTGAAATATAGTCATTATACTGACAGAAAAAGGATGCATTTTTACCAGAAACAAACCTTAACATTATGTGAAAAAAACCCAACAACAACAAACTATTTTATTTTGGGGGAAAAATCTTCCAGAGTTATCAGGATCTGATGTAACCACCTCAGTTTCTTCAGTTTGTTCTTCAAAATAGACTCAGTCATTTCAAAGTCCTGCTGCCATGCAGGACCTGAAGTATGTCTAGTTATAAATATTTACAAATATTTATCTGTAAAACTGGTGTCATAAAATAACTTCACAAGATGCTCAACATTCCTCATTTAATGTTTTTATTTTTCATGTTGGGAGTTCTCATAAAGTTACTGCTTTATTCTCCAAATATTAAAACTTTTTTCTTATAAGTTTTAAAAAGGCACCGTAGCCTTGCCCTAATATTCCATCAAAGAGTTCACCCCAATTTAAAGTGCAAATAAATAGAAGCTGTAAAACTCGCTTGTCAAACAAGATGGCCGCTCTGGGTGTGCTGACATCATTCTGAACTACAGGAACCCGAGCAGAACATCCAGATTTTCCAAAGATTAAATCTTATTAATCAATAGGTTCAAGCTGCACATCCATGACTTAAAGTGAAAGAAACAAACATGGCTGCCCCTGCAGACGCCTGATCAACTATCTTGTTGTTGTTCTTTCACAGGAAGTTGGTGTCAGCTGCCTGCATCCTTTTAGCTGCTAAGATCAGCAGTGACCTGAAGAAGCAGGAGGTCAAACACCTCATAGATGTGAGTCACGCACACACACACACACACACACACACACACACACACACACACACACACACACACACACACACACACACACACACACACAGAGGTTGTCACAGCGGTGACTCCTACCTGCGAGTCAGATCAGGTTGCTTGTGTGTTTATATGATTGTTCCACCTGAACAAGCGGAAAAAATCGGACTGGATCGCTGAGCTGCAGAATCTGAACTCTGAACCCGGTTCGCTCTCATGGCACCCGTCAGCTGGAGGTGAATAATTTAAAAACTTCAGCTTGAGCAGCTTCTTTTCCTCAGTGCACTACAAAATACCCATATTTATGTGCAAATATCTTAGTGCACTTTAACTAACTGGAAACTAACATTTCAGCAAAATATAGGAACTTGTTTTAAGTAAATAATTTTGATTATTGCTGATAAAGTACTACTAGCAGATTATTTCACATGGGGAAAAATGTTTTATAGTAAGTGGAACTGCTCTATTTTTAATAATATGAAGGAATTATTTACTTAAAACAAGCTTTATAACTGAGTTTTGTTTTGATCTAGTTTTAACTGGATCAAAGCTGGTTAATGTGAGAAGCGACTCTGCGGAGCCGAGTGATGCAAATTTACTCAAAACCTCTCTTATCTTCTCGCCGCAGTCAATGATTTCCTCATATTTAAAACTGTTTTGTAAACTTCTCCTTAAGCCTTACTTGTCTACAAAAGTAAGACTTGTCTACAAAAATTTAAAACAAAGTTCACACAAAATTAGTCTGTCTGCCATAGCTCCTCTCTGACAGTATTAGCGCAGAAATTTGAAACAGAAAGCGAAGAAGTATCTTAATTTTGCTGCTAAAATGTTCTCAGCAGTTGTTATTAAGTCCAATTGCTGATTGAATGAAGATTTACAAAAAACTATCCAAACTAAGTGATTCTTAAAAGTCGAACCACTGAACTGAGATTTGTTGTCTCTGCAGAAGTTGGAGGAGCGCTTCAGGATCAGCAGGAAGGAGCTGATTTCGTTTGAGTTCATCATCCTGGTGGCCCTGGAGATGGCGTTGTACCTCCCTGAGAGCAAAGTGTTGCCTCATTACAGGCGGCTGCTGCAGCAGGTGTAGCAGCGCTTGGCTCAGCGGCACAGCGGCAGTCTGCTGCTCCGTCTTCCACCCAGAGACTCCCAGCACCTTCCACCACCTACACTGTGATCCTCATGATGCCTTGCTCAGAGGCGTCTGAGTGGTGCACAATAAAAACCTGAGAGGGGAACCAAAGTTACGACACACTGTGACATCAACAAACGAATTATAGGGGGTCGGATAATCATAGAGAAACTGAGGCCTAAGAAATGACTGTTCCCAGTACAAACCAGTCATTTTAGATCCAGTTCCTACCAGGAAACTCCCAGTTTACTTCATATCACTCCCAGTGATGCTTAATTTTTTACACACAGTTGTAAAATTTAAAAAAATTAGCAACTCTTCTGAGTGATAAGAAGGACATATTTCTCCCTAAATTAATTTAAATAACTTAAAATGATCTTAATTTTTCTAGTACCTGAATTCACTGAAACATCTTAACAATAATCAATAAACAAAAAATATAAAATAACAATAAATAGTGGTTATAGTGAGCATCTTTTCAGTTTAATCATGCTTGAATAGGTGTCGCTGTATTACGAATGGGTGATACTGACTTAAAATTTCATGATAATTGAAAAAATGTTTTATAGTTGATTAATTCCTCAACACAGGCAGTGAAACAGATGTTTTCAAAATGAACAACTTACAAAGTTGTAAGTTCCTGCACCAAGAATTTGATCATTATAATTTCTGTTACTTAGTATTGATCTACATTTTTCACTTCCAATACTGATATCTGAATATCGCTAAATTGACTTAAAATGTTTTTTTTTAAACACAGACATAAATCTGCTGAATTACAACCTTTCTCAAACATATAAAAATTAACTGCATCAAACCGCTAAGAGGAGAATTTAAGGTGCAAAAGCTTTTAAAACGGTTAAAAGAAGAGTTCAAACGTGGTTACTGAGCATTTGACAATCATTATATTGCACTCCAAATAATCTGATCAGCTGCTGCCAGATGTTGCTTCTGAAGCGAGATCTGCGGAGAATAATCAGGAAGTTTCCTGGAAAGTTTCGGGATCATCGTCTCCTCCTCCTCCATGTGCTGTGATCGTGTTTATTCACGGACTGACGGTGTTTCTCGTAGCGCCTGAAAGCGTCATCCACCTTTCTGTTCACACTGAGCTGCAGTCAGAAGCTCCAGCTGTGCAGTTTGGATGTTTAAGTGCCTTTGTGTGGTGATTTCATGCAAAGCAGAGCCGATTCAGTCGTCTTCCAGTCCTGTAATCCGTCCTCCTGCTGCACCGGCAGACGCTGTGATCAGAAAACGTTTCTTCGCTCTGAACATCTTCCAGCATGAGAAACGTTGCCGTCTTGTGTCTGCTGTCCGGAAACATCTGTAGTGTTTGTGTTGCTAATGGTTGTCTCTGATTAAAATGTATATTTGAGAGGGTGAAACAGGAACAAAAGTTCTGCTAAACGTCCCGTTTAAGGGAATGAACTCTGACTGCAAACATCCTCACTCTGTGAAACGTCACTAAGAAAACTCCAACCTTTGTTTTCCTGAGCTGCAGCAGAAAAGCAATAATGAACTCACTCTTGAACTCTTTGTTTTTATTGTACCATAAAGGGATGAATCTGTAACCAAACCGAGGTTTCTGTTAGGATGTGTGCAGCTGTTCTTTTCTTCCTTCTAAATTGGGCATTCTTTCCTTGGCGGCCATGTTGGGGGAAGTCCAGCCCAGCACTTCCTGCTGAGCCTCGGTTATTTTTGCACTTTGCCTTTTTAGCCTCACCTCAGTCTTTATTTTGTCACTAAGTAATAATATTTTTCTACATGTGAACAATCTTTATTGTAACATTGATTGTTTTGAATGAACTGTGTCACAGAAACGTATTTATTGCTAATAATCTGTCAGATAAAGGAGAATCATGTGCAAGCTGATATATGTAGCTGAAAGTTACTCCAAATACAACCCGATTCTGATTCTGATTCTGCGTTGTTAGACTGACATCCATGTTCTTCCACTCGTGTTTTTTTGGACTTGTGAAAATGTGTTTGGGTTCATCTGGAACCGTTTGTTGGAGCAGGAGAGACGCTTCCTGTACTGCAAAAACATACAAAGTATTTTTGTGTAGTTTCTAGTGCGAATATCTTGGCACACTTGGAATAAAATAAAACTACTAAGTAACTTTTCAGCAAGATATGGGAGCTTGTTTTACGTCGATAACTTATTATTGATGTAATGAATGATTTCTCTTTTAATAGGGGAAATATATCTTGCTACAAGTTAAATAATCTGGCAACGTAACAAGTACTTTTTAGTCAATATTAAGAAATTATTGACTTAAAACAAGATCCAACATCTTGCTGAAGAGTTACTTGTAAGTTTTGTCTTATTTCAGGTTTCCTAAAATATTTGCACTAGAAACTCGACCAAACATCACAGACCAGATGTTTTTCTTGGTAAAGCTGGAGGTTTCTGCAGCTCCACTGTCGGTTTCAGAATGCTGATTTCTTTTTTGTTTTTTTGTTTTTAGACTGACCTTGTTACGTTTTATTAACATCCATCTTTATGCTTTCATGGGTTGCAATTAAAAAATCAAAAACATGATCAGGTTTTCTCTCCTGCTCCAATTAAAAGTGCTGAAAAATCTGCAGTCTGCTCACATACTGGACAGCAGAGCCATTTTTAATCAATTCAGGAAATAACTGAGCTTCATACAGAAGGTATTTGATAAAAAAAAATTAAACACTTCAACTGCCATTTTGCTTAATCAGTTTAGCAGACACTATTTTTAACCTTTTGTTTTCCTTCGGGCGACAAAAACGATCATTTTCTGTTATAAAGTAACCAAAACTCTCTTTAAATAAAGGCTGCAGTCGTTTTCTCTACATTAGAGAAGTTTTATTTTTGCAGCTTTTATTCTCTCAGCTGACCTTAATTCTTTCCTATGTTGTGCCACAGCCTCATTTGTTGTATCTAGTTTATTTTTCCAGCACTGAAACACTGCAAAGGGAAATATTTATCAAGTGTTTGACTTCTGTTTTTCTCTGTTTTCATTGTAACTTATTTCTACTTCAAGCTGACATACGTTCTTTTTGTTTTCATGTAATTGCCAGTTTATTTCAACAACAATATCACACGAGTGTAAGTTGTGGCAGTGTTTTATTTTCAGCTGCGAGTTCCAGTGAAACACATTTACTCAGTCAACAGCTGCTGCAGTGGAAATAAGTGTGATTTTCTCTGCAGGACAGTTTGGTTTTCTAATTTGTTTTGCAAAACATAGAGGCCATTTTAAAAAATGCAAATGTTTAAAGTCAAATTTATTTTTCATTAAAATATTTAAATTTACTGCTTTTTATTGTCCCTTTTGTTCCAGGTTTTAACATCTCAGAAAAATGCTGTTTTTAATGGTCCCTGTAATGGCATCTCATTAAAACAATTATTAACAAAACTCTTTTTGATGGACAGTAGATTTTTCAGTTGAAGTGAAACTATGAATCTAAATTATTAAAGCATTTTACATTCTAGTGGATTATTCCTTTAAAAAAGGAAGTGATTAAGTTCAAATAATGCAAACTCTCTGCAAATATAATGAATAATACTATTTTATTTATTTCCATATTAACCAAAAATAATTAATGTGTCCTCAGTGAAAAAAACATTTTATACATGTTCAATATAAAACAGCCAAATACCAAAACAAAGTGCACAAAGGAAAGCACTACCACAAACCACAATAATACGCCATGATTATTAAATATTACTAATATTATTAATTTCAGTTCATATTCTCTCATAAAACTTTTATTTTTTGTTTCACATGTAAACAGATGTATGTAATTACAGAAATGTGTGCATCCATGTCGACAAACCTTTGCATGTGTGACGTAAACAACTGCAACATTATGTAGGTCATAAGTCAATCAAGGCTTCACTGGTGTTTGACTTTTAGGAAATGACTTCACTGACAGATTCAGTGCTCTATCAGATCTCCATGAACAAATAATGGGAATTTTATTTGCAGCCATATAATTTTACTGATATATTGAACTACTGTTCACTGAGATTAGAAGAAGTTTTAAATGCTGGTTGATGAAAAACACAACCAAGTTGAGAAACAGAAAAATTTTCTATAAACCACATCCTGTCTAGTATCCGGACTTTAACATCTGGTGAAACAAAAACCCTTGAGTTGAAATGAAGACTTTTCTAATAAACCAAACATTAATCATGTTTAAAATTGGGCTACATTAATAATCCTATTTCAATCACCACACATGCATGTACAACTATACACACTAAAAAATTTTTTTCCTTCCTCTACTTTTATAAAAAGGTATTTCTTCACCACTTTTTGAGCTGTTGGTGCAGAAGTATTGCTTCAGTTCCTCTTTAATGAGTGTTACCACAAAGAGAAGAACAGTTTTTAAGTTCTGCCTTCATTCATATTAACAGTAACTTCAAACTTTGGAAGTTGCTTCATTGTTTTATGCATTTTACAGAGTGCAACTAAATTACAGTTATTATAACCAGCATCACAGATATTTAATTGCCTATTTTACAAATATACAATAATGATAATAAATATCACCTAAATCCGTGCAAAGCAATTAGGAAATGTTTAAAATAATGAAAATATTTGCTAACTATTCCAACAGATGTCCATATTACATGCATTTTACAGTCCAGTGCAACAGGTTAGCATGTGTCCTACAAAAGCAAATGAACAAAATGTACAGTTTCAGTGACTGTTAGCTCAAAGCTAATCATAGAGCCAATGAGTTTGAGTTTTCTCTCAGGACAAACAAACAGCAGATCCACAGCAAAGCTATTCTTGCAAAGTAATGGAGGAATAAAGAGAAGGTGATCCGTTGTCTTGGCTACCAGAGGTCATGGCTAACCGAGGTTCAGAGTAGATGACGTCATCTGAAGCAGCAAGATGGCCGCTGCTCGATCTGGCAGCAACGTTTGGCAGCTGCACCTCAGAATACTCTATGTCTTCCTCTTTAGGCTGGAAAGAAAGAGAAAAGTAATTACTAACTAAAAGGTTTAACCAGTTTGATTTTAAGTACATACAGTTAATATGAATATAATATTAATTAATATTCATCAACTCAAATTCTGTACTTTTGTGGATATGACTCAAGGGTTTATTTATGGTAAATTGTGAATCTGCAGAGTTTTTTGGTAGATTATGTAGATTATGCAAAATAGAAAATACATTTACTTAAGTTTTCACTTGAGTTTCACATAAATAGATTATAATGTACTTTTAATAACTGCAGAGAGCACACAGATTTCAGATGTACTAACAAAAGCAGAGTAAAACTAGATGTTTGGATTTGTAATTTAGCTCAAACTGAATGAAACTTTAATATCTCCGATCTGCCTAATCAGAGAGTAAATTATTATCATTAATATTACTATTGCTGTCGTTCTAGAGTCCCACTTACTTGACCCTGTGGTTTGCTGGCCAGACTGTATAATTCGTTGCTTTCAGCTGCGTTTGGTTTGTTGGATTGGGCGTCAGCAGAAACTGAAGATATTTCCCCTGCAGGAGGTTTGTTCTCTCTGTCGTCGTCTCTGATCTCCTCATAAACGGTGTTGATCTGCAGAACCAAGAGTCCAAATTGGATCAAGCAGCAGGTTTTACAAACTGACTGCTGCTGAAAGACGCTGCAGACGTTTTTACTCTGACTTACCGTTGTGAAGTCAGTAGGATCCATTTTCACCGGAGGACCTGAAAAACGAAACTGGGAATTATCTGATTTAAACATTTTCAACCTGTAAGTAGTGAATGAAGTCAATATTGTGGGATCCAGATCCAGACAGAAATATTTGCTCATTTTTATGTGCATTACACATAAAGCTTAGTTTGATTGGACGGACAGAGTCTGGGAACAATTCAGCTTGATTTATCTCTGGACTTTGACTGGGCCATTCTAACACGTTTATGCTTCTTTTAGCTAAACCAGGCGTCTGCAACTTCCTGCAGCTTTTGGATACATCTCTGCTCCAACACATGTAACTCAAAAGGTTGAATTGTCTTCTTAATATAATTTAAGAATTATGCTAAAATTTGCTTAACATGTCAGCAAATTTTTGCAAAGAACTGGCTATAAAGCATTAACTTGATTCAAATGTTTCTATTCAGGGATTTTGTTAGAATATTTATCAAACCAAGTCCTTTTGGACATTTAATAATCTTTCTGCAAGGTTTTCAGAATAGTACAATCTCATAGGAATCTTATCGGAAGAGTTGAAGTTGTTATGGTAGCAAATGATGGACCAACATCCTTTTTAAACATTATGAATTTATAATGGCATGTTGCTCAAATTAATATAAAAGACAAAATTAATCTAATGTTTACACATTAGAGTTCATATTGACAGGCATTCAGGCAAAACCACTTTGAACAACATTTACATGGCCTAATCAAAGGTTAAACCTGGTGTTACAAGTAGAGGAGCGTTTCAGATTTACCAATCCTAAAGAAAACTGGAGTTCATATATCAGCTTGTTGTGAAAACTTGTAGCAGACTGTATTTACACCAACTGTCCACATCAGAGTAAAACAATGAAGTTACAATAAATGTTTAACATTTGCACAACTTTCCTTTCTTACCCCTGAAGTTTTTCTCTAAATAAGGTGATGCATAGAAAGTCTTCCCTTTAACACTTTACAACAAAGCAGATATTTTCAATCCCACTGTTTGTATTTATTGACTATAAGTACATTATATAATATGTGATCATGTAATTCAGAAAGGAGGAGGCATAGTTAAAATCTCATGGCAAATTATCTACAAAAAGTCACAAACCGGATTGATTAAAGTTTGGTTTCAGAATTTGATTGTTAATTTTCTAAAAGAGATTAAAAAGAACAGCACAGTGTGTTATGACTCGCCTTTCTTTTGATGGAGGTTTTTCCTCTGGCAGTAAATCAGCAGAGCCGTCGCTAACAAGATGATCAGGACGGCCAGACTCAGACCCACATAAAGCAGCGGATCAGTTTCACCTGTTTTAATATAAATCAATATATTTGGTCACAGAACCAAACACATTAAACTTGGTTATATTAATTCAGAATTATTGGAGTTAGATGTTCATGTCTGAATTTCTGCTGCTTTAAGAAACTAAATTGTGTGGCCTTCTGTTTTGTCAACGTTGTTGGTTTACAGCAAAGTAAGAAAATCATAAACACATCAACTGTCATTAACCGGCAATATAAAAACATGAGCAACTGTTTTACCTTTGAGCTCAGGTGATGTTCTGAACTGTTGGATGGTTGTAGATGAGGAGGAATTCAACCTTTGTGTTAATGTTGCTGCTGTTGTTACAGAAGTTGATGATAGAAATGATAGAAATGTTGCTGTAAAAGTTTCCGGAGTCCAGTTTGGTTCTAAAGTGTTTGGAGCTGTAAGAAATGGAACAAAATCAGAATATCCAAGTTTAAAGTTGACATATTTTCCATATTATTGATACCAATGAAGATGTTTGTCTGTGTGAGTCTCAGTTTGAACATGTTGGATGATTTAATCAGGTAAAAACATCTGAACTCAGATTTAAACTCAGTTTGAGGTTATTTGGATCAGGAGAAGCTGACAGTCAGCAGAGTTTACATTCAGAGACAAGAAGGAACATTTTCAGGAGAGAAACTCACCTTCAGTCACATCCAGATAAAAATCATCATATTGAGGAATGATTGAACCCAAACAACACCGGTACCATCCTGAGTCAGACCGATTCAGGTTTGTGATGTTCACATAAATAACAGAAGATATAAAACCTGTTTTTACAAACTCAATGCTGTATCTTCCGTTCTGAGCTCTGTTTTCTCGTGTTTCAATCAGAATATTTTCTCTTTCACATTTTTCCTTGCACAAGTACATTTTGGCTCCAGTGAAACTAAAGCTACATCCCACTGTGATATTTCCTCCTTCCATTCCTCGACTGATTCTCTCATCAGCGTCTCCATCCTGCAGAGCTGCTGAGAAGATAAACAGTCAGTAAATACTGTCAGATTCAGCAGCTTGAAAATTAAATTGTTTAAAATGTAACTGATGATGTGAGAAAAAATTAACACTTATTTCAACATTTCTAATTGTAAAAAATCTCCAGACTTTTTATTTTGCTCAACAAACTTCTGGTTTCTTTGTTCCACCTTCATTGTCATCTTTGCAGAACCGAGCTCTGTTCTGCAGAGTTTGTGTCTGTGACGAACTTTCTGCTATTGCAGCACTTTGTAGTTTCTGTTTGTGCTTCTTTTTATAGTTTCCTTAAATCCAAAAGCAAAAAGGTGTTTCAAATTAACCTAAGCAATAAACTTTGAGTTGTAATTTATTTAAAATGAATTTTTAAGCATTTCTGCAATTTCCTGGTTTTGGCCTGAAATATTCTGACCATCGATACAGAAAAGAAACTGCATTTGTGTAACATTAATAATGGCTAATTTGCAAATAAATGAGTGATTTGACAAGCTTTGCATAATTTAGATATTCTTAGAATGAAACTATTTATATTTAAAACTGATCGACATGTTTTTCTACAGAAGCCAAGTGGATGCAACAGATAAAACTGCAGAAACTTTGTGATAAACTGTGAGGAACTGAGAGCAGAGAAACTGTTGATAAAATAATAATGTACTCACTGAGGAAGAAGAGGCAGATCAGACAGACCTTCATCCTGAGCTGCTGATGGTTTCTAACTGCTTCTCTTCCTGCTTCACTGATAAACCAGGAACTTCTCTGCAGGATGCAGTTCCTCCTCTGAACACCAGAGGGCAGTACTACTTTTACTGCAGAGTTAAAGTTCTGGAGATTATTGCTTATCAGATCAGTTTCTTTTCCATCTGGGAATCAATTAATTATTTGTATCAATATTTTTCCTGCTTATTTAGACCATTTTAAAAGAACAAAAAAAAAGCAAAGAAAACTATAGTTTCAGATTCACACATTAGGAAATGAGGGTTAAATTTAGAATAATAACATTACCACATTAATTAGTCGACATTGAACATTTAAAACACCAAACAGATGATTTTATTCATCACATTCATGACTGTAGATCAGCAGCAGTGACAGGATGAAATGAAACATCTCGTCATATCAGGGCAGATCTGATGGTTCCTGGATCTGCATCCTTTAATGAAACATCTTGGAGTTTCAGGCAGTGAAGTTCTGCTGACGCTCTCTGATCGTCCTGCCAACTGATTTTAGTGACAGAACAACTGGTGGAAGTTTAAATGGTTGGACAGAAAAACAGAGGAGTTGTCTGCATTTATTTTAAGTAAGGTGTTACAACAGGGTTGTTTCCTTTACTCAGGTTCAGGTTTTAGAAACGAACAAAATATTTTTGCATACTAAGTTATAAAAATGATCCAATTTACATGTTTGTAGGTTTTACTGTTGTGTTGAATTAAAGGACAGCAATTTTTCTAAATTTGTCAAGGGGTGAGTTAGTCACAATTTAAAGACATGACAGTTTATTTAGCCAAAGTCTGAAATATATTTCTGCAGAGTCTTATATAATGTAGTTATTGGTTAAACTGCAAATGAACAATATGACATATGAACGGTTGTTTTATCTGAACACAAATGAATGAAAATACGTTTATCATAAAAACAGTTACAGCACAATGATTAGGTCATCTTTCAAACTTCTTCTGTGACATTCAGTGCATGAACATATTTTAAACGTGAAGCTCTCGTCTGTCATCTGATGGTTTCAGAGTTTAGTTCAGCATTAAACTGAAGATGAATTGTTCTGTCTGTCCTCCTCTTTGATTTCCTCTAGTTCTGGATTGATCTGCAGGAAGAAAGAGAAGAAGATAATGATGATGAGGAGGAGTTTTTTTTTTTAAACTAATGAAACTTGGGTGTTTTATAAAGATTCAGACTCACCTGAGAGACGTCATCATACTCAGTTTCCACAGCAGAATCTGGAAAACATTCAGATCAGAGATGAACCTTCACAGAGATCAAGAGACTTTTGTTCAGGTATCAACTCTCCTCTGCTGCACCTTTCTGCCTGTTGCTGGTGAGGACCAGGTGGAGTCAATCTCCGAGGAACCAGAGCCTTTGATGGTTCCTTTGATGTGACTGACCTGTCTCTCCTGTTTGACCCACAGCATGAGCAGCAACCAGTGCTGCTATGTAAAATCTGAACTGTGCAAAAAAAGTATTGATGGTCAAATGGAGCCTTTTGAAGCAATGAAGCTTCCAGGCCATTGATTTGCCTCAAGGTTCAATACTTGGTGCTTCATTCATTTCTCACTAGTGACATCTGCTGTTGAAACTGTGGCAGTGTTGTCACTCAGAGACACGCTTGAAAATTAGTAAATGTAATTTTTGTCACAAAGTTTTTTTTTAAATCAAACTCATATTTAGTAACAGGAGAGTCAAGTAAATCCTATATAAATAAAAATGAAAAATAGACAAAAGAATAAATGTTGAACAGAATGCTTTGACTATAAGAGAATACATTTAAATTTTGATAAATATGCTAATTTATTCATTAGTGTTTAATTTTACTATTAAAATATTTGCAATATATTATATTTTTGGAATATAATTGGTTTAAATGGGTTGAAATATGTTTGATTATTTCTCAATGTATTTATTATGTTAATCTAAGAATATTATCTAAGATATATTTCTGTTTCTTTTGAGCTTTTTCACCTAAATCACTACAGTGACGATCCATACGTAAATAAAGACGGGTCAACTAGAACTAAGGCTCTTCATTGAGTGAAATCTAGTTGAAAACTTAATCTTAGAGATTATTCTTTTTAAATCAAAACCTTTCAAAACTTGACAACTTTCCAGGAACGAAAAGCAAAATCCTGGACATTTGTCTGATATTCTCTCTATCATTCTTTTCCTTGAAACTTTTCCCTCCACCTTTACTTTCAGAAAGCAGAAACGGTCCAGTTGTAAATCCGTATTAATTCAGGCAACAATATTTAGTGATCTGAGCCGAACCAAACGCTGCTGATTGATGGGTAGATTTTGCTCTGATACAACAGACAGAAATATTTTCCAGAAATGATGCAGCTAAAACATTAAACTAACTTAAATGTTCATGTTCACCTTTGTTTATCATGGCGGCTCTCCACTTCCAGCAGAAAATCACCAAAGGTGCTGAGAACAAGGTGATCTTGACTAACAGAAACAGAAACACATAAAGCTGCAGACCTGCAGGGGAGAAAACAAGAGAACAGCTTGATGTGATCAGGACATTATTATCATTATTATTATTATCTGAGCTAACATCTTTATCTTGTTTCACTTAAATGTCAATTCAATTTAAACTTTAATGTTAGTGAAAATAATTCCGTTTCTATAAATTTGTTGCAGAATCTCAATTTTTGCTCCTTCCTCTTTAGGGATCCATCAGCTCTGACTGCTCTGCTGATTGCTCCAGTATGTTCAATGCAAACAGACTCATTGTTTGATTTTTGCTAAGGTTTGGACAAACTCTGAAGGAGAAGAAAACAAGGACGAATCCTTCATGGCTGAAAAGCCTTTTGGTTTTAATGTAGTTGTTCATAAATGGAGAACATCAGTTTCTGTGTTTGCTCACCTTTGCTCTTCATGGCCGTTCTGTTGCAGCAGAAAATCACCAAAGCCGTTGATAACAAGATGATCTTGGCGATCAGAGTCAGAAACACAGAAGGCTTCAAACCTGCAGCAGAGTTAAAGAGAGAACAAGTCGGTTTGATCAGGACAAAGTGGAAAATGTGCAGCATCTGATCCAAAAGCTCATTGATCCTTGTTCTTGTTTGCAAACACATTTAAATGTTGGCATCTCTTCAAATCCTTCTGGTTCCGCGGTTAAACATGGTGAATACTGAGCTGTGTTTTCCAGACTGTGTGAAACTGAGATTCTGTGAAATTTGCAACCCCAATGGAATAGAACATGAACAGAATAGTTTGTGGCATCTCAAGTGATTCTATCAGAAAGGCTTTATTAAGAGACAATGACTTCAGTTATTGTCTCAATCTGGCCCCAATACTGAGGAAAGCAACACATTAGCTCGCCAAGCTAACACAGTTGATGTTGTAATCTCCTCTTGCAAACAGTAAAGATGACCTTCGCCCCGCCCACATATTATAGCTGACGACAATAATTGAGGAGGCTCTCACATTGCAAAAATAAAAAATGCCCAGCATCCAGACAGCAGTGCAGAAAGATGAACCATTACAAAACCTGCTGCTTCCTACAACATACTGCATGATATTAAACTCAGATGTGACACCCATGGTGGCGATGCAGGGCGGCGTTAAAGCTGAACTCATATGGTTGAAAATAAAGGTGTGATAACTGTGGTCACTGAGCCCACTGACACGATTTTCTCACGGGTAGCAGAACTTTAACAGGACAAAACTAGAAACCAGGCTCTGCATCATCCCCAAAGACCAAACACCCTCAACATCCCATGCAGAGCATTGAAGAAATAGCTGCAAATATCAGGAGCAACAGTGTTTTCTGTGCTGGATGCTGAAAATTCATTCTGACAGGAGCAACAAAAACAATCCCTGCTGAAGATAATTAGTGCATCTTTTGGTTGGTACAGATTTCTGTTGATGCCCATTGGAACCAACTCCAGGTATCTTAGTTTCAGTCGATATAATAATCATATGCTAATCTGTTGATCCTGCAAGAGAAAAGTCTGGAGTTCATTTTTCAGTTTCTTTTGTAAAAACTTATGAGTTCCTAATGTTTTCACACTAACTGCTCACATCCAAGTCAAAATGAAATGCTGAACATTTTTCTACTTCAAGTTTGTGCAATTTCCTCTTTTTTTACCACTGAAGTTTTTGTGTGAGCGGCTCTATGCATGGAAAGTTTTATCTTTGTGCAGCACATTACAATCTAAAACCCATTGTTTTTACATGTTTATTTTGTGAAGATTTTATAATCTGTGATCAAGTAAAAAACAAAAGATCTCTAGTAAAATCACCATAAATGGAGACATAAACACAATATTTTAGTACATTATTGACAAAAAATTACATTTTGTGAAAAATAAATCAACCACATTGTGAGTTTAGATTCAGGAAGTAACAGTGTGAGATAAAAACAGCACAGTGTGTTATGACTCGCCTTTCTGATGATGGAGGTTTTTCCTCTGGCAGTAAATCAGCAGAGCCGTCGCTGACAAGATGATCAGGACGGCCAGACTCAGACCCACATAGAGCAGCGGATCAGTTTCACCTGTTTTAATATAAATCAATATTTTTGGTTCTCTGCTTGTTTTGTTTCTGAGCCACATAATTACACAGGTCTGGACTAATCCAGACCTGTCATATGTTGAGGCCCTAAAACTGCTTTGTCAATAATATTGATTTACAGCAATGAAAGAAAAATCATAAAACATCAACTGTCATTAATCAACATTAGAAAAACCTCAGCAGATTCTTTACCATTGGGTTCTGATGAAGTTGTGGTCGGGTTGATGGTTGTAGACAAAGAGTCAGAAAAGGATAAAGTTGCTGCTGTGAGAAATTAAACATTCATGATACCAGTGAAGATGTTTCTGTGTGAGTCTCAGTTTGAACATGTTGGATGATTTAATCAGGTAAAAACATTTGAACTCAGATTTAAACTCAGTTTGAGGTAATTTGGATCAGAAGAAGCTGACAGTCAGCAGAGTTTACATTCAGAGACAAAAAGGAAGATTTTCAGGAGAGAAACTCACCTTCAATTACATCCAGATAAAATTCCTGATATTGAGATTGGTTTTTACCCAAACCACATTGGTACCGTCCAGAATCAGATCGTTTCAGCTCTGAGATGCTCACATAGAGAACACCTGCAGTATAATATGATTCAAAGAAAGTTCTGTATCTGCCTTTCTTAGCTCTGTTTTCTATTGTGTTAATCAGAATATTTTCTCCTTCACAGTTTTTCTTACAGAAGATAATCGGGTTTTTGGACTCCGTAAATAAACATTCGACTGTGATGTTTTCTCCTTCCATTCTTGTATAGGTTTTTGCAGCGTCTCCATCCTGCAGAGCTGCTGAGAAGATAAACAGACAATAATCACTGTGATGTTCAGTGTGATATTGAAGAGTAAATATGTTTTATAAAAATAACTGAAGATGTGAGAATAAGTTAACATTGATTCCAACATTTTAAACTAATTCTAATAAATTCCCCAAACATTTATGTTGCACATCAACCTTCTGGTTTCTACCTGGTTAAATCTTCAACAGAGAAGCACCTCAAACTTAAACAAGCTTTTAAACAAAGCTTATTTAAAAGCTAAAAAGTTTCTATTTTATGTTTGGTTTTATATTTTTAGAGCTTGGTTCTGTCCTGAAGATTTATCACTGTGCCTGTGATGAAATGTTGGTATTGCATTTTGTGGTTTCCTTTTATTTGTGTTTTCCGCTTATTCTCCTTTTCAACTTCTTTAGATCTATGACAAAAACGTTCTCTGAAGCAGTGGTTCTCAAATGGGGGTACGCGTACCCCTGGGGGTACGTGGAGGTACTGCAGGGGGTACATGAAGCTTTTCAAAATAGCTTTAAAAAATCAGTCGGCTCCTCATAATAAGTCTTGGAAAAAATTATTTTGTAAAAAGTTCGATAAAATATAAATGTGTGTTCATGCACTGAATTTTATATTCAGTATTTAGTTTCAATATCCTTTAAAATAAACTGTAACTATGGAGACGTGGCTAAAGCGTAGCAGCAATGCTGCTGAAAGTTCAGATAGAGTGAAAAAGAAGGTAAAACCAGAGCCGAAGAAGTACAGAACGTACATGGAAAAGTATGTTTTAATGGGATTTACGTCCACGATCTCTGACCCCACAGGCACTGTGGGTTTTTTACGGGGAGAAATTAGCCAACGTTAGCATGCAGCCTGCTAGCATGCAGCGGCATCTCACCACAAAACATGGACGCCATGTTGGTAAGACACCGGAGTTCTTCAGGAGAAAACTTTCTCAGTTCAAGTCATTCAAAGCCACAATGCGAAAAGCCTCCACTGCATCAGCCAAAGCAACGAGCAAAGACACGCGATGTCTTTGCTCGTTGCTAAAGCCAATAAACCACAGCGGAAGACCTGCTGCTCCCCGCTGCAGATGAAACTATGCTGGACAAAAAATCAGCGGATACATTAAAAACTCTGTCTAATGACACCGTTACTTACTGTTCAAACCGAATCAAATGTTCAATGCAAAGTGATTAAAGTGCAATCTTTTTTTTTTTTATCCGAAAAGAGGTAATGTTTATTGTTTTTTGTGAGCAAATCTTTATTTATAAAGTTAATTTATTTTGTAAACAAAATATAATTTATTTATAATTAAGTTACAGATTTAGGGTTCACCCTGGAGAGGTCGCCAGTCAACACAAAGACAAACAACCATGCACACTCACACCTAGGGAGAATTTGGGAAGGCCAATTAACCTGACAGTCATGTTTTTGGACTGTGGGAGGAAGCCGGAGAGAACCCAACAGGGAGAACATGCAAACTCTGTGCAGAAAGACCCCGGGCCGGGAATCGAACCCAGGACCTTCTTGCTGCAAGGCAACAGCGCTACCCACTGTGCAGCCCCACAGCACAGTTTTTTTTCTTCCAAAAATGTTTTGCCCGTGTCAGGGGGTACTTGACTAAAAATACATTTTTAAGGGGGTACATCACTGAAAAAAGTTTGAGAACCACTGCTCTAAAGCAACAAACTCTTGAGTTCAAGATAAAACTGAACATTTTGTTCATTCAAATCTGCATTTTAACAACTACAAGAGTTTGCTATTTTGTGCTGAAATAATTTGACTTTGCATCCAGGAAACTGTGCATTCATGCAAAATGGATAGTTGCTATTTTGCAAATATATTAGTGATTTGAAAAGCTTAAAATAACTCAATTAACATTAGAATTATGCTATTTACACTTTAACATCTTTTAACACAGAAACCAACAGGATGCAGGAGAGAAAACCTCACAGAAACAGAGTTGGTTTCAAACTTTTCAACCAAGTTGAAATTCTCCTTGGTAAACTGTGACAAACTGAAAGGATGAAGGACTGAGAGCAGAGACACTGATATAAATAAAATAATAATGTACTCACTGAGGAAGAAGAGGCAGATCAGACAGACCTTCATCCTGAGCTGCTGATGGTTTCTAACTGCTTCTCTTCCTGCTTCACTGATAAACCAGCAACTTCTCTGCAGGATGCAGTTCCTCCTCTGAACACCAGAGGGCACTACTACTTTTACTGCAGAGTTAAAGTTTCTGTAGATTATTCTTCAACAGATCAAAGAGTTTCTTTGCCTTTGGGAAACAATTAATTTGTTTAATTAATGTTGTTCCTGCTTCGACCATTTTAAAAGAACACAAAACGTACTATTTTGTGTTCTTTCATATATTAGGAAATGAGGGTTAAATTTTGAATAATTTATAATATTATCACATTAATTAGTCGACATTCAACATTTAAACATCCAAACAGATGACTTTATTCATCACATTCATGACTGTAGATCAGCAGCAGTGAAATGATGAAATGCAACATCTCGTCATATCAGGACAGATCTGATGGTTACTGGATCTGCATCCTTTAATGAAACATCTTGACGCTCTCTGATCGTCCTGTCAACTGATTTTCCCGACAGAGAGTCTGGTGGCATTTTTAAGAGGAAAACAGAGGAGGAGTTGTCTCCATTTTATTATAAGTAAAATGTTATAAAAGGGTTATTTTGTATATTTCAGTACAGCTGTTAGAAATGGACAAACCACATTTTCATTCTAAGTTATAAAAATATTCTTTTAACATGTGTATAGTTTCTTGTCTTAACATTTTTTTCTACTTGTTTTTTTTTTGTGATTTAAGGTCCAATGTGTCACTACAAAAATAAAAAAGTAAAATAAAATAAAAAACTAAATTTATACCTGTGAAGTTGTGTTGAAATAAATAGCAAACAAATACAAACATTTTAAAATAAAATCTAAAACAGTACTCCATACATACTCGGAATTAAAAACTGGCGAATATAAAGTAATATAAAGACTGTGAGGACATTACATGTAACACAAAAGAAAGTTTTGGTTCTTTTTTTTACAGTCTGAATCGATCCTTAGGTGTTGCATGTGTCATTTTCTGTGCATATTTTGACATGATCCTGTAAATGTTTTGCCTAAACCCGTCTCAGTCCTGCCCTCTTTGGTCAAACAGTGCTTACTGCAGTTTAATTTTGCTCACAATGCAGCTTAAACTCCTCGACTCATCTCCACGTTTGGTCCACATTATCATTTAGCTTCCACATTTATCAGGGAGCTGCTGTTGCAATTATACAACAACAGGAACATTAAATTATCCAAAGTTTGTACATCAGATCTGCTATTTCCAGAGGAGTTAGTTAAAAAGTAGACAGTTTGTTTAACCAAAGTCTGAAAAACATATTTCTGCTGACTCATAAAAAAAATTATTCGATCCACAACAAAACTTGTTCAAAAGTGTTTTAAATAGAGAAAAAGCTGAAAACAGAGACATTTCAAGAACCACCAACATATGAAAAATAAAACAATAAAAATGTAAAATATGAAACACATGTACACATATTTTTGTTTTACTAAAAACCTAATGAATGTAAATACTTTTATAAATACAGTTATAGCGATTAGATAATCTTTCAAATATCTTCTGTACATTCAATAAAGGAACATTATTTAGCCAAGTTGGAAACTTATTTAATAATTCAGCTCTTCTATAATTTATAGGAAACTTTCCTATAAGTTTGATTTTTGGTCATTTTCTTGTGAAAACATGAGACTAAATGTTCTTCATCTGCACTTTGACCTTTGATTGTTTCAGATTTAAGTTCAGCAGATGATTTACTTTTTCTCTCCTCTATTCTGATTTCTTTTCTCTTTTATTCTTCATTCTCTCCTGTGTTTTCTGTGTCTATACTAAAGTCTCCAATGTTTTGTTTAGTTTATTTTTTATTCTTCCTCCAGAGCTGAAACACTGTAAACAGACATATTTATCAAATATTTGTCTTTCATTCATTGTTTTGCATTTCAACTCATTTCTACTTAAAGCTGACGTTTTGGGTTTTTATCTAATTATCTGTTTACTTTGACAACATGCCGTGTCATTTGGCAGAGCTGCAGCTGAAGCATCACATGAGCTGAACGGCAGCAGCGGTTCTGGATTTGATTGATTATTTTAGGCAGACCTGTGGATACTATTACATTAATCAATGCGACATATGGATGAATGAATGTTGAGATTTTAGTCCTTCCGTCCTGCTAATATTCTCCCGGGTATAAAAGACCAACTTTTCAACTGTCTTTACATGTTTTGGAAGGTTCAGTCCATCACTACATCCAGATTTCAGGTCTAATCTCTCATTTCCTGCTGTAATAAATGAGTGGCTCCCATGTGGACTGATTTTGGTCACGTCTCTGTCGCCGAGTCTTTAGCATCTTGATCCAAAGTAATGGTGGAATAAAGACCAGGTGAAATGTTGTCATGGCTAACAGAGCTCATATCTAACTGAGGTTCTGAGTAGGTGACGTTATCTGAAACACCAAGATGGCCGCCGTTGGATCCGGTGTCATCACTCAACAACTGCACTTCAGAATACTCTGCTTCTCCATTTTCAGCCTGGAAGAAAAAAAGATAAATGCTTTAGTTTGTACATTTATACTTTAAAATGTTTCTACAAGCAAAATTTAGAGTAACTGAATAATTAGTTAGTTATTATTCACAAATGTTTTCTATCTATTCTGAATGAGTTTCATCTGTTTTGCAGAGAAAGGTGAACAAAACATTTCAGTCACTACGGAAAAATCTGCAGCAACAAAATGTTTCCATGAATTATTGACCAGTGAAACATTCACATCTGTTTATCTTTCACATAAAACTTAAACTGTAGATTAAACTGCTTTGTTTTCTATAAGTTTGCTTGGAAATGACACTTTAAGAAGTTAAAGAACAACCCAGATGAAAAAAATATCTGTTAAAAACATCAAAACATCAGATCATTTAAAATTTTCTGAGAAAATTAAAACTTAAATCTTTATCAAATGAAAGAAGCACAAATATATTGTGTTTCTGCCAAAAGAAAGTAAAACCATTTTTTATGACAGAAGCTAAATTGCAAATCTTTTCATTTAACTGCTAATCCATCCACAGACATTTTAAAGCCTTCCTATTTTCTTTAAGTCAGTTAAAGCAACTGGGGAAAAATGTTTATCCTCTAATGAATTAAATCTACCTGAGAAAGTTACTTTGTTTACGGGATTTGGAGCAAAATATTCAATGTTTTACCAAAGAACATGAAACAAAACACTCAGAGCTCAGTCTTTGCCCTCTCTGTGTAACAGTAAAACTATATTTTGCATTTTTAGCTCAACCTGAATGACAAAAATAAGAACAAATATTATTATTACTGACTTGACCCTGCGGTTTTCCGGCCAGACTGTATAATTCGTTGCTTTCAGCTGCGTTTGGTTTGTTGGATTGGGCGTAAGCGTAAACTGAAGATATTTCCCCAGCAGGAGGTTTGTTCTCTCTGTCGTCGTCTCTGATCTCCTCATAAATGGCGTTGATCTGCAGAACCAAGAGTGTAAATTTGGTCAAGAAGCAGGTTTTACAAACTGACTGCTGCTGATTAGAAAGACGCTGCAGACGTTTTTACTCTGACTAACCGTTAAGTCGGTGGGATTTGTTTCCACTGGACGACCTGAAAAACAAAACGAGGAATTATCTGACTTAAAGCAGTATCATAAAATTGTTGGAGTTAGTAGATTCCCTTTTTGATTTTGATCTGGACTTTGACTGGGCCATTCTAACACAAGACTATTTCTTTGAGCTAACATCTGCAACTTCCTGCAGAGTTTTGATGCAGTTCTGCTTCAACACATTTAAAAGGTTGAATTTCCTCTTTTGCATGTCAAGTTCTGCAGAACACCACAAACTCAAAATTATGAAATTACAAATATGTGTAACTTCAGTCTGCTTCAAGTTTGCGCAATTTCCCCTGAAGCTTTACATGAACAGAGCTTTTTATAAAAAGCCTTGACTTCATGTAACACCTTATAACAAAGCAACTGTTTAAAGATCACATTTTATACTATTGACTTCATGTAGATTTTATAATTTGTGAGCAAGTAAAAGAAAAAGGAACTTTAGTAAAATTATAATAAATGGAGACAAAGTTTCACTCTGATGATAAATTACATTTGGGCCAAATACAGGAACCACATTGTGAGTTTAGTTTCAGTGTGTGTCGGTGTGAGAAGTGTGTGTGAGATAAAACAGCACAGTGTGTTATGACTCGCCTTTCTGATGATGGAGGTTTTTCCTCTGGCAGTAAATCAGCAGAGCCGTCGCTGACAAGATGATCAGGACGGCCAGACTCAGACCCACATAGAGCAGCGGATCAGTTTCACCTGTTTTAATATAAAGCAATATTTTTGGTTCTCTGCTTGTTCTGTTTCTGAGCCACATAATTACACAGGTCTGGACTAATCCAGACCTGTCATATGTTGAGGCCCTAAAACTGCTTTGTCAATAATATTGATTCACAGCAATGAAAGAAAAATCATAAAACATCAACTGTCATTAATCAACATTGTAAAAACCTCAGCAGATTCTTTACCATCGAGTACTGATGAAGTTGTGGTCGGGTTGATGGTTGTAGACAAAGAGTCAGAAAAGGATAAAGTTGCTGCTGTGAGAAATTAAACATTCATGATACCAGTGAAGATGTTTCTGTGTGAGTCTCAGTTTGAACATGTTGGATGATTTAATCAGGTAAAAACATCTGAACTCAGATTTAAACTCAGTTTGATGTTATTTGGATCAGAAGAAGCTGACAGTCAGCAGAGATTACATTCAGAGACAAGAAGGAAGATTTTCAGGAGAGAAACTCACCTTCAGTCACATCCAGATAAAAGTCCTGATATTGAGATTGGTTTTTACCCAAACCACATTGGTACCGTCCAGAATCAGATCGTTTCAGCTCTAAGATGCTCACATAGAGAACACCTGCAGCATAATCTGAGTCATAGAAAGTTTTGTATCTGCCCTCCTGAGCTGGGTTTTCTGTTGTGTTAATCAGAATATTTTCTCCTTCACAGTTTTTCTTACAGAAGATAATCGGGTTTTTGGACTCTGTAAATAAACATTCGACTGTGATGTCTTCTCCTTCCATTCTTGTATAGGTTTTTGCAGCGTCTCCGTCTTGCAGAGCTGCTGAGAAGATAAACAGACAATAATTACTTTGATGTTCAGTGTGATATTGAAGAGTAAATATGTTTTATAAAAATAACTGAAGATGTGAGAATAAGTTAACATTTTAAACTAATTCTAATAAATTCCCCAAACATTTATGTTGCACATCAACCTTCTGGTTTCTACCTGGTTAAATCTTCAACAGAGAAGCAACTCAAAGTTTACTTAAAAGCTAAAAAGTTTAGATTTTATTTTTGTTTTTATATTTTTAGAGCTTGGTTCTGTCCTGAAAATTTATCACTGTCTATGATGAAATGTTGGTATTGCATAACTTTGTGGTTTCCGTTTATTCTCCTTTTCAACTTCTTTAGAACTATGACAAAAACGTTCTCTAAAGCAACAAACTATGAGCACAAAGCAAAACTGAACAATTTGTTTAGTTAAATCTGCATTTTAACAACTACAAGATGGTTAGTTATTTAAACAGATCAACATATTTTACCACAGAAACCAACAGGATGCAGGAGAGAAAACCACACAGAAACAGATTCGGGTTCAAATCTTTCAACCAAGTTGAAATTCTCCCTGGTAAACTGTGAGGAACTGAAAGGATGAAGGACTGAAAGCAGAAAAACTGATATTAATAAAATAATAATGTACTCACTGAGGAAGAAGAGGCAGATCAGACAGACCTTCATCCTGAGCTGCTGATGGTTTCTAACTGCTTCTCTTCCTGCTTCACTGATAAACCAGGAACTTCTCTGCAGGATGCAGTTCCTCCTCTGAACACCAGAGGGCACTCTCCTCCTCTTTTACTGTTGAATAATAATATTTCTTAAAGCTCAAAAGGCTTCATTTCACAAATTCTGCGAGTTTTATCCTTTAAATAAAAACTGATGCTGGAATTAAATACGAGAAGTAAAAAATCTGAAGCACAAAAACATAAAACATCACAATGAGCTTCAAACAAACAACTGGAAATGAGAAATAAACATTTATTTCCTGGTAACCATAGAAACATTACAGCGCTGATTACACATGAAAACAATATTTCATGTTTTAGCCGCAAGTTTCAGTTTATAACTAATCAGAAATTATGATGCAAAATGTAAACTAAAGAATTCAACTTGTTTTATTATAAACTGCAGAAAAATGTTGTTTATCAACAAAATTATAAGACTTTCTATGTCCTGCAACATCTACTGAAAGAAAACTTAAATATTTCATTATTTGTGTTTCAAATGATGAAATAATTGAGTCTGAGCTGCTCTAACTGCTCTTCCGTTATCTTAGTAAATAAATATTTTTATGAAGAAATATATTTACCTAAACTATAAAAAGGGAGCTGTGATTACTCACAAAAATATGTAATAAAATTTTAGATAAGACCCGAAAGACTTAAAGATTAAAAGGATAAAATTTATTTTCTCATCAATTTTACATAAATATATCAGCCTTTTCAGTTCATATCAAAATAGATTAACAAGAAAGTTGAAGGAAAACAGTTTACATCAGTTTTTAATTTTACTGATCAACGACATTAACATTAAGACATTCGGTTCATCTGATGTAACAAAAAGTAATGTCTGTACACATCCAAGATTAATTTAAATGATTAAATGTAACCAGAAATAATGAGAAATTTCTTTAATTTAATAATATTCATTCTTTGCAACACAATACCCTTTGACCCAGGATTTTATTTCCCTTTCATTAATGTGATGTATCACGCCATATATTTCTACTCTGATATTAAATAAAAGTTAAGAAATACATACATTTATTTAATTTCCATCTGTTTTGTTACTTTTAGAGATTTATGTTCTCGAAGCAGAAAATTACTGGAAGCAAATTTCAGTTTCTGAACTATTTCTGTAGTTATGTCTCTCATATATAAATCAGAATAATTATTTTTAGAGGAATAAAAACAGTAACGTTTTAGCAGAACCAGAGCAGAGCTACTGCTGTAAACTGATGTTGGAGTAAAGAGCAGAATCATTGCTGCAGTTTGTAAAGTTCATCTGAATCTCTGAGTAAGTGGCGTTTTCTGCATGACCACAGGGGGCGCTGTGGGCTGAAGGCGAGGCACCATTCAGGAACTGGACCTCAGAGTACTCTACTGCATCATCTTTAGCCTGGAAGGAAACAAGGAGAAACATTTCAGTTTGTAACTTCATATAGAAGCTACAAACTGAAGGGATATAATTTCCCTTCATGCAGAAAATGATATTTTAGTCAAATGGACCATTTGGAGCACAAAATCTGTTATTAATTTAAATGAGCTTGAGTCAAGTTTAGATGTTGACTTACTACATTATAATTCAAACCTATTGAAGCGGTTTATGGAGGCAGAGAGTGAAATACTATCAATATTTTTGCACTTATTTTGTGACACCATGATATTTTTTTTGTTTTCACAAGTTGATTTTCTCAAATTTGATTAAGATTTTAGACAATAGTTTCCTGTTAGGCTGTTGAATTGTTTCCTCCTTTGTACTTTTCTTACCTGGAAGTTTTTGCTGTTTTCTGTTTCTTCTGAAGAACCTGAAAAACATGAAGTTCAGAAAATATGACAATAGATTTTCTAATGTAAAACATTTTTAGCATCTTATATGTAATTATGACACAGTAGAAAATACATTTAGTTACTCTATTGGTTTGTAACATTGTAGCTATTATATTGCACAACTAATTGAATTAATAACTTGTTTATTGAAGTTAGTCTTTGAATATAAACACAAAAAACTAAAAAACAAAAAAAGATCAAATCAACCCAAACTCCAGACTGTTCCATGGGGAATTGACCCAGTTTCCCCAGTTGAGCCAATCTGAGCTTCGCTCCTCCAGAACATTTCACATTTCACAATAAAAATTGAGCTGGAGGTGAAATTCTATCCAAACTTTTAGCAGACTGATGTTTCCTCACTGACTGTCAGAAACGATGCAGCAACATTCAGTGTTGAAAGAGAAGCATTGAGTTCATTTCATATTTGGCGTTTGCACAACATTACAGAAACTTTGTGATTAAACCAAAGATCACATTCAGATGGTGAAATATGTGAAATAATGAAATACAGAAAATTTTCCAAAAGTGAAGAATCATTTACAGCCTCTTCATGAATTATTCTCCAAAAAATAAAGTTTCAGGTAAAAATAAAACACATTTATATAGTAAACAACCATGTTATAAAACCTGCATTTATAGTGATAAAGCGATAAATAAGGCCATCTGTTGTTAAAATGATGTGTATCAGAAGGTTAAATTTAGTTTTTCAGTATCAGTAATATTTTACCTTCGTCCTGTAACTCACCTTTCTGTTGCTTGAAGTTTTTCCTCTTGATGAAAATCAGTAGAGCTGCTGCCAAGGAGACGATCAGGACGACCAGAACCAGAACCAGACCCACATAAGGCATCAGATCTGCAGGGACGATTAGAGTTTGTCTCAGTTTATTCTGAGAAAAAGAACCTGCAACATAAATGTTTTAGTAGTTTGATTATTTGTAAACTTTAATCATGCTGAATTGTGCAGTTTTTTCATGTAAATGCTCTGAGTCTCACTGATGAACAAAGTTGGACTTTAATAAACTCAAATTATCTGATAAACATGAACAGATGATGAACCTGAAGCTGCAGCTGGTTTATCAGAGAGTTTGTTGGTTTCAGATGGAGGAAGAGAGAAACTCTGAGTTGATGTTGTTGTTGTTGTTGTTGTTGCTGTTGTTCTTGTTGTTGTTGCTTCTGTTGTTGTTTTAATTGTTGTTTTAGTGGCGGCTGCTGGGATAAAAGTTGATCCTATAGAAGGTCTCGGAGTCCATTTTGGTTTTGAAGAATCTGAAGATGTGAGAATGAAACAGAACCACAGTGAGTTTAAATTTTTAAGTTTACTAAATTTTACGATTGATGTGTGTCTTTAGGTGTTGCAGTTTGTTGGCCTTTGAATGTTGATCTGATGACAACTTGAACTGAAATTTCAATTCAGAAAACTCACCTTCAATCACAGAAAGATCAAAATGATCGTATAGAGTTCCACGAAGGGTTTCATCGGAGCGACACTGGTACCGTCCTGAGTCTGACGGTTTCAGATCAGTGATCCACACATGCAGAAAATCAGATTTAAAAATATTTCTTCTCTCATATTTGATGCTGAATCTGCCGTTCTCATCTCTGTCTTCGGTTGTTTCAATGAGAATATTTTTTCCTTCACAAGTTTCCTTACAAAGAAACCTTTTCTTTCCATAATAACCAAATTTACATGTAACTGTGAAGTTTCCTCCTTCCTCTCTGTAGAAGTTTCTTACAGTTTCTCCATCCTGCAGAGCGACTGAGGAGAAAAACAGTCAGTAGTTACTGTCATTGTGGAATATAATAATGTTTAAATACAGAATAAATGTTAATTTCACCCTTTTTTCTCATAAAGTCTCTAAATATTTTCTGTTTTTTTTCACACTGGCTGAAAAAATCTCCAGAGAGGAAATTTGTAAAAGCTCAGAAAAGCTTTGGATCAAAAGTGAAACATTTTTCTCTGTTTTATGTCTCTAAAAACAGTTTGGGTGTTGCTGGTCGGATACTTCTGCTCTGATTTTCCTCTTCAGGTGTTTTAAAAATTATGAAACAAGCAGCTGTTTCCTGTAGTTCTCTGACAAGATGAACCAACAAGTGTCCAAACTAACAGAGCATGAACTCCATGGGAAGTGTTTTGTTTATCCAATTATAAATCTGAACAATTTTCTTTTGGCATTTTGTTCGGTTTTTGTGTGAATAAAATCAGTTTTCACCCTTATTTTTAATATCAGCATGCTTGACCACAAAATGAACAGAAAGTTAAAGATAAAACTGGAGAAATAAATAATTCTGCAGAGGCATTAAGAATAAATGACTGTAAAACTCAGCATCCTGAAGATTTTTTTAGTACATAAATTTAACTAAACATGCAAGAATAAATTACCATTGATTCTGACATTCTGGTGAATTGTCGAAATATTTTTGTATCTTAACACTAAAAAGTCAATATGATTTATATTTTGATCACAGTTTTAAAACACAGCTCTGCCCTGCAGATTGTGTTACCATGTTTGTGAAAAAGCTTTGATGTTGTAGGACTTTGTGGTTTCTGCTGAACTTCCGTTTTCAGTTTCTTCCAATGACCTGTGAAACACCAAAGTCTTTCTCTTTTTCTCTATTTTTACTCTTGGTTTTGTAGCAAACTGCAGCAGATCGTGAGCGGAAGATAAAACTTTACATTTTGGTTATTTATATATGCATTACAACAATTTGTAGATGGTCAGTTTTCTGCTTTTGTGCCAAAATAATCTGTCTTTGGGTCCCATTTATTTTTGATACATTCATGTGTCATTCATTTGTTGAATAAATGAGTGATTTGACAAAGTTAGAATAATTAAATGAACTCTATGATAAAAAAAAAACATATCTATTTGAACTGACCAACATGTTTTAAAACAAAAACCAGCAAAGAAAACTAGAGAAACTGAATCGGCTTCAAACCTTTCAACAATGTAGAAAAACCTGTGAGGAACTGAAAAGGATGAAGCAAAGAAATTTACATAAATGAAATAATAATGTACTCACTGAGGAGGAAGAGGCAGATCAGAGTGAGACAGACCTTCATCCTGAGCTGCTGATGGTTTCTAACTGCTTCTCTTCCTGCTTCACTGATGAACCATATACTTCTCTGCAGGATGCAGTTCCTCCTCTGAACACCAGAGGCCACTAGAGTTAAAGTTTCTGTAGATGTTGAAACAGTTTGCTTTTCATGAAGGACTACACTAACTGTTTTAATTAAATGCAATTGTTCTATATTCAAAAAACATTAGATTAGGTTAAAACTTTAATATTTTAGAACATTACAACATTAATTAGTTGACTAAACATCCAAACTGATTACCTTAATTATAACTTTATCACTATAAATGTGGGTTTTATAACATGGTTGTTTGCTATATTTAGATAAAGACTTTAGAAATGCAAATCTATATTTGTGTTATAAGTAATAAATATGATAATTGTTATTTTTGCAAATTTCATTCTTTCATAATAATCTAAATGATTTCAATTTGTTGTTGTATATATTCTTTTGTCTGATTTAAAGTGCAATGTGTCCCTAAACTTTGTCAAAGTCTAATTCCAACATGTGAGGTTGTGCTGAAATAGATAATACCAAAAAGGCAATATAAACAGTTTTTATTAATATAGAAATAAAATAGAACGTTTTCCAAACATAGTCATGTAACACCGGGAGTATAAGATTGAAAACATATTTTATTAATAAGGAAATGTAAAAAACAAAATCACATTTTTATCCAAGTAACAGAACTTATTGCAACATTTAGGTTCTCTACGAAAATATGTAATACGCTTGATTTTTGATTATTTTATTGTGAAAACATGAGACCAAATGTTCTTCATCTGTACTTTGAGCTCTGATTGTTTCAGGGAGTTCAGTTCAGGAAACTGTAAATATTTTATCAGCGTTCTCAGTTTCCACAGCAGAATCTGAAAAACATTCAGACCAGAGAAATGAAACGTCTGATTTACAGACACAACAAACTCTCTGTTTTCTCACCTTTGCTTTTCATGGTTCTCCTCTTGCAGCAGAAAATCACCAAAGGTGTTGAGAACAAGATGATCTTGGTGACCAGAGACAGAATCACATAAAGCTGCAGACCTGCAGGAGAGTTAAAGAGAGAAAAGCCTGGTTTGAACTGGACAAGATGAAAATGTGGCTTTTCTGATATAAACAGCTGATGATCTTCATCTTTGCTACAACATTTAGACGTCAGCATCCCTGCACATTAATCTGATTCTGAGATGAGAGAAGATAAATATTCATTCATGCAGTCTAATCTGTGCTTGTATAAAATAATAAATATTTACAGTTTGCAGCAAAGGCTGGTACAATGAATCTCAAATAATTTAATTTTTTTTTATTCTTTAGCCAAAATCATTAAAAATGGTCGCAATACATGACTGATGATTAAATTGTCATTTTCCTTACAGTGTACAATACAACGATGAGATGGTGCTCCATAAAACCTGAACGCATCATGATGTGTTCAGGTTGACTGGTTTTCTGGCCCAATCACCAACACACAAATCAGAAGAAGTTTTAGTTACTTTAGTTTCTGTAATTTTGTTGTTTATTGAATGTTGAATGTCAAGGCTTTTATTTTTAATAGTTTATTTCGCATCTTTGAGACTCACTGATAAATTTCTCAACAACATCTAATAAACATGAAGAGATGATGAACCTGAAGCTGCAGATGGTTCAGATGGAGAAGGAGAGAAACTCTGAGTTGATGTCGGGAGGAAAGTTGAATCTGAGGATGTGAGAAAGAAAAAATCATAACCACTGAGGTTAAATTTAGATTCTTCATGTTTTTATTATTGATTTGTCTTCATTAGTTGCAGTTTGAAAATGATGGCTTTGTAAATCAGATATCCTGAAACCTGAGTTTAACCCAGAAAACTCACCTTCAGTCACAACAAGATGAAAATCATAGTCCCGAATTCCTCTCCATATATCTTCTAAGCGACATCGGTACCGACCTGAGTCCGATGGTTTCAGATCTGTGATGCTCACATATAAATAATTATATTTGGCTAAATGTCTTCTTTCATTTCTGATGCTGAATCTTCCTCTCGTATAGCTGTCTTCAGTTGTTTCAATGAGAATATTTTCTCCTTCACAAGTTTCCTTACAAAGAAACTTTTTCTTTAAATAGTAAAAAAAATCACATCTAACTGTAATGTTTTCTCCTTCATTTCCTCTGTAGGTTTCCAGAGTTTCTCCATCCTGCAGAGCTGATGAGGAGAAAAACAGTCAGTAATTTCTGAGATTCACCTGCTTGAAGAAAAAAATATTTGTATGAATTTAACTGAACTGAATGTATATCATAATATAATGAAAATATAATCACAAATTTACTTGCATGTCTTAGAATAACTTTAACTTTAATTCTCTTAATAACTGGATAAATCATGTTTTTTATATATAAAAAACTTTATTGAAGAAGGCTGTAAATTAAAGCTTTGGTGAAAGAAATAAACATTTTTCTTTGTTTTGTTTTATTAAGAAGGTATTGCTGCACTCAGTTACTTCTGCTCTGATATTCCTCTTTATTTGTATTACAAATGTTGAAACAAGCCGTTGTTTCCTCTTTTTCTTAGACTAGATGACTTTTATAAAACCATCAGTTTTCTGAAACAACAGACTGAGCTCTGAGGGCGGTGAGTTTTATTTTCTTTTTATTTTAATATAAATTACTACTATCCTGTATATGTGTAAAGTTTAGATTCAGAGTTTTACCATTTCAGTATTTGACCAACTTTTCAAGAAAAAGTAACAGATGAAACTGGAAGAAAAGTCAAAGATCAGTTTAAAACTGTTCAAGTTAAAAATGTACTTATTCCTCAGTTTATTCCTCGCAGATAAACGGTGAGGATAAAGGACTGAGGGTAGAAAAACTGACATGAATGAAAAATGTACTCACTGAGGAAGAAGAGGCAGATCAGACAGACCTTCATCCTGAGCTGCTGATGGTTTCTAACTGCTTCTCTTCCTGCTTCACTCATAAACAGAAACGTCTCAGCAGGAAGCAGTTCCTCCTCTGAACACCAGAGGGCACTCTCCACCTTATTTTGTTTCTTTTTTAAAACTTCCTGTCTGCACCAATAGTCAACTTTATTGTTGTAAGCTAACGTTTACAACCATGCTAAAATCGGATCACACTGTTTGAAGCAAAGCTTACTGACGTTATTTTAAGTCACACACCTTCAGTGTGTGACTTCCACTTCACACTTCAGCAACTAACTCAGTGGTTCCCAACCCTCGGGCCGCGGACCAACACCGGTACAAGAAGTATTTAAGTATTTCCGAGTACAACAGGTTCTGTCGGTTCATGTGTTCAGCCACATGGCTGGAGCAACAGTGATGTGATCAGAAAGTATTGAGTGTCTTCTATTAAATGAAGTATTTCTGATCACAAGTGTATCTCTATATTTTGTCCCTCAGTATTAATTATTATAATTACTTTGTATACTTTAAAAGTTTAGTTGAGTCAGATAATTTAGTTTTGGAAGGTGACGTACCCCTGTGTACCAGCACACATCTGAGTGTGTTAGATAAAGTAGGAATGGAAATAAAAATCCCTAAAAGTGACTTACACCTCCACTGGTGCCAGCTGGATTTGAACTGCTTTAGAGTCTACCACAAAAAACAAAAACACTTGAAATAATTTACTAAAATCAGGCATAAAAACTTGTAAATTGGAGACCAGGCTTCACAGTTTTCTCTGCATTTATGTAATATTACAGTTCAGTTGAAATTGTTTGCCTCTGCCATCTTGAAACTCTTATTCAGTAATAAGCCTTTAAATTTTAATTTTGATTTTATTTGATCACTTTTTGCTAAATTCAGTCATTTTAGCAAATCAATAAATTTACCTAAGATATAAGGAGGAAACAGCAATTACTTAATAAAATATTATTTATCGCAATGTAATATAAGAGATCAGAAATCTTCACAATAAAAAGATATCAACATTTATGTCAATTTTTACACAAGTATGTCCCTTTGTATCAAAATAGAAGTAAAACAATTCACAGTTAGCATTTAGTTTTACTAAACAACAACATCAACGTTCAGAAACAGACATTCAGTTCTTCTGGAGTAACAAAAATTAAAGTCAGCACAAAGATGAGAACTCCTTAAATTTAAATTATTAAATACAACTGGAAATAATGAGTGAATATACAATTTTTTTACTTTAATGGATTAATGTGCTTATCTGAAAAAAGAAATCTACTGGAAGCGAATTCCAGTTTCTGAACTATTTCTGTAGTTATTTTTAAATATCAGTTACTCTTTTAGAAAAATTAAAACCAATAAACCTGCAGCTTTAAAACCAGCAGAGCTACTGCTGTAAACTGATGTTGGAGTAAAGAGCAGAATCATTGCTGATTCTGTTCATCTGAATCTCTGAGTAAGTGACGTTTTCTGCATGACCACAGGGGGCGCTGTGGGCTGAAGGCGAGGCACCATTCAGGAACTGGACCTCAGAGTACTCTACTGCATCATCTTTAGCCTGGAAGGAAACAAGGAGAAACATTTCAGTTTGCAACTTCACGATTAATCATTTCCCTTCATGCAAAATATAACATATTCGTTTGTTTAACCATTGGAGACGTCTTTTATTTTAAAACTTTTTATTTTAAAAACTCTGTGGCAGTTTAGATTTTGGTTTAGTACATTAATATAAAAAGTGTTTGAAGCCGAATAAAGAGGTGAAATTAATTTTTGATATTTTTCGGTCATGTGATAAATATCTTTATTCAGGTGTAATTAACCAAATAAATGAAAATTCAGCAGATTTTACACAATAATACTGATTATTATTGTTAAGCTTTCCTTCTTTCTTTCCTGTCTTACCTTGGAGAAGTTGGCGTATTCTGTTTCTTCAGAAAGACCTGAAGAAAATGCAAATCAGTAAATAAGATAATCAATTGTCCAATATTTTTGCAATAGAGAAAATTTTTTGTTTTTTGTTTTAAATTTTTGCAAATATGCAGTATTCACATGCAGCATGTAAATACTGTATATTTACATGTTGCATATCTGCATGTAAATATGCAGATCTACTGATCTACATATTTTATCTGCTGCATCCAGTTTTATTTGGTGTCATTGTTGAGATCACTGAAATCAGATAAAACTTGGAGCTCCTGCAGAATAAGTCACATTTCACAATGACAAGAGAGCTGCAGCTCAGCGATCAGTTTTGAAATATTGTTGTGCAAACTTGTTTCAGGGTGAGAAATGGTGCAGCAACATGTTGAAATAAGATTCAGTCTAAAAGTTTATTTAGTTTTTCACATCTGCACATGATTCCAAGCATTATGTGATTATAAAAATCTGTGAACATGTAAAATAAAAAACAAGCAAAGAAAATTTTCCACAACTGAAGAATTGGTTATTCTTGAAAAAATAAAGTTTCAGGACAAAAATAGACAAATTTCAGGATAAAGTCGCCTCTATCATTGAGATTTATTTAAAAATTTATAGCATTAATGATGTTTCCTAACAAGACTTGATCAAATCTACTTTAGAAATTAATCATATTTAGTTAAACCCAAAATTATTCATATCCCTGTTAGATTCAAGTGTAAAATGAAAGTTTAATTTTACCAAAATGTTTCTTTTGACTGGAAGTAATAGAAAAGTTTTTTGCTACCTAAAATCTTAAGGGAACTAAAGATTAGGGTGATGGCAAAGAGTTCTTCCATCCTTAATAACTTGGAGTTTATCTGATAAATTAATCAGTGGAAACTTGCAAAGCGTTGCTTGGTAATTATGAAGAGGATTTGATCAAGTGATTAATATGTAAATATTTTTCAACATCCCGTTTTTAAGACAAAATGCACCACTTAAAAATTTCCAAAACAAAATACAAAAACTGTTAGAATGTAAATATATTTTGAAGTGGATTGGTCATTTTAAATCTGAACTTGTGATGTCTATTAATTATTAATTATAGATTAGTTGTCTGGAATATTTTACCTTCGTCCTGTAACTCACCTTTCTGTTGACTGAAGTTTTTCCTCCTGATGAAAATCAGCAGAGCTGCTGCCAAGGAGACGATCAGGACGACAAGAACCAGAACCAGACCCACATAAAGCAGCAGATCTGCAGGGACGATTAGAGTTTGCCTCAGTTTATTCTGAGTAAAACAACCTGCAATTTAAATTTTTGTAATCGTGTAGAGTTTTTTTGACAATGGGTAGTTTAACCTTGAATGTTCATCAGCTCTGAGTTTCAATTATAAATAAATTTGGACCCAAACCATCAAATCAACGTCTGATAGACATGAATGATGAAGAACCTGAAGCTGCAGCTGGTTTCTCAGAGAGTTTATTGACTTCAGATGGAGAAGGAGAGAAACTCTGAGTTGATGTTGGGAGAAAAGTTGATCCTATAAAAGGTTTTGGAGTCCATTTTGGTTCTGGAGAATCTGAGGATGGGAGAATGAAACAATCATAACCTCTGAGATTAAATTTAGATTCTTCCTGTTTTTGTTATTGATTTGTGTCTTTGTGAGTGGAAGTTTGAAAATGATGGTTTTGTAAATCAGACATCCTGAAATCTGAGTTTAACCCAGAAAACTCACCTTCAGTCACAACAAGATCAAAATCATCGTACTGAATTCCTCTCCATGTATCTTCTAAGCGACACCGGTACCGTCCTGAGTCTGACGGTTTCAGATCTCTGATGCTCACATGGAGAAAATCAGATTCGGTAAAACCTCTTCCTTCATATCTGATTCTGAATCTTCCTCTCTCATCTCCGTCTTTAGTTGTTTCAATGAGAATATTTTTTCCTTCACAAGTTTCCTTACAAAGAAACCTTTTCTCTCCAGAATAACGAAATTTACATGTAACTGTGATGCTTCCTCCTTCCTCTCTGTAGAAAGTTCTCACAGTTTCTCCATCCTGCAGAGCAGCTGAGGAGAAAAACAGTCAGTAGTTACTGTCATTGTAGAATATAAAATAGGTCACATATAGTCATACATTAACCTTGGTGTGTTGTATAACTTTAAATTTAAGCCACTATCTCAAACTAATTAAGCAAAGTTCTCTTAATAACTGGATTCACAATGTATTGGTTCCTTCATATAAAAGAATCTCCATTGAAAAAGGTTGTAAATTAAAGATTTGGTAAAAAATCAAACACTTTTTTTTGCTTTGTGTCTCTAAGGTCTCAGTATTGCTGCACTCTGAGTTACTTCTGCTCTGATGTTCCTCTCCAGATATTTTAAAATGATGACACTTCTTCCTCTGCTTTTCAGAACAAATGAGTTGGAGAAAACTTACAGTTGTTCAAATAAACAGTCAAAACTATGTGGAGTAAGTTTTATTATCTTTATTGACATTTACATTTCAATGTTTCTATCTTTGAATGACAGTATTCAGAGTATAGATTCCGGCTTCAAATAATCAGCTACTTAACTACAAATCAACAGAAAGTAACACAGGAAATTGTAGGAAAAGTCAAAGTAAAATTTTCAACAACTTGAAACAGTCTGATAAACTGTGAGGAACTGAAAGAATGAAGGACTGAGAGCAGAAAAACTGATATAAATAAAATAATAATGTACTCACTGAGGAAGAAGAGGCAGATCAGACAGACCTTCATCCTGAGCTGCTGATGGTTTCTAACTGCTTCTCTTCCTGCTTCACTCATAAACCAGGAACTTCTCTGCAGGATGCAGTTCCTCCTCTGAACGCCAGAGGGCACTACTACTTTTACTGCAGAGTCAAAGTTTCTGTAGATTATTGCTGATCAGACCAAACAGTTTTAATTAAAAGAGTTTCTGATTATTTTGATCATTTTAAAGAATGTTTTATAACATGGTTATTATATTTAGTTATATGTCTAAGAAATGTTAAATCTATATTAGTGTTCTAATCCTTTCTATGTTTGTAGTTTTCATCCAAATCTAAATTATTCCTACTTGGATTTGATACTTTTATCTTATTTAAGGTCCTATCCTCATATTTTAATGCTAACATAGAAAACTGAATTTCTTAAAATACAAAATATTTCTAGGAGTTTATTTTAAAAAAAATCTTTACAACACCACAATTAGATAATCTTTCAAACATTTTCTATAACATTGAATGAATAAACAATTTTTTAGCCAAATGGCAAAACTCTTGTTATTTGGCAAAAGTGTGACAATGATGGAATCTGATTGGCTTTTGATATAAAACCTTCAACGCCGATTATAGAGACTTGCTAACAGTTTGAGTTTGACTTTTCTGAGACCAGACAGGAAAAATGTGAGAGGACCTTTGAGTTCAGAAACATCTCTGCACAGTGAAGTGCTAAACAATTTCTAATAATTTTATAACCGTTTAGATTTGATCTGTGTTTGTTCAGGAAGAAACTGAAAACATTTCCTCAGCAGATGATTTGTTTTGTCTGTCCTCTTATTTCCTCCCTCTGGATTGATCTGGAGGAGGAAGAAAAGCAAGAAGAGGTAGAAACTCTGATGAAACTCAGGTGTTTTATAAATATTCAGACTCACCTGAGAGACGGGAGCGTTCTGAGTTTCCACAGCAAGATCTGAAACTCATTCTGATCAGAGAGATGAAACGTCTGATTTACAGATATAAGGAGATTTTCCAAGAACGAGAAGCAAAGTCCTAGAAAACTTGCTTAATATCAAGCTGATCTGAGCAGAACCAATCACTGATGATTGATGCTCAGAGCATGTTGGGGAAATTTTGACCTGATGAAATATTCTCCAGAAATTAGACATCAACAAACTAATAATTTCCCATTTCTGTAAATCTTTCATTATTTTCAGACAGAAGCTCATTTTTAACTCTTAGCTTTGGTATAAGCATAGTTTTTATATTTATAGATGTAAAATGAGGACAGCACAGCCACTTCAGTGTTTTCTCACCTTTGCTTTTCATGGTTCTCCTCTTCCAGCAGAAAATCACCAAAGGTGTTGATAAACAGATGAGCTTGGCGACCAGAGACAGAATCACATAAAGCTGCAAACCTGCAGTGGAGAAAACAAGAGAACAGCCTGGTTTTACCAGGACAAAGTGGAAAATGTTTGCACCCCTGCACATCCTTCTGACTGAACCAAAATAAGCTGAATCCTCTGTTTTGCAGTGTAATTTGTGATTCTTGTGAAGAAGGGTTATTCGTATTAAATGATGTTCCTTTATGTTTCATATAAATGTAACGTTTTTGTATCTCGGTCAAGGTGTTTTCCTGTGCAGCTGGAAGAGGTGTACAAACTAATGAACCAAGATGTGTCTACTGAAGTAAGTTTCCAGGGTTGCTGAACTTCCCCAGACAGTTATTTGGGAACTCGCTGTTTTTCCCGTGGCCTTCCCTGCATGAAGATAAAGTGTTTTAGTTTTCACATCCCGTAAACATTACAGTGAATGAGCATACAAGGTTTCGTATGTTTTCCTTTGTTTCTTTTGTTTGGTCTTCGAAGATTGAGTCTCCGCCTAGGTAGTAAAGAGAGATGAATAAAGTAACTATGCAACTCTGAGTTCCTCAGAGCGAATCCTAATTTGTGCCTAATGCAGTGTATTTCTTGCTCTCCGTCTGCAGATGTATTAAAGATTGTTTTTTGCTCCCTGACTTTTGTCTGGACCTCAGTCTCTGAATTGTGCACTTCACAATTTGGTGCATTGGCCGGGAACCTTCGCTGGTTCGTCCAAGTCGGTGGACCTCAGAAGAGGGTTGGCCACCAAACCTTCAAACTGGTTTTCCTTCAAAACCTCCACCAAACCTTTCGGAGTGAAAGAGGACTTTTCTGATACTCCACCGGGTTGGATCAACCACGACAGGATAAACTCAGAACTGAGAGGGGCTGCAAAACATCTTCAGGTTTGTAGGTCTATTAATTTAGACTGAGTTGTAGGTCTGTCAATTTAGACCGAGTCCTGTAGGTCTGTCGATTCAGACTGAGTTCCCCTAGGTCTATTAATTTAGACTGATTTCTGTAGGTCTATTAATTTAGACTGAGTTTGTAGGTCTATTAATTTAGACTGAGTTGTAGGTCTATCAAAATAGACTGAGTTGTAGGTCTATCAAATTAGACTGAGAATTGAAGTCAACGTTTCAAATAAACGTTTTAAATTGTAAGAGGTTTGTAAAATTAGAGAATGGGACTTTTCTCTTCTAAAGAGCCTAGTGATGGATTTAGTAATTATGTTCCTCTTGGGCCGATTGTAGAAGAGATGATTAGAAAACATGGGGAATCATGTGTTCAGTATTTGCCACAATGGCATCTTAAATTTGGATTTCCTAAACATGGGTCATTTGAACCCGAGCATTTGATGGAATTGGAAGAAAAATTAGTGCTACAGAAACAACAGCTGCTGAAACAAAAAAAAATCTCACTTGACCATTTACAAATAATGTATGCACACACGGACACACTTAGAGTTTGGAAACAGGAATCACAAAACAAACAAGAGCAAAAACAACAACACAAATTACAGATGGTTCAGGATGCTGCAGAAACACCTGAGAAATTAGTGAAACAAGAGCAGAAAAATGAGAAAGCTAATGACTGTTTTCCTCTCTCTTCAACATGTCAACCTGCTGCGACGAGGAGCTTGCATCCAACGGCACCAGCAGATTCACCTGGCATCGTTAGACTCTATCCAGCCCTTCCTCCATACCAACCATCAGCCTCATCGAGGAAAGACCCCCTTTTGGACATTGATGACCATTATCCCTATGGCCCAAAGACTGAGAAGGGAGACACTGTGCCTCTGAAAACTGAGGAGGAAGACACTATGCCTCCCCTGGAGGGGGAGGAAGAAAAGACTGTTTTTACTCCAGTTGCTGAGCACACGCGGATGAAAACGCAACAGCGGGAACAGCAAGGAGCTCTTCTGTGTCCCATGTATGAAGTCCCAGGTCCGTCGGGAAACCAACTGATTTATAGGATGTGCGATCCAGATGTTCTCCATGCTGTGGCAAAAGAACACCTTCCTAGCATTGAAAAAGGAGGGGTGGATATCGCAAAAGCGTTAAAACTCATGGTGGAAACTATACGACCCACAATTTTTGAACTGAAAAGCCTCCTTCTCCGTGTTTATGGCCTCCATGTGGTCTCAGCACTTGGAAATGTGTTTGACAAAGATGCTCGTATGATGGTTCCAAATAAAAAGAATGAGGACAGTATAAGGGCAAACAAACCTTACTATGATGCTATCACAGCGATCAGCGACGCATTCGAAGGAAAGTTTCCAGTTCGTCCAAACTACCACACCATCTCCTCCTGTGTCCAAAGACCATGTGAACTTGCTATAGACTATTACCAGAGACTCCTGTCTATTTTCACTGTCAATTCTGGCCTGAATCATTATTCTGGTTGGGAGGATCAAGTCTCACCTGAACCTTTTGAGATTATCCTTTGCCAGAAGTTGATGGATGGACTAAGGCCTGACATTAAACTCGGAGTCCAACAAACCTACATTGGCTGGGACACTGCACCTCGCATCAAAATGCTTTTGGATCATATCAAACACAATGAGAAGCTGGTGGAAGAAAGAAACAAAAAAGCAAAGGACAAGAAGGACCGAAAGGTGGAAGAAGCCCAACTCACGCTTCTTCAACAGGCTGCTCTGAACATTGGGCCACAGCAGTTGCAGCCGCAGCCACAACAACCACAACAACAGCCACTGCTACAGCCGCAGCAACTACAGCCGCAGCAACTGCAGCCGCAGCAACTGCCGCTACAGTATGGACAGTATGGACACAGTATCATGCCATTTGATGTTTGTTTTGTTTGTGGACTGAGAGGACATTGGGCCAAGGACTGCGTCCAAAGACGATTCAGACAATGTCCAGGGCTGGACGTAGGTTCAACAGAGGCCGAGGAGGAAGATTTGGAGGTTTTTCAAGAGGGGGACGAGATTTTCCTTTTAGAAGGGGAAATCGCGGAGGATTCTCCACCTGACTAGATCCGGTGCCGTTGGAGCAACCTCCTCTGGTTCAGCAAATCGCAAGTACCAACACACACAACACATATGTAAAATATACATCTGACATACACAAAGTCCTACCCATGCTCACTGTGGTTGTTGCAGGAACACGTCTAAATTTTCTTGTTGATTCTGGGGCTACACAGTCCTTGATAATGAAAAAATCCCTGCCTCATGCTCCACTGTCTGGGAAAACAATTCATTCCACTGGAGCATCAGGTTCAACAATCAGTGAACCTGTTACAACTGCTTTAGAAGTAGTTGACCCGTTCACTGGGGAACTTCACTTACATCAGTTTCTGTTTTCTAACTGTTGTCCAGTGAATCTCCTGGCCAGAGATCTCATTTTGAAACTATTTCTGTCTATTGAATGTTCAGACACGGGGCTCCGTGTCCAAAAGACAAACTCCAACTGACTTAATTTGTTCAAAACACCAAGTCTGCTCTACATTTTTGAATGGTTGATTAGAGACTGACAATCTGAGGCCATTTCGCAAATGGCTCGAAAGAGTTCCTCCCACTTCCACTGTGATGTCAGTAAAATGCCTTCATTGCACAGCTCACGTGTCCATAGATCCAGCTGATGAGCTGGGTGACTCCTCCCTTCTTAAATGCCCATCTTTGCTGCGTGCAACTCACATATGCTGGTCCGCTGAGACCTGTTTTTTGCTGGTTGGGTTGTCGCCTGAGCAACTGACTTTCTTCACACTGACTGATTTTTTTCCTCATGTCTCTTTGGCAAAACATCCAGGAGACAGGTGGAAATCTTTTGGCCCTCTAGCAAAAGCAACACATGAAACAACTGACTGGATGTGTCACTCAGAAAACATTTATTTTTCGCCATCATTGAAAATGTACAAACAGTTTGTTTGTTTTGATCTGACAGTGGTTCCCTCAAAAGAGGTGGTTGATGACAGTGGATGACATAATTTGTTATCCCTTGCATCTGATCCTATTTTGAGCTCCCTGCCTGCCCATTTATGGGCTTCTCACAAATATGATGTGGGCTTAATAAAAAATCAAAAACCAGTTCACATAATGCCCAAACCAAATTGTCACTATCCAAATCAAAAACAATACCCTTTGAAACCAGAAGCAGTGCTTGGAATAACTCCAGTGTTCCAATCCCTGCTGGAAGCAGGTATCATTGTACCTTGTCCAAATTCACCTGTCAGGACACCCATGTTTCCTGTGAAGAAACTCAGTGCTCCTGATCAACCTGTTGAGTGGAGGTTTGTTCAAGATCTGGTCTGCACTCGTAGCAGATGAGGGAAACATCTGGACGCCGACATGGGGATCGACTCCCTACGCCAGACACCATATGAAACTTTTCACTTTGGTTAAAACGACGCAAGGACTACACATCACGGTAAACACAGTGAAAGGTTCTATCATACCAACCTCATCTTTGCCCATATTGTCAAACTGTTGGAGGTTTTACCTATGTGCTCATTCATCAGGAAAGGATCCACAATTTCTTTTTGTTCTTTGTGAGGGGGTGATGTTACTGTTGTCTCACCATATTCTCCCACAGGTATTACTGTTTTGGACAAACTCACGGCTGATGACTGGTTCAGAGTGACGACAGGTATATCATTTTCTACAAATAATTGGTTATTATTGGCTGAAAGTGCTGCAAATGTGTCTAATACTGATTGTGTTGTCTGCATGGGACCGCGTCCTGTGCTTAGAATAATCCCGGCCCTTCTTCCGCTTGAATGTGTTCTCGATGTCATGACTAAAACTAATCCATCTTCCCATTGTAGCCAGTGGGACAGTGTTTACCCTCTCGCTAAAACTGATCCTAGGACACCGGTGTTTTCAAGAATTGTAGCAAAAGCTAATTTTACATGCATTATTATGACCGGGACTCTTAAATTAGGAAATCTCACTTCACGAAATTGTTCAAATATGATTCGGGTGCCAGCATCTTTTAAACCAATCTCCAGAAGCGATGTGTGGTGGTGGTGTGGTGATGACCGGTTGTTTGATGGGTTACCAAAAACCTCAGCTGGCCTTTGTGCACTCGTAACACTCTTGTTACCAGTTTCTATTTATAAGATGCAGATTGATGATGCGGCTGATGATCTAGACCGTCTCCGGCTTCTCTTCTCCAGCGGGCAACGTAAAAAACGCTCCATTTACATACTAGTCATGACCCCACTTATTTAGATCCCATAGGTGTTCCGAGAGGCGTGCCAGACGAATATAAATTAGCAAACCAAATTGCAGGAGGTATTGAATCTCTTCTTATCTGGATTACACCGAATAAAAACATTGATAGGATCAATTACATACACTATAATGTCCAACGTCTCAGTAATTATACCACAGCCGGTTTGAAGCCATACATGAACAACTTGCGGCTACCTCACTCATGTCCTTTCAGAACAGAATAGCTTTAGATATGCTTTTGGCTGAAAAGGGAGGCGTCTGCATGCTTTTTGGTTCCCAGTGTTGCGTCTTGATTCCCAACAATACTGCTGCGGATGGATCTTTGTCCAAAGCGGTGGATGGTCTGCGATCTTTGTCCAACAAACTGAAAGAACACTCGGGGGTGGATACATCTGTATGGGGTAATTGGATGTCGGTGTTTGGCAAGTACCGCAGTCTCGTTGAATCTATGTTAGCCTCCATCGTAGTGTCTCTCACAATTCTGATGTTTTGTAGTTGTTGTTGTCTAGCGTGTCTGAGGGCCTTCTTAGATCGTCTGATAACTACTGCTATTGCCCCCTTGCAAAGGACTGTGCATACTTATGCCCGGTTGAGTGTGGAGGATGCTGGTCCTGTGCCGTCGTCTGTTTCTAATTCTGTTTCAAGCGCTTCCCTGACTACAAGTATGGCCCAGTTCGATAGGCCTCCTAACACGTCTGATGTGGAGGTTGAATTTGTCCTGCAACGACCTAGATTTTCTCACTATCCCACGTACAAGTAGATTGACACTTTCTTTTGATTTTTATTTTTGGTGTTAATTTTTTGCGTCCAGGTTGCTTTGCTTAATGTCACAAGAGGTCAAGACACTTGCTGAAACACTCCTATGATGTTTATGTTCTCAACCATTATTTGATGGCGAAGGTAAACTGATGTTTTGGGTTTCTCAAACTGTTTTGTGATGTTGCTACATTATTATTGCATTTTATACTCACTTGTTTTATCATTTATCATTTTTTTTATGATTTCATTCATTTCATCTTTTAATTCATTTTATGATTTAATTCACTTTATTATTTGATTCATTTTATGGTTTGATTCATTATGTTTCCTATGTCATTTTATCATTTACTTCATTTTATCATTCAGACATTTTATCATTTAAGTCATTTGATCATTTATGGATTTCATTTACGTGATTGTTTTGCTCCCTGAAAAAAAAAAAAAAAAAAATAAAAAAAATAAAAAAAGAAAAAGGGTGAAATTGTGAAGAAGGGTTATTCGTATTAAATGATGTTCCTTTATGTTTCATATAAATGTAACGTTTTTGTATCTCGGTCAAGGTGTTTTCCTGTGCAGCTGGAAGAGGTGTGCAAACTAATGAACCAAGATGTGTCTACTGAAGTAAGTTTCCAGGGTTGCTGAACTTCCCCAGACAGTTATTTGGGAACTCGCTGTTTTTCCCGTGGCCTTCCCTGCATGAAGATAAAGTGTTTAGTTTTCACCTCCCGTAAACATTACAGTGAATGAGCATACAAGGTTTCGTATGTTTTCCTTTGTTTCTTTTGTTTGTCTTCGAAGATTGAGTCTCCGCCTCGGTAGTAAAGAGATGAATAAAGTAACTATGCAACTCTGAGTTCCTCAGAGCGGATCCTAATTTGTGCCTAATGCAGTGTATTTCTTGCTCTCCGTCTGCAGATGTATTAAAGATTGTTTTTGCTCCCTGACTTTTGTCTGGACCTCAGTCTCTGAATTGTGCACTTCACATTCTACAATATGTTAAATATTTGCTTTTCTGCACATAGAGCTCAACATGAAACCTGTAATAGTGAGCAGCCATCTCTGCATGTGAGAAAAGGAGGAAATACAAATAAGAATGTCGTTCTTTCAATGTTCACACATGACTTGGACCTTTTACCCATAAAGGCTTTGCAACATTAATTGATCTTAGCTAATTTCATAAGTTATATTGAAAAAATAAATATGTTAAATAAATAAATATCACAATAAAGATGCTGCATGTTGAAATTTACAGGAATATTTAACTTTAAAAACAGTTATTGTATGTCAGCAGTTACGCAGATGATAAAGTGATAATCCAGTTATTGTTATGAAGTCTTTTTTTTGCTGTTGTTTCAAGTATGTTTGTGTCTGTAACGTTTGCATGTTTTTCCTTTAACAGCAAACACCTTCACTTACAAATAGAGTTGAAACAATTTATTAAATTAATTGAGATTAATCGATTATTTGAATTATCGTCAAATAATTTAGTCAGAGCATTACTTTAACCTAAACTGTACCAAAATGTAAATATTTTGCATTTAAGATTACAAACCTACTTTGTTTGTAAATATGTTTTTTACCCTGAACTTATGACAGTTTCATCTGGTTCAAATCTGTCAATAAAAATCTCATGTTTAAAACCTTTTGCTATCTATTTATTAATCCAAAAACATCAACAGATTAGTAAGAAGCATTTTTTTTTTTATCTTCAGTTTCTTCCTTTGCTACAAATGATTTAGCGTAATCGAAAGGAAAACTGTTATTGCATCTTAGGCAGGAAAATATTGTCTTATTTAAAATTTTTGCATCTTTCTTTGTATTTTAAATATTTTACAAAAAGGTCTTAAATGAAAAATCTGCAGAATGAGGCAATTTCTTTTATCTGATTAATCAATTAATTGTTAGAATAACAGAAAGAATCATCGTTATTTGCAGCCCTGCAGATAAAGATGGACTTCAGTCCAGATCATTCCCTCAATAGATGGTTTACCTGATTCTGACTCTTCAGACAGTTTGCTGGTTTCTGATGGAGACAGTGAAGAACTTGTTGTTTTGGGGCCTGTTGGGAGAAAAGTTTAAACAATTATAACAATTATTTCACTGTAAATATCTTCCTGATGTTCGTGTGTGTCTGCACAGTTTGAACATGTTGATCTGTTAAATTTGATTTGGTGGGAATCTGAGCTGATTGATCAAACTCGGGTTGATGTTTTTTCAGAATAATCTCCCTTTAGAGAAAAGAAGGACCATTTTCAGGGCTTTTAGCAGAAAACTCACCTTCTGTCACAACAAGTTGAAAGTTGTCACTTTGAGTGACAGTTCCACTCGAACGGCACAGGTAGAGTCCTGAGTCCGACGGTTTCAGCTCATCGATTCCCACATAAACATGTTCAGATGACAGAAAGCCTCGTTTTTCATATTGAATCCAATATCTGCCTCTCCGATCTCTGCTTTGAGTTGTTTCAATGAGAATATTTCCTCCTTCACAAACTTCCTTACAGAGGGACTTCTTGTTTCCAGAGAGGCCAAATTCACATGTAACTGTGATGCGTTCTCCTTCCTTTCTAGTGAAGGATCTCACAGTTTCTCCATCCTGCAGAGCTGCTGAGGAGAAACACAATCCATTCTTGATAAACTCTTGATTATTATCATTATATGCAACAGTCTTAAAGAGAAATTATGCTTAGCACTTTATTTGCATTTATTGGAACAAAAACAAACACTGGGTTTGTTTTCTGCTGCATTTGGCTCTTTCTGAGAGGTTGATTCAGTTTTTATTGTTATTTATATCAGCATTGCTGCACTTTTATAACACTTTATTAAGTCGACAAACCCCAAAATGCTTCTTCATGTTACATGGTAGAGTTTTCACACCACATCTGCCAGTCTGGTTACATTTGTGGTTACTACCACCAGTGTGTGAATCAGTTAGTGTGAAGAGCTTTGAAATACTCTTCACTGAATAACATGCTATACATCACTGAAGAAAAAGGTTTGGGTTTTATTATAGTTTAGTTTGACCTCGATGCCACTTTGTTGGAGTTTTATCCCATTTTTTTACATTTTAGTTTTCTCTGTTAGTTAGTTAGTTTTATTTACCTTTACTTACCTTAGTGAGGAAATTGAGGGAAACTAATGTCAGCATAACACAAACATGGTTGTTCCACCAAGATAAATTAACTAGATGTTTTAGGCCATTTGCAATAACTTGTGAATGATTTGTTTTTTATTCATCTGTTTTCTTATGTTCTTGTCTTGTCAAGCATATAAAGAAGTTGGTTGACTACATACAGTATAAACACAGGTCACAGATAAGTCAAACGTCTTGCATTTGTTAAGATAGAAATAAAAACCTTGTGTTTCTCTTACAGTGGAGTATGAGCTGCTTTCCCTGTTTTTATTCCTTTTTTACTTCCTGTAAATTCTCCAAAGCAACACACTCTGCTTTCTGTGGGAGACGTTGGAAAGTTTTCTGAAACAATATCTAAACTTCTACACCTTTTTGATGATTGGGCTTCTTTTAAAATGTTGAAGTAATCTGACTGAAAAGCCTGAATCTTCACAGAAAGCAGAAGGAAAGTTGCAGAACTTCAAGCTGCCGACTTATGTCAGAAATAATCAGGATGAAAATCATAAAACTGGAGAAAACTCAGTGCAGAGGTCAAATATTTTCTGATAAACTGTGAGGGAATGAAAGTTTGAAGGGCTGAGAGTGGAGAAACGTGAAGAAATAAAATAATGTACTCACTGAAGAAGAAGATCAAAGTACAAACAAAGTTAATCTTGAGCTGCTGATGATTTCTAAATGTTTCTCTTCCTCCTTCACTGATAAACCAGGAACTTATCTGAATGTTTGAGTTCCTCTTTTAGGCACTTGAAGTTATTCTCGTTCTATTTCTATTTCTTTATAAAGGACAAAACACAATGTTCTTCTTCAGAAGGCGAAGTCATCGAGGACAAATGATGCTGCGAAATATTCAAACTGACAATAGAGCGAGTGCCTTTTACTCTGAAAAGCAATGAGAAGTTTGAATTTGAGTAATAAAATATTTTTTTTATGAGTTTCAGGTAAAGAAATTCAGTTGGTGCTAATAAGAATTTAAACCAAACATCTGTTTATTTTTGCTGCTTTTGTCTGTAGGAAAGTTTCATCTCGGGGCAGAACCTCAGAAACCTCAGAAACCTCAGAATCCTCAGAATCCTCAGAAACCTCAGAAACCTCAAAAACCTCAGAAACCTCAGAATCCTCAGAAACCTCAGAAACCTCAGAATCCTCAGAAACCTCAGAAACCTCAGAATCCTCAGAAACCTCAGAATCCTCAGAAACCTCAGAAACCTCAGAATCCTCAGAATCCTCAGAAACCTCAGAAACCTCAGAATCCTCAGAAACCTCAGAATCCTCAGAATCCTCAGAAACCTCAGAATCCTCAGAAACCTCAGAATCCTCAGAATCCTCAGAAACCTCAGAATCCTCAGAAACCTCAGAATCCTCAGAATCCTCAGAAACCTCAGAATCCTCAGAAACCTCAAAAACCTCAGAAACCTCAGAATCCTCAGAAACCTCAGAAACCTCAGAATACTCAGAAACCTCAGAAACCTCAGAATCCTCAGAAACCTCAGAATCCTCAGAAACCTCAGAAACCTCAGAATCCTCAGAATCCTCAGAAACCTCAGAAACCTCAGAATCCTCAGAAACCTCAGAATCCTCAGAATCCTCAGAAACCTCAGAAACCTCAGAATCCTCAGAAACCTCAGAATCCTCAGAATCCTCAGAAACCTCAGAATCCTCAGAAACCTCAGAATCCTCAGAATCCTCAGAAACCTCAGAATCCTCAGAAACCTCAGAATCCTCAGAATCCTCAGAAACCTCAGAATCCTCAGAAACCTCAGAAACCTCAGAATCCTCAGAAACCTCAGAATCCTCAGAATCCTCAGAAACCTCAGAATCCTCAGAAACCTCAGAAACCTCAGAATCCTCAGAATCCTCAGAAACCTCAGAAACCTCAGAAACCTCAGAATCCTCAGAATCCTCAGAAACCTCAGAATCCTCAGAAACCTCAGAATCCTCAGAAACCTCAGAATCCTCAGAAACCTCAGAGGAATAGTTTCTGAAAACTCACCTTCATTCACAACCAGTTCAAAATTCTCACATTTGGTTAAGAGGCAAAGAGACATTTTGTTTTTTTCTTCAGCAGCTGTAAAATAATCAGACTTCAAAAAGTAGAAGAGAAGCAAAATCCAAATAATATGATATGAGTTGGCACATGTTTTGCTCTAGTCCTCCTTTGTGTATTTCAACAGTACAGTTTGTCTAATAGCGCCCCCTGGTGATCAGAAACTAAAACACAGGTCACCGAGTGTGTTTAGGGAGGTGTTGCACCAGTTCATTCTAAATAAGATCTAGTTCCAAGTGAATTTAATGAACATTAAAATTAAATTATTCATGTTCATAAGTTAGCACATAACAAATTCAAAAAATGAAATTCACAGATCCAGCATGAACTGTAGTTCATTGACCTTTGATGACGTCTAGAAACATTTTTCTTAATATCTTCAGAGTGATAGCTGCACAAACAAAAAATTTAGCTGCACAAACCAGCACAAACATTGTCGAGTTAATTAGCACCCATTTTGATACTCAGTTTGCAGGACAGTAATGATTTAATCTAATGAAATGTCACAAAAAAATAGGGTAGACAGCAACAACTTAATTTGAAAAAATTTATTTTTTGAGCAGAATTTTTTGTCATAAATAAAAATCTCTTGAAACATTTAATCACAGTATGTTTATTAATAATTCATCTTGTTGCTTCATAATATTTATAGATCCTCCATGGAGAAATCCACATGGATGAATTAAAAAAATCATTTTTAAAAGTTTCAAACATAAAGTAAACTTTGCACAGAAATTAATGAGATTACTTAAAAACAAGATCTCAAAAACATGGACGGAAAAAATGATGCATCAAATAAACCTGAAGTTAATAACAAGATGAATTTTCAGAAGTAGCTGCAGGTTAAATGAGGATGAACAGTGATTAACTTCTTGTTAAATCTAAATAAAATCTTCTACAAACCTGGAATAAATTATGCAAAAGATGTTAATTTAAGATAAACTTTAAAATAAACATTCACATTTATTTTTATGTTTTTACTTACATAAAATCAAATGTTTTCTTGTTTTTGATTTTTTTTTTTTCTTTTAGTGGCTGAATGTTAACGCTAAAAAAATAAAACTGGATTTCTAAACAGAATTAAGAGTCACGTAGTTCAAACAAATAAAATGATATATTTTTAAGTACTGTCACAGTTGATGAAAAGTAATAGTGGAATAAAGAGGAGCTGAATCTTCTTCACTGCGGCCGCCATGTTCAGCGAGGTTCAGCGTAGATGACGCCGTCTCCACTGTAACCACAGGGGGCGCTACTGAGCAAGAAGGTGGTCCGTTTGGAAAAATGCACCTGGGAGTAATTAGGGCTGTCATTTTCTACCTGGAGGATAGAGGAACAGAAATTACACCTTAAAGATTCGTATTTGTTTATTTATAATTATATTGTAATATGATTATTTGTGAAATTATTTTAATTAGTCACAGTTTTTATTGCCTCTGCTCATTGACTTTCCTTATATTTTCTGCCACTCTGAGAACATTTCCAAATATTTAATCAGAAAATCATAAATTACATTCATCTGACAAAAAGCATTAAAGGGCGCCACCTGCTGTTCCAAAACCACAACTACAAGTAGATCCAACAATCATAAAGAGATGAAATCCTAAAACTGACAATGTGATGCACAGAAGACGGTGAATGATGAATTTAATGATATAAATGCACAGAAATTATAAATAAATGTTTCTTTTTCGTGCTGGCTTTATGAAAAAAAGATTTTTTAAATGAAATCTGAATAAATGTTTGACTTTAAATATTTGCATTTATAATTATATTTTCATGGAAAAAAAATTACTTTCACAAATGTAACAGAGTGAAATACTTGAATTTCAGAGTTTCCTTACTGTGTTTTGGGTTTCAGTTTCCCTCTTTACTCTGTTGGGCTGCAGGAAAAAAATGTTTACTTTCAGATTATTTCACAAACAGTGAAAAAAGCCCAAACAGATTCTTTACTCAGACTCACCTTTATGACAGTAGCATACTCTGCTCCTACTGACGGCTCTGCAGAACCTACTGCACACAAAACAAGAATCTGATACTGAGACATTGAGGATAGAGGAGCGCTGCCATTTTTATTGCTGCGTTTTGTCATTTATTGTTATTTTATGTCAAACTGATGCAGAGATTCACTTTTCCCAGAGCTACACTTGATAGCTACATTCACATCTAGTCTAGTTTAATGATTTTGGCCAAATCTTCTATGTGTATAAGTCTTTTTTTTATTTTGAATGAGCTTCTGCTATTCTCCAAAAAGTAAGAAGTCCAAACTACAAATAGCAATCAGAGAAACATCAGGATTGATTTCCCCTCCAGCCAGGACTTTTACAAGTCTAAAGTTAGTAAAAGAGAAGCTGCAGACCCCACACATCCTGGACACGGCTTCATTTTGTAAAAATACGAAACACTTAACAGTCTGTATGCATATTGCACTAATCCAACCTCAACTTCCTCTCCTGTAAACCATCTTATATCTACATATTTACAAAAGACATGTGTTTTTATTTCCTTTTTTTATGATTATATTTAAATATGGAACCGGGCGGCGTTCACCAAATCTTTTCTGTCTTTAACAGGTTTATTTTTAAAACAGCAATAGGAAAATCTGATAGCCATCCATCATTTTTAAATGTCAAAATATCACTGTATGTTGTTTTTATACCTTCTTACTGTTGTATTTTTATGATGGGAAGCACTTTCAGCTGCCTTGTTGCTGAAATATGCTGTACAAATTAACTTGATTGATTTTGACAGATTACACACCCGACCTTGTTGCAGATGTGCCGACATTTTCAACTTTAAGCACAGAAAACATTGTGGATGTATCTAAAGTCAATTCATGTTTACCATCATCTTTGTGTGATCAGGTAACTGTTGGCGACTTCTGATCACTTTGATAAATATTTCCTGATTTCAAAACTTGTCACTCACCTTTATGCTGTTGGGATTTTCTGTATTTGAAGAAAACCAGAAGAGCTGCAGCCAAAACGATGATGGTGACGGTTAGAACCACATTGACGGAAAGCAGAACCCCTGCAGGGACATTTACAGTTTGACAGTCTCAACGTCTCTGCAAAGCTGCAGACATGAGCAGCTTGTTTTCATACCTGAAGGTGGCGCTGATGTGTTGGAGTGGTTGGTGGTTTGAGAGGAGAAAGGAAGCAAAGAAGAAGAGAAGCTCAAAGTCTCTGTTGATGTTGGGGAAGCTAATTGGAGATAAATAATTATAGTTTTGTTTTATTAATAAGCAAAACATTGATATTTTTGTTACTGTTGCTGCACAATGGAAAAAATATACAGTTTCTCTATTTTCATATTAATTTTATCGTCGCAAACATGACAGCAAACATAACATTTCTACACTATGTAAAATGTCAAAAGGTCAACAAAACACACAGTCGACCAATTACATTTTCAGCAGTGCAACCAAATAAATCCTAAATATGAACTAATGCACTCAAATGTTTGGAGAATCAGAATGTCAGATTTTGATGAAAGACGCTTCCTCTCCCTGCAGTGCAAGAATAATCCAGTAGATGACAGAATACAAGTCTTAACTTGTATGCAATAGGATTTTGGGTAAGTATTTATCATGGTATAAAAAATAAAGACACAGCAACTTATGTGTCATTAATGATATTTCCTCCTTAACTTAGTCATGAACATTTTTTAAAATATTTTTTGGTAATTTTTTTATTGTATTTGTAAATAACTTGAAGTGTCTGAACACTCACTGTGTGCATTGATTTTAATCATTTAAATTGTACAAACACTGAGTTAGTGTTTTCTAAATATCCCACCTTATGGATTTTTCTTACCAGTATTTTTTGTAGGTTTGTTAACATACTGTAGTAGTTTTGTAATTTTTGTCCTTGATTTCTGCACAATAACTTAACTAAGGCACATTTGTTTACCATCTAAATTTTGGTGCATCTTTAGTTTTTTCTTAATATTTGGTGCAAATTGCAGTGAAAAAACTCACCAGATATGACAATTATCTTAAAATCATTGTGTTGAGTCCAGATTCTGCCCAAAGTGCATCTGTACCATCCAGAGTCAGACGTTTTCAGCTCCGTAATGCTCACAGAAACAACAGAAGATGCAAAACCTGTTTTGTTAAACTCGATGATGTATCGGCCGCTCTGGGCTCTGTCATCAGTCGTCTCAACAAGAATGTTTTCTCTGCTGCAGTCTGTCTTACAGAAGTACATTGTTGTCCCAGTGAAGATAAATGAGCTTGAAACTGTGATGTTTTTTCCTTCCATCTCTGTGTAGGTTCTTTCTTGAACAAAACCAAGTTCTCCATTATGCAGTTTTGCTGCAAAGACAAACAGCAAAGCGTCATTGAAAGTATTTTACAATCCAGACTGAAGGTGTGCAGATTCACTTCTCTTCACTGCTAAAAACATGACTGGATTTACTTGAGGAAAACTTTTCATTCACGAAGAGACGAATGCAAACCGGTTAAACTAACCTGCACCAACGGAGCAGGAAAAATAAATGAAAACATCAAGAAGTGAAACAATTTACTTGGTTCCAATAAAAGCATGAAAATAGTTTAGATGCATTCAAAGTATATTTTTATTAAAAAGCCTTTTCATTCTGAGCAAACCTTTTGTCTTTGACTGCTTATGTGTGATGTTTGCTTAAAAAGAAGAAATTTTCTATGTGTGATGCTCTTTACAAATATCAAAATAAAAATGTTTCTTCATCATCTCAACGTTCAAATAACCATAAATTTACAAATCTGCAGGTTAACTAATGTAACCAATGTTTTTTTTTCTAACAGGTCAGAATATTAAAAAGTGGGCTGCAAATTCAAAAAATTTTATTTCCAACTTTACACCAATTTTAGGGCGAAAACCGAAACGAAAACCGAAACATGTCAGACACACAACAGGCTGATAAAGAATTTAGATGATCCAGATGCAGAATCAGGAAAATTTATGTAAATAATCAACAGGAGATTAAATAAAAAAAACTCACTGAGGAAGAAGAGGCAGATCAACGTGACCTTCATCGTGAGCTGCTGTTGTTTCTTCACTTCTCTTCCTCCTTCACTTCTGATCTCCTTCCTCTAAACTCAGAGTTTACTTTCCTCTCGTTTTTATTCACCAGAGTTCAAATCCAACCACAGGAACTGTTCAGTTTGTGTTTCTCATTAACAGAAACAACAAAATAAATCACTGAATTATTTATTTCATCAGACCTGAAAATCAATGATATCTAAAAAAATCAGTTATTTGAACAAACATCAGAAACTTTAACTAGACCAGCAAATCAAACTCTGGGTCTCCAAATCTCTGGCATAAATATGACAAAGATTAAATGATTAAAAACAGGTAAAGAATTGGTTTATAACACCTGTGACCACTTGTGATTTACCAACTAGATGGAGTCAGTTTAGTTTTATTTTTCATCATTTTTTTTAAATAATTGTGTTGTAGTTTTCTTTGTTGTAGTTTGTCTTGATTGTATTTGTTGACAAAAGTTATGTATTTAACTCATTTTAATGTTGGTTGTATAACTTTAGTTTGTTTTTAGCTACAAATTACTAATTATTCAGTGACAACAGATGAAAAATGACCTTTTGGAAAATTCTGGTACTTTTAAAAAACTTTACTGTGCCTTGTTCTTATATTTCATTTAATCAATTAAATAATATTTAGAGCTCTTCAAAAAATAAGAGTCCATAACGAAATCCTCTGATTTCACTTTTCATAAGTATTATGAATAAAATGAACATCACTGTCAACATGCAAGCAAAGATTTTGTATTTATTTGCAGAAAATGTGAAAAATGGTCAAAATAACAAAAATGATGCAAAGAAAACAAGTTCACATTAATTTAGAAAAAACAATACTAATGTTTTCACTCAGAAATCAACATTCGGTGGAATAATCAGGAGGTTTTCAATAGGATATTAATTTTTCCACAGCTGAATATGTGAGTCGAATTTTTTTAATGCTGCTCATTTAGTGCATGACTCCACATTTTACTGTACAAACAGAATAAATAGTTTATTCTAAGCACAATAGTCTCTCCTCTCTATTTTTATGCCCAGAAGTGAAAACTGTTACAGCAACTGAAACCATTTTCACTCATTTCGTTCTGCACTTTTAAATGAGACTTAAAATGTTTCCACAAGTTGTTTTACAGTAGCTGTGGAATCAAATTTACACATTCTCCACATGCCTGCAGGTTTCTCTGGTTTTCCTCCCACAGTTCAAGAACATGACTGATAGGATTATTAGTCTTGCTAAATTGCTCTTCACCAATCCTGCAGCAAAACCCCAACAAGTCAAGTTGCATCAGTTCCGTGAATAAATGTCTGCCACATATGGAAGAAACGACACGTAAAAGAAACTGTTCAAGTTTAGCAGGAGGAAGTTTGTTTTTACCAGAAAGTAAAGGTGTAGAAGAGAAGTGAGCAGTTTGGGTTTAGTTTGTTTAGTTTCATGTTAACTTTGAACTGTTGCTCTGTGTTAACAGACAAACCAGCACACAGCCACAACCTGAGCTGGTTAAAACCACAGTGTTAGATTTAATGTACAGCTAGCGAATAAGACTTTGAAAAGCAGACTGATGCAAAATCAAGTAATCATAATAACACATTTAAAATAGAAATATGTAAAGTATGTTTACAGATATGAGCAACGTGGCAAAAACACAAAATATCACAAAGTATTTTGGTTTAGTTTCAAATATCTTAGTACACTTGAAATAAGACAAAACTAACTTACACGTAACATTTCAATAAGATATAAGCGCTTGTTTTAATTCAATAAATACTTAATCTTGATGAGGAATGAGGCTTTTATTTTGAAATAAAATACAGTAGAAAAAAGTCAAAACTATTTTATATCATATTGTTGACTAGATGTTGGAGGAATTTGAGTATTTGTTAAGGGAATTCTTTTTTATTATTATTTATTGTGAATAAGATTTAAATTATTAAAATGACTGTTTCTGTTCTAACCCAAAAAAACAATGTGGTCAAATTTTTAACCTCTAAAATTATTCAAAAGTATTTGTGCAGGAAAAATTGTTGCTTGAAGAGTTTCAAGTGCAGCAACAAAAGCATAAGAGACGATTTAAAATTAGTCCAAATGTTGCTTTGTTTGTTTTTATCATCTTTGAGTAGCAACTAAAATTGCAAATAGAAAATCCTGTCGCACATTAAACATCATCTGGATGAGTCAGAGAAGGAAAAAAAGAAGAAGAAGTGACGGAGAAGTTTGCATTAACCTCATCTGGACACCCAGCGTCTGCATGAATGTGACAGAGAAAGACAGGAAGGGAGGAGAACAAAAACACAAACCCATCAGTCACAGTTTTTAGGATTAAATGCATAATGGAGACACAACAAACTCTGCTCTTCTGCTTCCTAACAGGTGGGAAACAATTTAATTATTGTTTACATGTTTATGTGTCTGCAGCACATGACAAATTCACAACCATGTAAATTATTTCTGCGCTTCAGTCATTTGAATTTGTCTGTATTTTGTCTGTAGGTAGAATAAATAAATAAATGGTTTTGGGCTGCATTTTTAAGAAATAAGTAAACAAATGTCTGACTGAACTGACACTTTGAGATTTTAACAACCAAGAAAATTAAGAGATTCTTCTAAACATTAGAGTTTATTAAGGCTAAATGTAACTGGTTAAAATAAAACAGTTCTCAATATACAAATAATTCACTTTATAAACAACGTTCAGAGTTTATTTCTTATCATTCAGGTTTTGGTCTTTTTCAATATTGTTGGTCTGTTGTGGATTATTTAGCTCTCTTTTATCAAGAAATGTTTGGATTGTTTAGAGATTCTTCTTCTCTCTTCTTTTTTTTAACAATTTTTTAAATATATAGAATTTAAATATACATGATTCAATGTTTTTAAATGCTTTCTGTTGCCTGTATTTGGGTTTTAAAACATAGTTTCATGTCTAAGTCTCACAGTCAAACTCAAAGTTCCTACAAAACGTTATTGATGAAATCGTAAATTTTTTCCTCCAGCTTTTTCTTTTCCTCCTCATGTTTTCTTCCTGCTTCCTCCTTGATACTACATACTAAACGCCCCTACTTATTATTTAACAAGCATGTTTTACAGCTTCTATTTATTTGTATTTTTAATCCAGGCCAATTCTAAAACGGAAAAAATTTAGATTACAAGAATAAAGTTGGAATAATATGAGAAAATATTCAGGAAAATGAAGTTGTAGCTTTATCTGAACTCCAACACAAAAACAGACAAAATAATTAAATGAGGAATCTTCTACTTTGGTGTCAGTTTTACTGCTAATAAAATCCTCTATTTTTTTAACACATTATCATCAAATTATACTAATAAGAAGTCTTTGAAAAGTCTGTTTCATAGAGAGAAACATGTGGACTGAGTTAAAAGTCATCTTTTTGTCTCATCAGTTTAAGATGTTCCTCTGTAAAATAATATCATGACTATTTCTTGAATTATTCTGACTGTATTTGCATCATTCCAACATTATTCTCGTAATTTAATTTTTTACCTTACTATAGTACGTATCAAAATCTGAGGTTTTATTTTTAAGCTATATTGCCTGGCACTACTTCCACTCAAAGTTTCAAACTCGGTGGCTTTCCTGAAAATATTACCTAATAAGGTCAAAGCCAAACTTTGCGGTTTTTTCCACATGAATTCAAAACGAGGCCTTCAGATCTCATAACATCCATTAATCAGTTATCTACTCAGAGAGATGCATAAAACACCGACTCTTTTGAATCTTTGTTTTCCAGGAGCATCTTTCCTCAGTGACACAGCAGCAGGATTTACCATTTACACAGCAACCGAAGGACAAAACGTCTCCTTTGAGTTTCCCTTCACTCTGGTTGGAGGCGGCAGGAGATATTTATGCAGAGAGGAATGTAAACACGACAACGTCATCATCGAGACAAAACCTCACATAACTCCATCGTTAGTGGAAAAACGTCATGGCAGCAATGAGTCGCTTCAGCTTTTACACAATCTGAGCCAAAGACAGAGCAGCTTGCTGACTCAGCTTGCTGACTCAGCAGCTGCTCCCAAAGTGACCAACATGTATTTGATGACATTGTGTGACAATTTCATCATCTTTGCATTACGTCACAAACCCTCCCACATCCAAACTCTTTGCTAGAAGCTGCAACCAAAAGCTGCATTTTTATTACAAATGTGTGCATATCTATGTTGATATTCTGCTAAAAAAAATATCAACATAGATATGTTGATATTTCGATCATTCGATGATAATTTTCCATTCGATGATAAATTAAATTAAAATCACATCATAGAAAACTTTTGGATCTTCAATTCGAAAGAACAACCAATTTAATCTCTGATTGGTCAAAACATTTACAATATGTTTGCACAGATGATGTATTAAGCATGACTGATTTATGAAAAATTAAGCAAAATGGACTTTGGGAACTAATTTCTGTGTTGTTTCTAGGGAACACAGTTACTGATGGGAACTTAATACGAACAACAGAGAACCCGTTTGAGAATCTGGACTCTTCAGAACTCACTTCACAAAATCCAGTGAGCAGCAGTCTCCAGTTTCAGAGAGTTTCCAGCACGACTTTGACAGATTTACACAGTGAGTTCCTCAGTCTGTCTGAATCAAATGCATCGTTGTTCTGTTCATTCTCAATCTGTGCCGAAATCCAGATTAAAGTTTTATTCTGTGAAATTTAAAACTGAAAGATCGTAAATTACCACTGAATTGGATCCATTTGCTTTTTCCATTAAGGGTATTTGAAATGGAATAGAAAAGAAGAAAATGTATCACTCATGAAAAGGAAATCTACAAAGTACAGAAATAAGGAAACAAAATGCAGATGCAGGATTATCATCTTATTCAGGAATAAATTTATATAAACACAACAGAATAAGCAAAACACTGAAAAAAGGTAACATGAAGGTTGCAGACTCTGGTTAAGTTTAACTTTTACCAGAATTAGTCAAAAACAGGGTTTCTGACTTGTTGCAGAAACTTCTGCTGTATTTTTAGGCTTAAAGTGACAGTAAAAAAACAAAAGATACTAAATCAATCTTCAGTGTTGCATTAGACAATATTTGCTTTCTTTTATTTCAGGTGACATATGAAAACTGGGCACCAGGATTCAGATCTGAAGACTCCCATTACCAAAACCTCGATCCAGCCACTATGGATCAGGAACCAACTTAATTAACTTTCATTTAGGACGCCCAGTTTTTACAACATTCTCCTTATCTGTGTTTTAAAGCAGCAGTAATTTATAAAAATAAACATTTGTGAGCTTTACATCATGTTGTAATGTTTTTCTCTCATCAAAATCAGACCTGCATCGTTGCCTTCATTCTTTCATGGCTCTTTGTGAAATTCTTTAATCTCCATTGAGCCTGAATGTAGGCGGAGTTTCAGAAAGAGCAGGAGTTTCTTAAAGAGACAGAGACCCAATTTCAAGGCATTATATTAAAAAGTCCCATTTCCTTTCATATTTTAAATATTTTTTATAAAAACTGAAGGTAACATAGTTACATTGAAAAACAATTAGACCCAACAACTTAAAAAATGACTGAATTTTATTACAAGTAATCAAATTAAGTTTATTTATGTTAAACAATGTTGCAAATACACTTTAAAGTTGGAGCTGAATTCTCTTTTTTCCAGTGTATTTGTGCTATAAAATGCCACAACATGTTTGGAAAATATATAATACCGCCCATTAAAGTTAATTTTTTAACATGTAATTTATAAGAAAAATTGATTTTTCCTGCTAACTTCTTTATGACATATATTTCATGCAATATTTCCCACATTTGTTGTCTCTTCTTTCAACAGATGTTGTTAACTACAACTAACTACAAATAACATAGACAAATGTTTTAAATTAAATCCTAATAAAATCAATTTAAGTTTGTGTTCTAACTTGCTGTAATAATCGCAAGGTTTAGGGGAACTAAAACATTATGACCTCCAGTGACACAATGGAGCTGAACTCGGTCAAGAACTGAGAACACCTTGTGGTTTTAATGCAAAAACATTCAAAATTAAAGCTTTTTGAGGCTTTCAGTAAAATCCTCACCATCCATTAGTATCAGCATGAATCATGACATCATCAGCAGAAAAGTGAAGATGTTTATGAATCAGTTTTTATCATCTTATCAGATATTCTTTACTCAAACTTCTCCAGAGGCAGAAAGTGAATTAGTTGAGCTTTAAATCCACTTTCAGATCTCCAGGTGGAGAAACTGATCCTCAGATTAGGGATGTGGTGAAAACAGGCACTGAATACAACAAGCAGAAAAAACCCAGAAATGTTTTTAAACAAGACGAGAGTCTCTGATTGTCACTGTGTGGAAACAAAACCCTGCAGCTGTATCTGGAAGCACCTTCATCAGAAAACCAGGTGAGTATAAAACAGATTAAACCACCACACTGCAAAAACTCACCAACTATCTTTAGAACAGTTTCTGGTGTAAATATCTTGGTACACTTAAAGTAAAAAAAATTAACTTACAATTAACTTCAGCAAAATATCAGAGCTTGTTTTAAGTCAATAATTCTTTAATAATTATAAAAGAGTTTTAATTCAACTGGTAAATTATTTAAATTTTAACATTTTTCTTTATTAGTGCAATAATCTGCCAATCTAAGGAATTATTGAATGAAAACAAGCTCCTTTATCTTGGTGAAAAGCTACTTATAAGTTAGTTTTGTCTTATTTTAGATGTCAAAAGGTATTTTCACTGGAAACAAGACAAAATACTTTGTTAGATTTTGCAGTGAAGGAAGAAAAGAGACATTCGACGGCATAGCTGCTCCTTCCTGATTGGTCAGAAATTTATGAATTGGATGCCACTAAATGGTTGAAATCCTTCTGCAGACTAAAGACATTTTGAAGAAAAATGCGACAAGCTTTCATCTTCTGCCTCCTCTCAGGTAAGGAAAGATGCCTAAAACATTTAGGATTTTGCATCTCTATAATTCCAAATTTACTTGGTTTTATATAACAGGAAAGTGGTAAAAACAGAAACAAATGCATTTGGAAGCATTTGTTTCACTGCAAAAATGCAAAATGTTACCAATTATATTTGGTTCACTTTCTTATGAAACTTGGAAAAAGGCAAAACTAACTTACAAATAGCTTTTCAGCAAGATATAGGGGCTTGTTTAAGTAAATAATTTAGCAATGTTGATTAAAATTAGAGGCAGATTATTAAACTTATAAAATGGGTCAAATGTCTTGTTGTAAGTGAAATAATCTGCTAGCAGAACTAATACTTTTTCTAATAGATACCAAGGAATTATTGACTTACAACAAGCTTTTAACCTTCAGTAAAGTTACTTGTAAGTTAGTTTTTTTAAGGTATTTATAGTTGAAACTATTCACATCTTGGTAAGGTTTTGTGTTTTTTGCAGTGTGCAGAGCAGATATGCAGCTTGTTCTGACATTAAATGTTGACTGATGTTTTTCTGCAGTTCTCTGCGGTGCGAAAACCCTGATCCAAACAGAAGGAGGAAGCATAGCAGTGAAATGCTCTTTTACTCTTTCTGGAAAAGGGAAGTACGTCTGCAGGGATCCGTGTAAAAACGGAGACGTTCTCATTGAAACCGAAGCCAAGGAGGCCCAGAAAGGACGGTACAGCATCAGATACAGAGAAGGAACCTTTCCAGCTTCTTCTACGGTTCTGTATGTGAACATCTCACAGCTGACCCAGTCCGACTCCGGGCGCTACTGGTGCGGATTGAAAAGGCGCTTAATGATTGATTCACGCCAGGAGTTTAACGTAAATGTCACAAATGGTGAGTTTTATTTTTATTCAGGATTATTAACACCTCATTAGTTGAGGTGAGAAAAAAATGAATGGCATAAAAATATATTCCAGTTGTACCATCATAAACATGAAGTTTATTTATCAGTAAAGAAACTTTAACTGGAATAAGAAAGTCTGGTTTACAACAGAAATTAAATCAAATGTCACAATGTTGATGTTGAATGAATATCATTTAGTAAAACGCTGCCACAATAAATTGATTTTAGAGGTTTTGTTTCTGTCCTGTGTTTATGAGGCACACTGTAGCTCCACCAGCTCTTAAAATGAATTTCTGTTAAAAAATTCAGGAAATCTGAGTAAGTTTTAAAAAGTCAAAAAATGTTGACTTTTTCAAACCCAGAAATTTCCTTTCTTTCCCCCTAGAATATTTCTGAGAATCTCAAATTTTCCATACCTGTTTGTACGGCAGTGTATTGTTTTTTCTCCAGTAGTATTTTATTTAAAATAACTGAACAAAGTTCTCTTTGCACATTAATGGAAAATGACAAAAACATCTGAGCGGTTTGCTCAATATTCAGGGTTTTAAAGTTTATGATTTAATGATTATCTTTCACCTGATGTTAGCTTTATTTGTTTCTTTTCTAAAGTTTTAAAGATCACCCATCACTAAGTTTCTCATTTATGCCTCAGTAGCTATATTTGCCATAACTGAATATTTTTGTCACAGATACATTTTTCTTCTCTGCTTTCACTCACAGATATGAAGGAACTGGAACAGGCGACAGGCGTTTCTAAAGGTCATGACCTGCAGAACTGAAGCTCTGTGTATGGCAGAAGCTTCAGCATTTAATACTTAAAGGGGACCTATTATGTAAAATTCACATTTTTCACATTTTGTTTTTCCATTTCGGCTTCCACTGTTTCTAAAATCAGTCCAAGCACTTTAAAAAACACACCAAGATGTTTCTTGGTGGTAATTTAATGTTTTTTGTGTCTGAAAAATGAGACATTTCAAAATCCTCCAGAATGTGACATCACAAATCACCTTAGCTCACCCCATTACTTAGCAACCCTAGCCAAGCTAGCCCGTTACCTAGCAACACAAACAGAGCTCCAGCACGTTTGGTCAGCTGGTTTCACCGCTGTATGCACTGTACAATGGCTGATGTAAAAGACACGTGTTTTGGTGCTGACTTGCCATCCAGATACTACCTGTTGTATTTGCATTGATTGTGCTGGAGGCTCCACTTCTGTTTTTCAAAGATATCGATTTTCACGTGCTGGGGTAAATGTTCAGTTGGGGCCTGCAGCAGTTTATTTGGATTTAAAGTGACAGGATGCCCCAAAAACAGCTCAAAACAAGCAGAACTGAGCTGACTGAAATTTCATTTTCAAAGAATCATGTTATGCGAAAAAAAAAAAAAAAAAAAAAAACATCCTGACCTGTAAATTTCACATCACATTAGACACTGCAATTCCTCTCTGCCAGATAATTTCATTGCAACAATTATGACTTTTGACCTATCTGGTGTTAAACCGGCTGATCTTCCTTCCCTCTCATTCAGACTACGTTCTGCCTCTGGCCTTATGTGTCGCCACATTATTTGCTGCGGCTGTGCTGCTCCTCTACAAATGGAAGGCAAGAAGGGAATCTGATGGTAAGCTGACAATAAAATACATTTCAGGACTTATTTAACAGAAAACACTGGGACAAAAAATAAGATCATGACATCTGAAGCTGTGTTGCGTAGACTCGACCAGCAGGAGGCAGTCAAGCAGCAGCAGCAACAACAGGAGACAGAGAAGCACCCAGGTGGATCAACATCCTGGTTTTTGTTTAAACTGAAGATTCATTTTCATTTCATAACCTTGATTTTAATTTGATCCCTTTTCTTTCACAGTTTTCTGCCTCGAAGTTTACGAACCGGACGCCTCCAACCGACACGCAACAACAGCTTTACTATAACCTCTGAGGCTAACGGCGTTCCAGGAATTAAAATAGATGTTTTCATTAATAGACTGAAGTTCTGCTCACCAAAACAGCAGAAAAGCATCATGTGTGAGGAGACTACAAACAGGTTCAGCTCTACATCCATTTGTGTCGCTAAACTGAAGCAAAGCGAAACAACTTTCTCAAAAAAAGTTTCCAAACTTGATTTATAAGCGCCTGATCCTGTGCTTACAAATCAAGTTTTGTAGTTTAAATAAAGATTTGTTCATCTTCAAAAATAATTCAAATTAATGTTTGGGCATTTGCAGAAGGTATTTGTGTCTGTAAAAAAGATTTTCAATTGGGATTCAATTTCGCATCATTTGTAAAACCTCAGATACAGATAAAAAAAGAATCGAACTGAAAACTGCTGTGTATGTAAAGCACTTTACAAAAACATTATGTCAATTCAATCAGGCATGCATTGCAATGGATAATTATTCAACATTGAGTATTAATTATTTAAATTAGTTTAAAATAAGCTTAAATTTAAGGAATCTGATTGTTTAGAGTTCACTCCTCCTGGATGCAGTGGGCTGCATGTGGCGACTGTGGAGAGGAACAACTCCCCTTATAAACAGGCCAAAGCACCAGACTGAAGACTTTGTGATCTGATTTTTGGCACAAAGACAGAAGAGAAAATCGATAAATCATGCAGATGGAAATTATTGAGCTCATTTTGATTTATTATGCAACTAATTGATTTATTGCTAACAGCAAAAGGTATCATTTGTGTGTTTGTGCATTAATGAATGTAGAAATATTATTGTACATGTATGTGCTTCACAATATTAGAGTATCATAGGGATCATTTATTTTTTGTTACACAAGAGAATTATTATTTTTTCTTGTCTTAAACTAAAGTCTTTCTTTGAAAGTGATGGAAAATAGAATATTTTATACTTCATCTGCATTATGATTTTGTGTTTGTAAATGTAATCTGTATTTTATTTTTAATATAAATTAACCTGAGGAAGAACACCTGTTGCATCGAGCTGCTGCTGCTGTTGTGGATCACAGTAAACAAACATAAACCTGAGGTTCATACTTTCACTTTCCCACATTTCCCAGAATCTTCTGCATGAACTCATCTGGCCTTGTTGATAAGTTCATGCTGTTGTGATGAAATGTTACGTTTTTTTCTTTCACATCTTATTTGGCTTCTTTCTGGGTTTACACATTAAAAATTGTGAAGCTAATGTAAAACAATGATGTAAATATGAGGATCATTGGATAAAATCAAATTTTATATGCAGCAACAACAATGAAATGTGTCAATAAAGAAAATAAAAATGATTTAAAATAAAATAAACTAGTCCTAAAGAAGAAACAATTTATTTTTTATTTATATACAAATGTTAGTTTAATTTATTTGCATATGATTGATTTTGTATGCTGGACTTGATATGTGGATTGTATCATAGAGTTTTCTCTTTCTGGATCCTCATTGGTCCAATTCTAGTGTTATTATTTTTGCATAATGTTTGTTTTGATTCTAAAGGAAAACATAGTTAATGTAGTTTTGAGACGGTGATCTTGAGGAGAACAGTAAGATGAAAACCAATCCTGTAATTCCTGTAAATTAATAATCTTGCAGGCACGTTGTGTGTGTTTTTTTTTCTCTGCAGAGGTGTTTAAACTGTCTTGGACTGTTGGGTTCTTAATCTGGGATTAGCACAGATCCAGAGGTAATAAGGAGGAACTCGGTTTGTCCGGAGCGATCTGGTTGAGCTTCTTTATTATTTTTAATACTGCCCTGTCAAGTTTATTATGTCGTTTTTACGTCAAGCATGAATTTAACTTTTCTTATCTTTACTCACAAGAACATTTACGCCTATCACAGTCTTCCCAGACTTACTTTCAGATTCATTTTTATTCACTTCTGAAATTTTTGACAACTTTATATAAATGTGTACAAAGAAGATCCTCTTTCATATTTGTGCAGCCTCTGAGTGCAGCAGAAAGTCCAGGCAACACCGTTGAAGTAAGTGGCTAAACTGTGCTGTTACTTAACAATAGAGGTTTGAATTTTATTAGAAGTTATTGTTTATTTACTTTTGTTTGAATTTCATCAAGCAAATTTGTTGACATTATCATAACTTCTACTGTAGGAAATTTAAATTTCTGAGCAATTAATGTAAAAATGTTATGCATGTTATGCATTCTGCTTCTTTCTTTCAAAAGGAATCACTTTATCCTGAAGATGGCAGGTAGGAAAGTCCCTGTTTACATTATATTCCTTTAATCCTGGGCTTCCAGTGCTACCTCCCCTATATGCACTACTTTTGCTCTATATCCTCTCTTTTGTTGAGCATCTCTTTGCATATCTTCCAATTTTTAAATCATGGATCTGATCAACTGGTCTCAGTACAATTGATCAAATTTTCTCAACTGGAATACGGGGCGAAGGAGAGCCCTCTTGCCCTGATGGGACATTTGCAGCTGGATATATGATGGAGTCCTGAAGGATCATGCATTTGTTCATACTGTCAGTCGAGGATGTTGAATATGTGCACATAACTGGATTTTTGGTAACAGAATTTCTGCTCTTTGGAATTGTTGGTTACCTGCCACATTGGGAAATCTACCAACAATGAGAATCAGATGCTGTGTGACCAGAACCACCAACTGGATGGCTGAATGTGTCAAATTCTCCTGGATGTTATGCAAACAAGATGCTCTGCTCCCATTATGGTTAACGTCCATCTGTGAATCCTAATCAGAGTTCTACAGAGGCCGTTCATATTTGTTCCATCATTTATCAAGGATTATAGCTGGGAGGGCAATCTGGGACACTGTTCACAGACTTACTTAAAAATGCACACATGCATGCACACGCACTTGCATAGCTAAGATCACGCACATTCCCTCAACTCACTGCCTCTGTGGGCACCCCAGTGCAGCAACCTCGGTTAATGTGATGCACCAGGTGGCAGCGTTGCTCACTTTGGGGGTCTGTGGTGGCTGCAGCCTCAGAGACCCGTCTATCTAGGTCTTATGTTGTTTGTTTTTTGCTCTTTGGATAGGCTGTACTAAAATTGTCAGATAAATGTCTGTCATTTACCATTTTAGGTAAATAACAGACATTTATTGAAGCTGGCACCCATGGCAACCAATCAGTGCTATATGTTGCAAGTTCTCCTGTCCAGGTGAAATTGTATGCAGTGGTTTCTGTAATGTTGTTTCCACCATTACTGAAACTAAACCAACAAAGGAAATACAAATCAGAAGTTTACAGCAGTTATGTAGTAGCCTACTGTACGAGTTGCAGCCATATTCATGCAAACAGGCTTAGCTCAAGTAAACATTTTTTCTCTGAAATAAAGAAGGTTCATACAGTTGATAAAGGAATCCAGTTGATGTTTCTATGTGTTTTATAAGCCTAATTACATTGTTCTCTCTTGCAATATTTAGATTTTTCTTTTTAAATCCGAGACCCAAGTTTACCTGCCTTCTTTAGGGAATCTAGAAATGGTCTATTTAATAAATCAGAGTATTTCTAATACACTAAAGTTTTTTCTTTTATATATTTTAAGTGTGTTTACCTGTCTGACCTCTGCAGATGGTCCTGATGAGGAAAAAATTCCTAGTGGATCAGCTGGGGTGCTGGAAGTGTTTGACACCATTGACCGGCCGGGAGACGCCTTTGCTAAAGGTCCTTTCACACAAGTAGGGACGTTTGCAGTGGGATCGGAGGACAAACCAGGGAAGCGTGTTCCTAAAGCAGGAGCTTATGCTAAAGCGGGATATGGCAAAGCTCGAGCTGAATACAGCATCTTTGAAGCTGAAGCCAAAGGACCAAACGTCAGCGCAGAAACCACCGTCGCTCCACTGCATGTCGCCGCTTTTGTCAAAGCAGAGCTGGCAAGTGCTTCTGCCGCAGCTGGTCCAGTGAAAGTTAAAGTTGGTCTGGCAGCCGACACCGGGGTTTCTGTTGGTCCGACATGGGTGGAAGCTAAAGTGTTGGGAACCGGTGTCAGTATTGGTACAAAACTGGGCGTGTCTGTCTTTGGCACTGGGGTTGAATGTTGCATCTCATAGTTCACAAATGTTTTCCAAATTTCCTCTTTGAAAGTTCCCCTTACACATTAAAACCAAAACAATTCATGTTGTCATATTAAGCAGTTCATGTTGATTGTATTAGCAACTCATCTAATTTACAAGTGATTGTTTTTATCATCTTGTCTGCACTTATATAACTTGTATGTCACTGAAGCTGTGCTTGTAGGAAATCTGCAACTGAAATCAGCAAGTGTTTTTGTTCATCTTTTCTACTCTTAAAATAAAGCTTGTTGTTAACTACATCGCTTAAATAGTTTAACGTACTTGATGTGTAAGAAGACTGGATTTACAGCACAAGTTTGCTTCTGCACCGCCGTTCCAATCTGTGCTCTTGTATTATTTACCCGCTTACTTTTTGTGTGGTCATTTAAAAAGCAGTTGGTATTACTAATGATCATTCATAATAAATAATTTGGATAAAAATGTTACACGTGAAAAAAATGTTCATTAATTGTAAATTGTTGCTTGATGCACAATTAAACTTTGCCTGTTAAATACAGAAAATGTCTTTTTGTTTTAAATGTCATAGTTTAGCTAATTAAATAAAATTTTATCATTGATGTAAAATTTGCAGCTGAATTAATTGAGGTTATGTGGTGACAAAACAAAAGAGAACAAAAACACACTTTACTATTGATGAATAGAGAAAATTTTTCCAAATCTCATAATTGTGAAACTACTCAATTACATTACTTCTGACTGAAGGCTGTTTCTCAGCGGGAGATTTGTCCTGAGATCAACAATCATTTCCTGTGTTTTGTTCTCATTCGGGATGAGATTCTCGCAGTGGCAAACAGAGCAGAAACGTTTTCTGACTCTGACTTTAAACGGACTTTGGCGCCATCATGTGGTCAGATGAAATTACTACACCACTGGCAGCAACTTCCTTAAATCACAGTATGTTAAATTCACTAAGTCAGGCCAGCTGACAGCTTTATAACCAGTTAAAATATAGTTAACTTTTCCACTTTTTGAGAAATGACTAATTTTCTCTTCCAATATTCTCCCTCCTTTGCACTCTGGTTTTTAAATGTTCCTACTTAGAACAGATTAAACATTATCTTACAGTAATTGACAGCTGACATTGATACATGTGACAAAATTAATAGAAATTGAAATATGTAAATCAAAACAACTTTGATTTACGTATTAAGATATTCCCAGCTTCTAACAGCTGTTGCACCACGCTCCATATGCCAACAGAAGTTGGGGACTATGTTGATGTTTTACTAAAGCCTAACCAATGAATGGCTTAAAGATTTTGAATGTGGTAATACATATTTATTTAACATCTATTTATGAATCTATTTAACACAAACTTTAAACCATGACTGCATGAGGGACATTATACATTAATCAAAGTTCATACTTTCACTTTCCATTTCCTAGAAACCCTTGCAGATACAAGAACTCATGTGCAGACGACTGCATGATGGACTTTACACATTAATCAAAGTTCATACTTTCACTTTCCATTTCCTAGAAACCGTTGCAGATACAAGAACTCATGTGCAGACGACTGCATGATGGACTTTACACATTAATCAAAGTTCATACTTTCACTTTCCATTTCCTAGAAACCCTTGCAGATACATGAATTCATCTGTTGTTGATTACCCCTCGCCAGTTTCTAGACCTACACCCTGTAGAAAATCTTTGGAGGAGCTTCAACTCTGTGATTCTCAGCTACAGCCCAAAACCTGGCTGATCTAGAGAAGATCTGTGTGGAAGAATGGGCCAAAATCCCTTCAAACTAGGTGACAAACAACAGAAATGATTGACTTCTCTGACTGCAAACAAAGGCTACTGTACCAGATATTATCATTGATTTTCACAGGTGTTCAAAAACTTATTTGCAGCAGTAACACACAAATAAATGATTGAAGAAATCATACACTGTGATTTCTAGATTTTTTTTTAGATAATGTCTCTCACAGTGGACACACATAAGAGGAAAATTTTAGACCCCCCCATGATTTCTAACTTGCAAATTCTCAGGGTGTTCAAATACTAACCTTTCTGATACAAAGGTACAAGAGTACAGGACACACATTTGCTTTGTCTCCTACAAAAACAGCAATTTCAATTAGTTTTAAAAAAAGTTTATATCTAAGGAACTTCAGTCATTGACGGCAACTCACATTGTTAACAGACATCCGTTAGACGGAGAGCTTGTAGCACAGCTTAGTAATTTTGTCTTATTTTCAGATTCATTTTTAATCACGATACAGTGTTACTGTCTTTTTAAGACATAAACAATCTACATATGAATCCAGCCTCATCCCTCTCATAGGGACCTCCCCTTCCAGGATTATACAGTCTCTGCCTGCAGCAGAACTCCAACATCCAGCAAGATCCAGGCAACACCACAGAAGCTGCTAAACAGACTTGAGGTTTGATAGAAACCAGTTGAGGTTTAATTGCATTTATCTGACTTTTTAACGCTGATGTTTGAAGTTCATCAAGTCAAGTTTATGAGCATGATTCTTTCTTCTATTTGCTAAAGAAAGTAAACGCATTAGTATTTAATATGAAAATTTAAAATATTTCTAACAAGTTTTTGTTTTCTTTCAGAGTGAATAACTTCATCCTGAAGATGGCAGGTAGGCAAGTCCCTGTTTAGTCTCTACTCCTTTAACCTGATGCAAATAATTTTAGAAATGATGGAAAGATATTGAAGCTGATAACCATGGCAACCACAAAATCAGCATCATTTATTGTACTTCTTCATTTCCAGATGAAAACAGTATTCAGTCGTTTCAGTAATGCTAGTTCCACCAGTTTTGTTCAAAATGTCTTTTGGATGGCTTACATAGGAAAAAAGTAAATTGAAATTAAAATGTGAACATGCTATATATATATATATATATATATATATATATATATATATATATAGAAATTCCCTTCTCACCCACCGCGGGTGGTTCTTATCCTCTGAGCTCGGGTCCTCTACCAGAGGCCTGGGAGCTTGAGGGTCCTGCAGTATCTTGGCTGTGCCAAGGACTGCACATTTCTGGACTGAGATGTCTGATGTTGTTCCTGGATCTGTTGTAGCCATTGATCCAGTTTGGGGGTTACTGCCCCGAGGGCCCCGATGACCACAGGCACCACTGTGGTCTTCACCTTCCAGGCCCTCTCCAGTTCTTCCCTGAGGCCCTGGTATTTCTCCAGTTTCTCGTGCTCCTTTTTCCTGATGTTGCAATCACTTGGTATTGCTACATCTACCACAACGGCTTTCCTCTGGTGTTTATCCACTACGGCAATGTCTGGTTGGTTCGCCATTACCATTCTGTCTGTCTGGATCTGGAAGTCCCACAGGATCTTAGCTCTGGCGTTCTCCACCACCTTTGGGGGTGTTTCCCACTTTGATCTCGGGGTTTCCAGTCCATATTCTGCACAGATGTTTCTGTACACTATGCCTGCCACTTGGTTATGTCGCTCCATGTATGCTTTCCCTGCCAGTATCTTGCACCCTGCTGTGATGTGCTGGACTGTCTCAGGGGCCTCCTTGCACAACCTACACCTTGGGTCTTGTCTGGTGTGGTAGATCTGGGCCTCTATTGCTCTGGGGTTTAGGGCCTGTTCCTGGGCGGCCAGGATGAGGGCCTCTGTGCTGTCCTTGAGTCCAGCTTTTTCCAGCCATTGGTAGGATTTACTGATATCAGCCACTTGGGTTATTTGCTGGTGGTACATCCCATGTAGGGGCTTGTCCTCCCATATATATATATATATATATATATATATATATATATATATATATATATATATATATATATATATATATATATATATATATATATATATATATATATATATATATATATATATATATATATATATATATATATATATATATATATATATATATATATATGTCCAGCGATATCTGTCCATCGCCCTGGAAGCCGGGCACAAAGACATCGCCGTGCTGCTTTACGCCCACGTCAACTTCTCCAAAGCCCAGTCGCCTGGAACGCCTCGACTCGGCAGGAAAACGTCGCCCAGCCCGACGCGGAGGGGAATGTTCGACTGACCCCCGACCCAACCAACGCTGCGCTGCTATTGGTTCTCACAGAACAACCCCTCCTCCCTTAATCCCGACAACCAATGAGATTCCTGGATTTTATTTTTATTTTTCTATTTATCTACGTATATATATATATATATATATATATATATATATATATATATATATATATATATATATATATATATATATATATATATATATATATATATATATATATAATAGAATACCAATAATAGAAATTAGTTTATCAAACCAAATCACTTTTTTCTCATTCACAAAATTAGATTTTCTTTGTAAATATTGAATTAAACATTACTTTCCATCTTTAGACAATGCAATCCAGAAGTAAGCCATGCAATAAAGATTTACGATTCATATCTTTGACACTTCAGATTCAAATAACTGTTCTATTGTTCTTGGTGTGCAGAAGTCTCTCTTGATCTAGAGGGATTCTTGGAAGTGATTGACAACTTTGATCGGCCTGGTGACGCCTACACTGAAGCTACCTACGCCCGATCAGGGACGTATGCAGAAAGAGGGGAGAACAAACCAGGGAAGCGTGTTCCCAAAGCAGGAGCTTATGCTGAAGCAGGAGTTGGCAGAGCTGGAGCTGAATACCGCGTCTTTGAAGCTGAAGCTAGAGGACCCAACGCCAGCGCAGGAGCCAGCGCCAGTCTACTGGGTGCCTCAGCTTCTGCCAGAGCAGAGCTGGCAGGTGCTTCTGCCGCCGCTGGTCCAGTGAAAGTTAAAGTTGGTCTGGGAGCCGATGCCGGGGTTTCTGTTGATGCAAATGGACTCCTGGATGTGATTGACAACTTTGATCGGCCTGGTGACGCCTACACTGAAGATACCTACGCCCGATCAGGGACGTATGCAGATGGACTGGAGAACAAAACAGGAAAGCGTGTTCCCAAAGCAGGAGCTTATGCTGAAGCAGGAGTTGGCAGAGCTCGAGCTGAATTCAGCGTCTTTGAAGCTGAAGCTAGAGGACCCAACGCCAGCGCAGGAGCCGGCGCCAACCCACTGGGCGCCTCAGCTTTTGCCAGAGCAGAGCTGGCAGGTGCTTCTGCCGCCGCTGGTCCAGTGAAAGTTAAAGTTGGTCTGGGAGTCGACACCGGGGTTTCTGTTGGTGCACATGGGCTGGAAGCCAAAGTGTTGGGAACCGGCTTCACTATTGGTGAGAGGCCGAGCGTGTCCATTTTAGGCAATGAGCTTCAATGCTGCGTGTTATAGTTCAGAGAATGTTTTCCATATTTGCTCTTTTAAAAGTCCCCTTATACAGATTAAAATCAAGACAAATTCTGTCCCCATATTAACCAGATTATCTGATTTATGAGTGTTTATCTACTTTAGTCACATAATCTGTACACAGAAGTATTTCTCTTAAACATGCAAAAGAAACAAAGATCTTGATGTATTATCCCATATTCTCTATGGTGACTGTAAATTATTACAATTATGAAAACATTAGTCATTGTATTAGGAACAAATTTGTATCTTTTCTGCCAACCTTCATCTCGTCTTAAACTATGAATACGCAGAGGATGACTGGGAAGGCCTTTATTGCTTTTCAAGTTGTTTTTATCTTGTGCATTTATTTTATTTTTTATTTTATCGTAGATTCCATGGTGAAGCTGATGGTTACAGCGATTAAAGTGTTTTAGAAATCCCTGATCTTTCATGAAACCTAATTTTTAAAACTTAACCATACATTTACACAAATATCTCGGGCCAACTTTACAGACCTATAAGCTTTTTTTCATTAACAGCTTTTAGAGAATTTTCCTAACAAATTTCCAATGGGTTCAATATTAATGCACAACTCAAAACAAAAAGCTGGATGAACATGAAAAATCTCACACTTCAGAAATCTTGAGACGCTAATAAAAACTTTTGAGATGATAAATTCTTTGATGTTTATTTCTGTAATGTTCAAAAAGAAGTACACTCTAACACTTTGAGACCCACAAAAATTTAATACAAAGATTCACAGATTCAAGTGAGAGTTTATAATCACCGTTTTCTACAAAGTAAAATACTAAGGCAGCTGTTCCCAGTTTCACACCCATACAAGGTGATCAGGGCTGCATGCGGATCGCTCCGTCCAGCCTGATCACCTCCCCGTTGATCATCGGGTTTTCCACCACTGAGGTCACCAAGTGGGCAAACTCTGCGGGGTCTCCTAGGCGTGAAGGAAAGGGCACCTGGCGGGAGAGGAAGGCGCGCACCTTCTCTGGAAGGCTGGCGAGGAGAGGAGTGGCGAACAATCCTGCAGGACGGATTGAGGAAATATTCATCATCAGGTTCACTGTTGCTGCGTTTCCGTTGTAAATTACAAAAAACTTTACAGTGTTTCCACTAAGTAACAAATGCAATTAAAATCACATGTGAATAATTGCATGGCGGCAATGGATGTAAACATACAAAATATATTTATATTTCAGTTATTGAGCTAAACTCACACAAAAACGCTTTAGAGAAAAAACGTTTTGATTAAATTAGTTCATTCTCAACTCCAATCTGTGCAATTTTATGGTGAATAGCTGCATTTCAATTAATTGATCAAATTGGAAATACAAAAATAATTTGCTTAAAGGAAACTCAGGTTTTTTTGGTAAAACGTTTTTGTGCTAGAATGAGGTGGTTTGTCAAGAAGAAGAAGGAGAAATGATGTCTTGGCTTCTTCTTCATCTTTTCTGCCAGTAGTAGCATCCGTTGGTTGATCACGACTCGTGTGGTAGAAAAAAAAAGTGTTGCTATTGTAGTTTTGCAAAATACATACATTTCTACATGGCAGGAAAAAAAATATGATACTTTTTATCAAAACACATTACTTATTAGAAAGCGCAAAGGTTTTTGCAGAAAGTTGAGGTGGTTTTATAGCTGTGCTAAAATTGGTGTTTTTCTCAAAACTGCATTGGAAACACTTTTTTGCACCATCAAATCATGTGATCAACAACCAGATGTTACTACTGGTGGAAACGATGAAGAAGACAACAAGATTCTTTATTTAAAGTTCTTCTTACGTTTATTTCCATACGGCTGAAAAAATACCTCATTCAGAACAAACATTTTGAACTCCCTTCTTGCTGAAATGTGCTGTACAAATACACTTGATTGATTGATTTTTGTTGTGTTTCTTATTTAATGGAAACACCGTACGTCAACAAAGTTTTGTGCACATCTGTGATGGAAACACAGCTGCAGGAAACACTTTTTATGATGCAGGTTTGTTCTAGCACCAACCAGGAGCGATTGTGACGACTCTGATGCCCATTGGCGCCAGATCTCGAGCGATTGGGAGCGTCATTCCAACGATGCCGCCTTTAGAAGCAGAATACGCCGCTTGTCCGACCTCAAAGAGAGAGAAGACGATAAGCAACGGAGCAGCAGCCGGGTTCTATAGCTTCAGGTGATGGATGTAAAGCTCCACCTGTCCGTCAAACGCTGCCACGCTGGCGGTGTTGATGATGCAGCCTCGGTGTCCGTCTGCGTCCGGCTCGTTCTTCCCCATCTCCCCCACGGCGAGGCGGATCACGTTGAAGGTTCCTGCGATATTTACCTGCAGCAGCAGAACGCGCATGAATCAGAAAACTTTCACTGACAAGATGTTTGAACGTCTTCTTATTCTCCTCACGTTGATGACTTGCTGGAAGTCCTCCAGGCTGTGAGGGGTGTTCTTCTTGAAGTTGTACGTTTTTACAGCCACAGCGATGCCGGCACAGTTGACTGCCAGGTCCAACTTCCCAAACTTCTCCCGGGCCAGAGACACGGCCAAAAGCACGTCTGTCTCGGACGTAACCTGGGAACAACACAACGCACCGCTGAAAACAAGAAAACCTGGTTCTAATGAACTTTTCCACATTTTATCATGACTTTTAAGTCCTATTTAAGGAATAGGCCAACACTAAGATTTATTGTGAAGTGGAAGAAAAAGGAAAGATAGCTTTCTCATTGAAAACATAAAATGTGGCATGCATTTGTATTTTACAATGAAGTATTATAGCTAGGTTGAGAAAAATAATTAATTACAGGAATAAAATTGTAGTAATACGACAATAAAGTCGAAAAGCAACAATGGAATGTAACAAAAATGAAGGCAGAATAATACAATAATACTAACTAAAATAATGTTGTAATAATACAAGAATAAAGTTGAAACAATACAAGAAGTTGTACTACAGAAAGGTAAAAATATCACAAGCGCAAAATAATATGAGAGCAAAGTAAAATATGAAAATAAGTAATAATATTATCAAAATAAAGTTGTTATATTACAAGAATGAGAAAGTAGTTCTATAACAAATCTTACACAAAAAATCATAAAAAAATTTAATGAGCGACGTTGACCATCTTTGATATTGATTTTACAAATAAGGAAATAAGTCATCTTTTAACATGGCAGCATCAGGTTACTATCACAATTTACTAATAACATGTTTTAAAGACACATTTTATTCCATTGGATATACCAATTCAGACGAAGCTTATAGGATTTATTTGTAATATAATTTTACTTCAGCTGCACATGTTTTTTGCTGATTTGTTACAGAAATCAAACAAAAAACTGACTTTTTAAAAGACATGTAAGAACTAGAGACCATTTGGCAAAGAGTACAAGTTCGAAAAATTAAAAGAACGTCTGCCACCTACTGGACTGTGGAGAAATTACACCTTTACTTCCTGACGTACTGAGATTATGTAAGACTAATACTGCCAAAATTGGCAATAAATAAATCTATTGCTTGATAAAGTACCAAATATTCCATTTAAAATCAAAAACTCAAAACTTCCCCAGCGTATCTGATTATTCTTACACTTTTCTTGTTAAAATAATTAAATAACTCGTCTTTTACGCATTTAAAAAAAGGAAAATATTAAAGCTTACCAAAGAAATCACATTTAAAAATAAGTTCAACTCAAAAGTACTTGAGTATTAACAGTAATATTTTCTGCCTGACAGGATGTGGATTTCTCCAACTCACGTCTGCAGGAGCAAAGGCGCAGCAGCTTCCCAGACTGCCAGCCACTTCCTGTCCATTGGAGGACGGCAGGTCCACGATGACAGCAGACGCTCCCTTCTGCAACAGGCGCTCCACCGTGGCCCGACCCAAACCGGACGCCCCGCCGGTCACCAGGCCGACCATGCCCTGCCAAACACCAAAATGAACACTGTAACTCTGATGCCACCTCTTACAAAATTCAACAAACAATACATTTTGAAGACTAGATTTAAAAAAATGACTCAAGTTGGTGGAGGAAGAGAGCCAGATTTAAGCCTTAACTAGGTAATTTTTCTATTTAGCTTCGTGGTCAATTTTATTTTACTATGAAATTTGTATTTTTTCCTCACTCAATTTTAAACAAAACACCTCAGAAAGGATGAGTCTGCAGCTAAAAATACTTCAACGTGAACAGGTTTGTTGTTTTTATGAAATTTGAACCAGATGAAGCTAAAATTAAGCCAGTTGAGTAGTTCTGGGTAGAACATATTTACAAAGGTTTTTTTTTTTTTGTTTGTTTGTTTTATCTTAGATGCTAAATTTTTGTGCAATGTTGGCTTAATCACTACTCTAAATGTGTTATTCTTTCAGAAAATTGCGTTTTTTGACTCTTTATACTTCAGTCAGCAATTAATCAATTACTTAATTAGTTGACTTTTTTCACAAAAATCAATTAATCGTGACTAATTGTTTCAATTTTGGACAACTTAAGATGACAGATGTAAAACATATAAAATTATATTGGATCTTACTTCTATAGACCTGATTTTTGTCTAGGAATTAAATCCTGGACTTTAGGGCATTAGGGTAGCAATAATAACTAGCTGGAGATAAAACTAGAAAATCTGTAGAAATATAAGTTGTAATTTTATATAGTAGAGTGTAAACAATAATTCTCCATCACGTGACAACATAGAAACACACAGGACAACAAACCAACTTTTAATTTAAAAACAAATGGCCATATAATAACCTATAAATTGAATTTAATGGGAAAGTCTGAAGGCTGGCAAAATAAGCATGAGCAGAACTGATGGCTGAACTCCGTTACCATCAAACTACTAAACGAGACGGAAATCAGCTGACCGGAAGAGAAAAATGGCTAACATTGCAGCGGAAGCTTGCTCAGAGCTTAACGCGTCGCATTTGCTCGATATAAGCAGCAGAAATGCTGCAGGGAGGGAGAGGGGCACGTTTATTTTCTCTAAACTCACCTTCAAACTCCGAATGTGCGCCATGTTTGCTCCGGACACACAGTGACGTCACTCCAAAGCTTGTCTATGAGCGGATGGCTCACTCCTGACCCAAAGTCTCACTGAAACAGGTTGGTTCAATGGGTACCAAATACGATAAATTGTGACATTTCATTTTTAGAATAAAATTATTACTAAATTATAAAAAAAAACACAATAAAATCGGTTAAAAAGACCTGTAAAAACTAAAATTGTATTTCAGCAAACATGTGTTTAAAGGATGCCAGTTGTATTATTTTATTATTACATGACAAAAGATTTTCTATTTTCATCAGCTTAAAATTAACAAAACTTCAACAAATGTTTCAGAGGAAGTGCAGTTTATATCATTTGTAGTCTGGTCAGTTGGCATGTTTATACATTTGTGAAACTGTTACGAATATTAAGACAAAAATTCAACAGAATATATTTATTTACTTTTTAATAAATTATTTATGACAATACAGTGCAAATTCTAGATAGATATGTATGTGTGTGTAAACATATAATACATAAATAAGTTTTCCTGTTATATTTTTTACTATATTTAATTTGTAAAATTTTATAAATTTATAGGTTCACACAATACAGATTACGCAAAGAATATAAATAAGCAAATATTACCTTGCAATAGTACAATAACACATAAATGTAGTTTATGTATGCATAAACTACAAAAGTTATATTAAAAGGAATTTAACTTTGATATATTCAGATTTGCGTTTCCGACAATACAATCAAATGTATTGTTTGGCAAAGAAGAGGCATCAAAAATAAACTTAGCTAAAAATTAGTCTTATGCAACTGCACTTTAGTTAAAATAACAACAATGCAGATTTTGTGCCCATATAAAAATATTTACAATCAAACTAAGAGGCACAATCATTTTGGGATTCGTACATCTACGCATCTGCTACAATTTAAAATGTAAACATAAACTTGTCATTGAAAATCCTTCAAATGTTATATTTTTTAAGCGGAGTAAGAACTCTTACATTTTTCCTCTTTGTCGTCTTTCGAAGCTGACCAATCACCACAAGCTTCCGGGAACGCCTCCTTGAAAGCAGTGACGTCGTCCAATGAGAATCGCTCTCCCATGCTGGTTCAGAGGAGCGAGTCGTGCTTCTGACTTCTGACCTGATTTTATTCCATGACCCGCTATAAAACACATCCCAACACTTCCGGGTTCACTGCAGTAACAGGCAATACATAATTCTGATTTCAGTAAACATTAGGCCAGTTTATTTTTCGTGTGATTTACAAAAGAACTTGGGAAAAATACATTAAAACCTTTGCTGTAAAAGCAAGCAAGAGGCACCAAAAATAAACCAGAAATAAGCTCGTCTGTAAAAGGAAGTTTATATAAATAGGTTTTCAGGAATCTGGTTCCTGAGCAGCAAATGATCTAATAAATACTGACTTCCCATGTTAAGTTCTGGTTCTGAAAACATTGACAAAAGATAAATAATACATTAAAAATCTGTTGCCTTCAAAAACCCAACCGCCACCACACACAAAGATTCGGAACAATTTCTAGAATTTGGTACAAAAAGCCCATTTACAAACAATAAAAGATTAAACTAACTGTTGAACTGTGTCAAAATCAAAACAACAGAAGAATCGATATCAAGATAATAAATCAGCTGATCAGAGGTTTGAATTTTCCCTCAATCAGTTTATAAACGACTGTGTCTTCAGTTAGAGGCCTTTTCATAATAACTGTTACACAGACATAATTCCTGCTTACAGCCATCATAATCTACAACAATGCTAAAGAAAATCAACTGTATAGCATCATTTAATTTCTCTTTTGGATTAATAAGGTATTGAAATACTAGTGAAAATGTTTTTTATTCAATATTCATTAAAGTATAAAAACCAAGAAGAAACATTTTTTCAGCAACTGAATGCTTTTATTAACTTAATAAAAAAAATAGAAAAGTAACATATTTTAAAAGCATTTTAATTTGGTAATTTTCCTTATTCTCAGATTAAAAACTACCTCTGCAAGCATACATATACATTTCTATTATGTAATCATCTTAAAGTAGAAATGTCACAATAAAATTTTTTTCTGGATAAATTGTTCCAGAAGTTATTGGGATAAACAATAATGTTGTTTTTAATAATGTAATTTAATGGCATAATAATTCACATGTATAACTATATTTAACACTAAAACTGGAAGACATTTTTAAATGTCCAAAAAAATAATCAACTGAACAAAAACAACAAATAAAATGAATATTAAAGTCTCCATAAACAAAATTCTTCTTCCAAAAAATGGCTAATTGAAACCAAAATACCAGACTGAAGAGTTTTAGATAGAGAGAGAAAACAGTAAATTTTGCACACGGAAAAGATTTATTCATTATGCAATTATTATGTTTTCCTTTTGCTTCTTGCGATAGGCCTGTTTTTACATAAAATAAATCTAAATCAGTTATGTCAATTAACAATTCAATCGTGGAATCGTTTCTAATTACAACTTCAAAGAAAACTGCAGCAGAGAGAATATTTGTTGTTTATAAATGAAATCAATGTGTTATTTTCTACACCAAGCTAAGCCTGATGTTGACAGCGAGGGGAAATGTAAACAAGGTAATGTAAATATACTAAAACACAGATTAAGGGGTAATAAAACATCAGAATATGGATTGGTTAACTTAACAACACAGGATGTTGGACTCCAGCTGTCTCTTCGTACTGATGGTGGGTTTGAGTCGCCCTGAGAAAGACAGTAGGCTGTATAGTTATCTCCCAGATCTGGTGTGATCCTAAAACTATACAAACTACTACCTCATCCCAGAGCTCCCAGTCCAATGGAACCGTCCCGTTCGGGTCAAATCCCCCAGTCAGAGAGGAACAAAACGGCTAAAACACACTGTACTGATTAATAAGTCATTAACTGAACCAGGTGATGCTAGCTCGCTAACCTGGACTGTTCCCGAACACAGGAAATTATGTAAATACATCCGGTTCGGTTTCAGAACAAAAAGTCCTACTCGGCATTTTTGTGACACCTTTCGAATAAGCAGGTGTCGTTTCTGGTTGTTTTTCCGCCGAACCAGGTCCGGTTGGTGGCAGCCAGTTAGCTTGACGTTAGCTCGAATTGGCGGTTCTCGTCTTCCCCAACACCGATCACTGTCACCTCCGTCCTCCCACACACAAACACTTCCTACTCCCACAGCGCTCCACCGTGTGTGTGAGGGTGTCCGTGGGCGTAAAATCCACTCGTCGCCCCACCGAACCCCTCACTTCTTGGTTCCGAAAGATCCAGCAGCGGTATTAGCTCAGGTCTCTGTGTTTAGCCCCGGTGATTTAAGTGCGCTTTACAGGCTAAAGTCGCTTTCTGCACTTCAACGGCGTACAGTAAAGGACCTCCACAGGAAATACGTCACCCGGGCTTACCACGTGACTCGGAGACACGTGACATGAAAGGACATAAAATTATTTTTGTAGTTTTTTACTTGTTTCGGCAATTATTTGTTGGAAACACAGAAACACACATTTTGTTCGCAACAGATTTTTATTTCCATTTTTTTATTAAATTAGTGACGTAATCACGTTATGGTAAACCAAAAACATTCAAAATTAAACTAAAATGTAAGCATTTGGAGATGAGGCAAATAACATTCGAGTTCTATGTAACTATTCACTGCACAAAGCATCATGACTAAAAGACTAAAAATGGAGATGGGATTACATTACAAATAACTCAATTAAAAAGATACTTTAAATTGGAGAATTTTAAGATACGAATAAATATGCAATTATCTCACTTTTATGGTATTTAGCAAACCAATAATTTCAGACCTAAAATAAGAGATGTTTAGTTAGACAGCGAGAACAAATGTCTATTTTGAGAATGTAAAGTTTTGGTTAATCTATAAGTCCAAAGAAAGAAGAAGAAGAAGAAAAAAGACACTGGACACAGTCTTTTTTTTACTAAAAGAATAAATTTTATTTCAGCACTGTAAGTCATTTCCCAACCAGTACAAACATGACTGCCATCTTAGTCTCTTCCTGAACCTTTCCTCCCCTCCCTCTGTGTGATGAGACCACCAACAGCCAGACAAATAAAACTTTGAAAAAAAAAGGAAAAAAAAAGGAAAAAAAAAAAGATTTAAACAAACTTTCTTTGCTTTCTTTCCACAGACTGTCTGGTGCTTCCATAATGCTAACAATGACAAATTATACCAACCATAATTATAACAGCAATAATGATGATAATATTTCTATAACAATTATATCATGGATACATTTGAACCCTTTTTTATTTTTATTTTTTTCGCTGCACAGGTAAGTTTTGGGTGGTTATAGGTACGGATGCATCAGGACACACGCTGCTGAAGATTGACCAAGGTGACGAGAAACGATCAGCCTGACTGGGAAAGTGGAGACGGTAGCGGAGGGGTCGGGGCGGGGCCGCTGTTGACAGGAGGGGGGTAGCAGTGGCGGCGCAGAGACGGACAGTAAACTAACTTTTTCACCAGGACCGGACAGGAAACAGAGCGAATTGTGACTCGGTATGACACAAAGGAATACTGATTCTTTTCTAAGAACATATTTAACACTTCAGTTCTCCTCTCAGCTGAGATCTTGGAGAGGAAAGCTGGCTTTAACTGAGCAGAGGGTGGATTTTCCCAAAAACACCTTATTTAATAATTTATTAAAACACATCATGGCTTCATAAAGTTAGGGCAAGATAATTATTTGAGGGCCACAATATGTTTTTTTAAATTATTATTTAAAGATGAGGTTTCTGTTTTGAAAAACATTCCCTTTTACCTGGACAATAATAAGAAAGTCCATGTTTTCATAAAATGAAGTCTGATTTGTGCAGAAGAGGGAGTTAAAATTAATTGTTTTCTAAAATCTTTGCGCTCTCGAGTAAAACCACTGTCCTATTTACGATAAAATTGAATTGCCACAAAAAAAACAGAGAACATCCTGTTGCCTTTTCCACTATTAGAAGATTTTGAATAATTTTTAAAGTCGAGAAAATTTCTCAGATTGTTTTCTTTAAATGTTTTAAAACTCCAATGTTGAACTGGAAAACCAAGTTTGTGCTAATTTTTAAAATTTATTTCATCATCGTCAACTGCCGCACAAAATCACTGAGAGGGCCAAAAAATGGCACACTTTCAAAAAATTTATAAATTAATAAGATGCCAGAGAAAGTTACGTTTTTGTGAATATGTAAAACTTTAATACTATAATGCTGACCATCCCCGACCTGTTGCTGAGCACTGAAGGTGCTTTTTTCCTTTTCCTTTGGTAACAAGAAACATAATTTTATAAATTTGTTTCTTCAGCTGCAGGCAGCATGTATCTCTGACTGTAGCAGCTGACTGTAGCCTTAATATCAGCTGATAGTCCAACTAATTGAACAATTAATTTTTCCTTTTCAATGCAATAAGCATTTTAATGCAACTACATTTTTCTTCTTGCTTTGATTTATGACCAAACCCTCCAAAATTCTATTTTAACACTAGTAATATGTAGTATTAATAGTTTTTCAATTTCAAATAAAACAAAATACATCATATAATGCTGTTTTTATACCAGAGTACTTTTGTATTGAAACAAAGGCAACGTTTTTTTCTCTAAAGAATAAAACCTGTGTTTATCAATTGTGAAACTTGGCTAATATTCTTGATATTTATGTTAAAACTGTGTGAAATGGTTCTAAAAATTGTTTTAAATTATGTCAACCAGAACATGTCTCGTTACGTGTTAGTAGGAAAATTCATCGTCTGTCACCAGCTTTGTTACCTTCATAAGCCAAAGAGCTAAAAGGTGAGTCGGAGAAAGCAGAATAAACATAGAAAAAAATAACAGAAAATTCCCTAAAAGAACCAAAGGTGGGGTTTTTGTGTTTTTCCATCTCCGAGTTGCTGTAGAAAGTCTCAATTTCAGTCACTGAACAGAGAGGAAATTTAACTGCAATCCGTTTGCTCAATCACGGTCCAGGCCCGCCTCTGCGACCGCCACCATTAAACCTCAAAGACTTGTCAGATAAATCACACGTGCTGTAAAATATTTAAATATACTTATCGTATTGATCCAAAACTCGTTGCTCGGGGGCAGACTGTTCAGGTTGGGGGAGGCAACGGGTGGGGGAGGGGCAGGTTTGGGAGAAAAGGGGGGAACATTGCGAGGCGTGCTTTGGTTCTCAGATATTCACAAGAGATGTTTTGCTGCTTTGTGCAAGGGTGCAGAGAGTTCAGCTTGGACTGAATATGAGATCTTTTTTTTATTTTTTAAGGGATATCGTAAGAATCAAACATTATGCAGACGACGATTTTCAATTCGAGAAGAAGCGGGCAATATTTACTCACATACATAAGAAACGGTGAAGTGGTCTAAAGATGCCATATAGATACAGGTAAGGAGAATGGCAATCATTACAGTTCAAATCTCTAGGTTGGCTAAGCGTATTTCAGTACTAACTGAAGCGATGGTAGAAGGTTAAGATTAGAGAGATGTAATACCATTAAAAATAGTAAGAAAAACACATTTGCACAATTGAATAAAACAGTTTTGATTTTTTTTCTGTTTTTTTTTTCTTTCCACTCTGGCTAGATACATACAGAAACTGATTATCAACGTTAATATAACCTTTACTGTTAGTCGGGTTGATTAAGGGCAGGGCAGCCCAGAGAGAAGAGAGAAGAGAGGGGGATAAAATAAAATGAAATAAAAATACTTCTAAAGGGCTAACAGAGGCAGAGAGAGAGAAAGAGAGAGAAATGCAGGGATTAATCTGTGTGTATTATATTTTTCTGTGTGTGTGTGTGTGTGTGTGTGTGTGTGTGTGTGTGTGTGTGTGTGTGTGTGTGTGTGTGTGTGTGTGGTTGCTTTTAATGCGTGTGAGGATGCATGTACTTCCTCGGAGGGTCGAGGAGTGTTTGAGGCAGAGAAAAGAAATAACAAGGTGTTGTAACGAAAGGAGGGCGGGGCTGTTAAAAGAGTAACAAGGAGGAGAGAAAAATCATCGATCAATATCTATCAAACTAAAACAGACGAGGACAAAAACGGGACACTACATCATGTGTTGTGTTGATTCTTTTTTTAACCATACTAACTATAGTTTAACATCTATGTATCTGCGTGTGTGCAGTTGCGTGCCAAGCTGACACAAACCATGTCACGGTTGTCTTTCGTTTGTGTTTTTTTTTTGTGCAAACTTGTCTGCGTGGGATACTTAGAGTCAGAACGAGTTACCAAAGGTTCTCTGACGAACTGACGATCACTCGACTGCTGCACGCACAAAAAAAATAACGTCAGCACAAAAGCAGAGAGAATGCAACTGATTCCTGTCTGAATGTGGTGTGTGGGTGAATGAGTGTGTGTTTTATTTTTATATCAGTGTGTGGCGTGGCGAGCGAATCAAAAGAGGGCATCGTGTGGAACGGATAACGCTCTGGCTCGCCACAGAAAAATAAAAAAACAAAAAAAGCCATCTTTACTTCTTAATGTCTGCACTAATGTCAAAAGTTGAATGCGGTTATGTCTCCTAGAAAACCTAGACTTGGTATTTCGGCAAGTGGAGCTCTAATCTCTAGTCTAAGTCTCTGTGTCTGTGTTTTGCGGTCCAGTTAGGCCCTGATGCTTCCTGACTCTACGGACACCTACGGCGCCTCTGACGAGCCGGAACCTCCGGATTCATTTGGAGCAGATGTGAGAAGACGGCGCCGCTCGGTGCAGCTCCGCTGCGGCCGACCGGTAAACGGTCGAGTTCGGAACAGAGGGAGATGTCTGACGTGACTACATTGACACGGACAGTCAGGGTCGTTGGTTTGTGTTTTTCCTTCAGAAGAACTTCGTCTTTGTAACGGTTTGTGGCACACGATGATCGAGCACAAGTCAGTAATATAGTAAGAAAATAAGGTGCTTCTATTCTGACTTGCCTTTTTTTTTTTCTCATGTCGATCGTTCGAAGTTCAGAGATTAAAAATATTCATGGCTGTCGTCTCTCGGCTCCAACTGCTTTCTGGGTTTGCTTGTAATTGTGGATCTGGTCGGTAGGGGGAGCAGGAGGGCACATTTCATTGTCAACAAACATTAAGTGCTCTAATTCTAAACATTTCCGTGTATTGGAGGCCTTAGGGTGCCGCGTGATGCGGCCCACAGAGTCTCCGTCGCATTTGTGGGAAGGACTATGGGGCAGCGAGAGGCTTCCTGTCGGTCTGAAGTGACTCAGCTTCAAGCCGAGGGATGGTGAGACCTGGAAGGAATTGCTACTGCGCCCATTTTTATTTATTTTGCTCGCCTCAGACGGCAAACCTTACTGACGTACACTTTGGATTGAAACTTTCAGTGATCTGAAATGGTTTTGTTACAGGAGTCATGACTCCTTTTAGCTCCATTGAAAAGTTCTTGACTGACCGTGAAGTGCTGGAGGGGGGAACTCTGCTTGGCAGCCGCTTCCCCCCTCAAACTCCCAACATCTTCCATCTGTTTCTGGGCAACAACATCTTTATTTTTCATTTTTTTGGCCTCAAGTCAAGAAGGTGCCTCAAAGTTTAGTTTTATTTCCATTTCACCTGGTAAAAGGACTGTCCAGTGTGGTTGAATTATTTTTTTTTTAAGACAAAGTGCTGAACCACTCTGTTCACATTCTGACGTCTCTCAAATAGATCTCTACCTTTTAAAAACGTACTTCTACGCGTCATAAAGATGTATTCAGGAGCAGGGGACATCCCTGACAGAACGTCGATTCAACCATACAGGGGCTTTATTTAAAATACAACAATAAGTGCTTCTGCTGGGTTAATACAATCAAAGCTTTGGGACAAATAGGACGAAGGGGGAAGGGGGAGATCTTGCATACTTTAGGGTTTAAGGTGCATAAATTCATGGGTTTAGGGTTGGAGGGGCTCTCTCAGCACATCTAAGCATTAGGATATGCTACATAGGTCAAAGTAAGATAGCACACTATTACCATGAAGTGCTCCAGTGATAATTAACCAATCAATCTATATAGAAGGGGATGGGGGATAGCTAGCACACATGCTAATACTTTGTGTGTGTGTGTGTGGTGGGAATGAGGAGGGGTGGTGGGTGTCACTGCACAGAAAAATGATAAAACATTGCCATGAATCAAGAGTCAAAATTTATCTCGGACAAAAGTCGTCCTGATCGCTATGGCAACAGAGCACAAAGACATGCGGCGACAGCGCTTAGCAGCTAGCTGAAACCCCATCCGATTAGCCGCCGCCGCAAACGTAACATCAGTGTGCAGAGACTTTAAAGAACGGGACCGTTTAAGACGCTACATCAGAAACTATGTTGATGTGGTGATTCTGGGTGGGGGGGGCGAAGCTTTAAGCTCTGAGTGGGAGACGGTGACGATCAGGAGTTGTTTTTTCTGTGAATTTTTTTTTTTACGAAAGAGTGGAAACGGTTTGGGGCAGGGCGCTTACGGACTCATGGAGAAACCCTTTCTTCATAAAACGATTTAAAACCACATGAGTAAAAATAAAACGGGAGCAACGGCTAGCTGCTTCAGTCTATCATGCGGCGCAGGAAGTGAAAAGGCGTCACTTCCTGCTCCGCGCGATTGTGCACGCAGCTAACGAGACGTAGGAGGGGGCTTGGGGGCGGGGCTACAAAAAACAGGGGAAAGGCAGTCGAACACATAACTCTCTGAGAGCGGCGCGTCCTGGCGAAGGACACCGTCACTCCTCCTTCTGTAGCGCTCCGTCAGACGGGCAGTCGTCAAGGCAACAGGGGGCCTCCACTTCCACCCCCTCTGATTGGTTGTCTCTGCTGGCTAAGGCACACGGGATTGGCTGGGCCAGTTCTAAGGGCTGGCCAATGGCGGAGGCTGCTGAGCTGCCGTTCAGCTGTTGAGTGGACACCTCGGGCGCTGAGCCCGCCTCCTCGGAGGGCTTCGTGGGGCTGCTGGGTGGGGGCGTCTGCGGCGGACAAATCACCACATCAAATGAAAAAATAATATCACTACTTGTTCTCCCAATAACCATAAAAGTGCATAAATTGAAATTATGAAAATAAATGTTTATAAATCACTGAACAGTTTAACACCAAATTATATTTGAAACTTTGCTCCATTTCTTTTTATTACATTATAAATTCAGGATTGAAATAAATGCTGAAATGTCTTTGGTCCCTTACAGATAACTTCTATTTTAAAATGTTTTTGTCACAATCTTTCTGTTGTTGTATCAACCTTCCAGATCTCTCAGGTCTTCTGGTTCTGTATCTCCAGAACCATAACCAAACATGAAGTAGCAACATTCAGCTTCTATGTACAACAAATCTGGAACAAACTTCCAGAAAATTATTATTGATTACTGTTATTAATAATGTCTTGTGACAGAATTATACATTATACAGCAGGTAAATTATGGCAATCCATTCATGCTTCATGAATCTCAAAGCTTAGGTTTTTGCTGTGCGCTATCGTTCTTCCACCTGGTCGTCCTTCCACCAACTTTTCCAATAATATGCTTGGACACAGCCAGTGTAAACCAGCGAGTGTATACTACGATCGTAACATTTTTGTAGTAAAGTAGATCATTTTTATTCTAATTGCAGATGAACAAAGTTGGTGAAAATAAATGCTTAAAATTAACTTTATGAATTCTTCTGGGATCTCAATGTCATACCTGTGATCTGTTGGCAGCTGGTTTTTTCACTCCCTTTACTTTCGCTGGAATCTCTTTACCCCGCCTGCATAGAACAAACAGCAACACATTTTACATAGTTTTTAATTTTTTCAACACAACCACTTTGTCAGCTGGACTCAGTGAGCTTGCACTGACTTGTTGCCAATTTGTAAAGAACTGTTTTCATGTGCATGACAAACTGATCTTGGCGAAGTAGATTATACATGGCTGGTGAACCTCACCCTTTTCCGGCTCCCACCGAGACCACCTGCATGTTGAACCCGCCTCTGCCGCGGAGAGGCTTGTTTCCAGCCCACTGGCCCACCACCATGCCGGCGATCTCCAGCTTCCCTCCCTGAGGTGGGATGGACTGAATTCCTGGGAAGAGAAAGAAATGCTGATCAACTTCGGTCATAAAAATCTACAAATTTCATCAGAATATCATAAAATTCAGTGCAGATGATCAGTCAGCAGATTGGGTTTCTATCAGGGAGTCCACCAAAGGATTTTGTGATTTTTTTGTTTTTTGCAACTAAATCACAGATTTTGTGGTGCCATTTTAGAAGTATTTGTTTTAGTAATTGATTGATATTTTGATATTGATATTGATATTTTAGTAATTGATTATTCTGGCAATTAACTAAACCAAAAAATAAATAAAAAATTGGCACATTCTTCAGATTCTTCTTTCAACCAGTTAAAAAACCAGATAAAAAAAATAGACATTAAAATGCAAACAAATAATTCAAATATTTTTTAAATAAGAAAAAAAGAATGTTATTGCCTAAAAGTCAATACAGCCCTCCTTTAGTGAACACTTGTGCATGCAAAATTTATAAACTTTTTTTTTACAGCTATTGCTTCATTACTGCTTTGAAAATGTTGTTCTGATTAATAATGGTATTGCAAAAGATGCTTTTTCAACCATTTTAAATAAATTATGCTAAAACTGCAACTTAATTCGTACTGGGTGTAACATATTTATAAACAAGGAAGTTTTTATGTTGTAAATGCAAAATGTGTTTTTTGAGTTAATTACTGGTGTTCTTTAAGCAAATATCCATTTTATTTAAGTGTCTCCCTCTCCAGTTAACGATTAATTGCTTACTAAATTAGTTGACAATTATTTTAATAATCGATTAATCATGAATAATCAGATTAATCGTTCCCGGTTTAATCAAGGGAGGGTCACGCCAAATATTTAAATTTGATAGCAAAAGTAAATATCTGTTGCACAGGTTATTTATGACAACCTCCATTTTCTTTCCACACAAACTGACATTTTAACCTGTAATTTTGAGCTCATGTACATTCAAAGAGTCTGCAGAACCGTGTCTGTTGAGCTGGAGCGTACCTGGGAAAGCTCTGGGTCTGTGTTGGCCGGGGTGATGAGGATGGTGCGGGTGATGAGGGGGCATGCCGCCCATAGGGCGAGGCGGGTAGAGAGGCATTGGGTAGAAAGGGGGCACCATGGTGGGGGGTAGGAAAGCAGGAGGCGGCAGAGGAGGCGGAGGGGGAGGAGGACGAGAGAGGTTGATGCCCTCGAGGATCGCCTGTCGCATCTTCTCTACCTTTGACACCAGCTCCTCCTGCAGAGCAGAACAATGAGACGCTGGATGAAAGGAACAGTTTATGTTCAACATGTTCTCAGCTGCAGCCGGTCGTTTAGTTTAGTAAGAAAACCACTAATCGGTGAAAGAAGGGCAGTTTCACAGGTCAGCAGAGCAATGAACAGTCACAACTAGGGCTAAAATGCTACATTATAAAATAATGTAAAAATTGATTAATTGTTAACTGGAATGTACAGACTTAATAAAGGCATTATGCTGAATTAATAACATATGCACTGCAGTAATTAAACCAAACTGTACAAAAAATTTAACTTTTCTTTGTCTGATGTTTTACCCAGTTTTAGCTTCGTCTCGCTCAAATTCTCCTATTAAGCACCTGTATCTAAATATTATTGATTAATACAAAAATGAATCAATCTATGATCAAGTATTCACTGAAGAAATGTTGTTATTGTATTCTAGGCAATAAGATGCTTATTTCCTATTTAAAAATGAAATTGAATTATTTGATTATTTCAATTTATTTCTGAAATTGTATTTAAAAAACTTGTTCAAGGAGAAAAGCAGAACGTGTAAATTATTTTTATCCAATTAATTGTCAGAATAATTGAATGTCAGTAAAGTCATTGTTAGTTGCAGCCAGTTTCACACAGGCAACTAACCACCTGTGAGAAATAGGTATTCCTTTACTGAACGCTTAATTATTTACAGCAAAGGATGCATCAAACCTGCAGAGTGAAGGCCTGATCTGTTGACCATTTTACTAAACCAATAAATAAATAAAAAAAGAAACAAAGAATTGATGTACACCTATAAGTGCTGTGTAGGAGATGGAAATTACAAATTTTCTAAGGGAAAATCCCAAAGGGATTATAAAGTTCGCTATGGGTAGCACATATTTAAAGATTAAGGTTTTTCATCTAAAATGCAGAATTTATATTCTTTACATAGTTTTGACTTTATGTTTCAGAGTCTGTCCACTGCAGTTAATCAATCAATTGCTAAATTAGTTAATTATTTCAATAATTGGTAAATTGTGATTGATCTGATTGTTTTGGGCCTCCTGCATTTGTGTCGCACTTCATCTCCAGTGTGTGAATAAACTAAACCGAAAACCCAGAGCCATGTTTATTGCCCCCCGCCTTTGTCTCTTACCTGCCCCTCGCACATGTCCAGCAGGGCGGCGCGGTCGCGGGCGGCCCGCGCCAGTTTGCTCTGGAAAAGTTTGCCGTCAAAGAAGCCCCAGGGGCAGCAGTGTTCCCATGGCAATGGCTGGCCACAGACATCATTGATGAATAACGCCGTGTCGACGCCGGCCATGAAGAGAGCAGCCAGCTGCACGCCGCGGGCGTCCACTTTCTCCACCTGACGGATGATACGGAGAACAAAAGAAGAAAATGAATAGACATGGCTGCCACAGATCAAACATGAAATATGTTGAAAGATATTGAATATTTGATCTTTAGTGCAGACCAAACGCAGAAAACTGATATTATAACAGTTTGTTAATAGGTAGTTTCACCTGTACATTCTGCCACAATGTAAATGATGGGGCCCACAATGAACCATGCTTCTTTTCAATTGGATCGAGTCACTTCAGTGTAAATTGAGTTCTCATCTGTTTCATGAAGGACTGAGAATAAAAACAAGCGACTTGTCACCTTGAGCTCCTGCAGCTGGTCGGGTTCGTAGAGCTGGCTGGAAACGGCCTGGGCCAAGAAGGCGTCGAGCTCGTGTCTCTGGAGGATCCGTCCACCGGGCCACTGCATCATATACCTGGGAAGAGAACCAACCAGAACCGGCTTCATGGAGCAGCAACAGAAAACCAACAGCTGCATCAAAACCACATGTAAGGAACAGGAAAATAAATATGATCTAGTTCAAGATAATACTTGAACTAGAGGCCTGAGGCCGTCATTACCGACATAATTTTCTCAAAATAGAATTATATTTAGTTATCCCTCATAAAAAAAAAAAAAACATACCCGGAGTGTTGCTTTTATTCTTTAATGCATGTTTGAGAAATCTTTAAATCTCCATGGCAACCATTCAGCTGTACAAAACACCTCAGTGGACCGAGCTCCGCCTTTGATGCACAGCTCCTCCCCCACACAGCTCCTCTCCTACACAGCTCCTCCCCCACACAGCTCCTCCCCCACACAGCTCCTCCCCCACACAGCTCCTCCCCCACACAGCTCCTCCCCCACACAGCTCCCCCACACAGCTCCTCCCCACACAGCTCCCCCACACAGCTCCTCCCCACAGCTCCTCCCCTACACAGCTCCTCCCCACACAGCTCCTCCCCCCACACAGCTCCTCCCCCACACAGCTCCTCTCCTACACACCTCCCCCACACAGCTCCTCCCCCACACAGCTCCTTCTGACTAGCCAGCAACAATTCGCAAACACTCGGTGGAACTTATAATGATAAATGGTTTCAGAAGGTTTCACAAATTCAAATTTAAGACTTTTTAATATCTTTTAAAACCATTATGAGTGGAATTTAAAATTTGTATCTCCACAGAAATGTGCAAACATCAAATTTGTTGTCAGCTAACTGACACCAAATTTGATTTACCTAATGTAAACACAAAAAAGATAGCTGGCTAGCATACAGCTACTTAGAGGTAGCCTCAACCATTTTGAGTTGCTGTACAAAATGAAGTTGTTTGCGTGTGACTTAAAGCTTTTGCTTAACAGAAAAGCCTAGCAAGAAAAAACCTACATAGAATATTTCAGATAAAGTAGTTCTGTCAGGAGAAAATTTAAGACACATTATTAATGTATTTAAGGCTAACTTATTTTTTTAAATGAATTTAAGACATTTTAAGTTCTAATTTTAGATACATTAATTTAAAACTTTTTGAGGATGTGTAGACACCCTGTAATAAATACAGACTTTAACTGAAAAGTCTATTTTTTTGCACCCAAAACAACTTTAATTTATTTTACATGGATATTTATATTTAAATATTTTCTTCTATAGCCAGAGTGTACGTGTATATATAAATATCTCTCTGGCTACTTGTTAATTTAGAGTCCACTTTAAGAAGTTGCTTTTGACTTGGAGCTTTAAATAGAGCGGCATCATCTTACATTAAAGGAGCATCCCTCCATCCTTTGCAGGGCACTGAGGTCCTGTCATCTGGACATGCTGAGCGTCATACCAGGCTGATGACTAAAACCTGAAATCTGTGGCTTCAAACCTGATTTTTTTATGCTTACATTTGCTTTTTTTTTATGCGTCTTGCTAGTTTTTTTTTTTTTTTTTTTTTTTTGTAAAGGACCAAAAATCCTTCCAGCTGCACATCATCCAAGACTAAAGGTAAAACTCCCAAAAAGCAAACCTCACCTTCCCTTCCACCCACTCATAAATAAAGGCCACTAAAAAAACTATAAATAAATAAATAAGCTTCCTTGCTAAAAATATGGACACGTGATGAAATCATGACAAAATTAACTGCAATAGAAAAACAAAGGCAAACGAAAATTGTTGCAGTGGAAGAAAAAAATGCCACAACTGGCGAAATAAAAATAAACTACAGAATGTTGGTCGGACATCACTGTTGATACCAGTGATGTCAAATTTATGACATTCTCTGTAATGTCTCAGCTTTAGCCTTAATTTTCCTACCTGAGCACGCAGCACATGAGCAACAGATGCTGAGGGACTTGTGCTGGGTTGAGAAGGGCTGGGCAGTCGGAGCGCAGGCACGCCAGGAAGGCTCTGGTTCTCCTGGAGCGGTCCTCGCTGGCCCGGCCCAGCCAGAGCCGCCGCAGGTTGGGGCAGGTCCACTCCCGGAAACACAGAGCCGGAACCAGCTCTGGGGTCAGAGCCGACTTGGCCTTGCCGCTGCTCCACTCTTTGACGATGACAGGAGGAACTGGAACGCAGGGAGGAGAAAGGAACATTTACAGTCATATTCAATAAATCTGTATTTTCAGACAAATCTGTATTTTTGCTTATTAAAAGCACAAAAACTGTTGATCTGCATAAAATTGTAATTCATGTTAAAATGTTCATTTAACAGATTCTTACTACTTAACCCAGTATTAATTTTGTTTCAGTTCAATACAACATGGTGCATATTTCATATTAGAGTTTATTTCTTAATTGAATGAGAATCGAACCAACAACTGAGATCAATAATGGAATTGGTATTTGGAGGTTTCTGTTTTGTATGATGAATGACAGACTTTATGATCAGTTACTCAGTACTTGAATAATGTTTATGCAAAACACTTTTATACTCTCAGTTGACCAATTTTTTGAAAAGCTTCTTTTTTTTCTTTTACTTGACTAAAAATACTAAAGTAGTAATACTCTGACTTTGGTTACTTCATCCACCTCCTGTTTAGACCCTGTAGAGATTATTCGTGCTGTACGTCAGGAAAACGTTGTTTTTTCACCTTCTAGCGGGGTCCTCTTGCGGAGGGCGAGCCTCTCCAGGCGGCGGTGCGTTTCAGCCAGACTGAAGAGGACGCCGTACGCGTACTGTCTGGCAGCTCGAAACAGCAGGGAGGCAGGAGGCAGCTCCGAGTTACACTCGTCCTCTATACACACTGGCATCTTCATCTCTCCCTGTGGGACGTCCACACAGCGTGAGCCCAACATCTCCATAGCAATCGTTACTGTTATAATAACCCGACCAAACGAATGCACCAGCAGAAAGCTTTACAGCTGAACTTTCACAGCTCTGAAGGGTTTTTGTTGCATCTGCCTCAAAACAGACAAAACTGGGAAACAAGTGAAAGCATCTGGAATTGTCCTAGAACTGTTCAGTGCTGGAAAACTGTGCACAAAACTATAAAGAAGATTCTGGGATACGATGTTATTATGAGAAGGATGGTATTATAGCTTTGTAATTTTAACAATATCAAAAAAGTAAGAGTAAAGGATAAATATCTGATTTAGGTGATAAAATGGGGAAAGATGGATGCCCATTTGTCATGAATAATAAAAGAAAACTACATCATAATTTTTTTTACTGTATTTCCTGAGATACACCATATAAATAGAAGGAAACAGGGAGAAATGAGCATTGTTCAAAACAAAAGACAAAAAATAAAGAACCCGACAAACTGGATGGGACAAAAGAAATATTAGAAGAATAGCTTCCCAGCAAAGTTTTCTCATTTTATATAATGTTGAATGTGAATTGTTCATCTACACTTTACATGTAAACAAACACAGAAAAAGTTAACAGGAAGTTAGATGATGAAAACAAGCATAGGCTTCACTGGATGCTTCTGTTTGAACAGTTTCTGCTCATTAAAACAAATCAGCCGATGTTTTTTAGACAATGCGGTTCACCTTGGTCAAGATGTGGTAAATCTGGGGGTACATCAGCCCTCTTCGGTGTCTGTGTTCGGCTACACGAAGAACCTCAGCACTGACCTGGGAAAAGAAGCAACAGGTGTGGAAAAAAAAAAACAGTTTATTGTTCCAACGCTTTTTCGTCAGTGAAATTCAAGCATTTTCAAGGATTTCATTCTCTCATCAGAACCCTGTCGAGATTTAAAATGAATAAATCAATCTAAGTGTTTCCCACCCAGTGAAATCAGCCGGTTTTTGAGCGTCTCACCTGAGGCAGCGGGGGTGTGGTTATGTCCATGTGACTCCGCGTCGCCATCGACAGCAGTGACGGAATGTTCGACCCGCTCCCGTTGCCTTGGGACCCGTCACCGGAGGCCAGCCCGCCTCTTCCAGCCGGATCCTCCCACCGAGAGGATTTGTCTGTCAGATGACTGCGGAGACCAGAGTTTCAGAAATATTCACACCGTTTCCACTTTCCCAGATCTTAAATCATTTTACTGGCGATCAACAACGAGCTGCATAAGGCTTTTTTTTGAGACGGCAACAAAGTTGTGAATAATTTTGAAGTGGAAGGAAAATTAGCGTGAAGAAGTGTATTTACTTAGCGTTGCTGTCGTTGGGTTCGTCTCCGTCTGATGACGAGGAAGGAGACGGGGAGGGGCCAGACTGGGTGCCGGTGTGATGGTTGGGCAAGCGGTTGCCGCCCTGCGTGGAATCGTACGGCGCCGACCAATCGGAGAAGCCCATCTTGCTGGTTATCGAGTCGTTGCAGTCCTGGGGCGGCTGCTGAGGCGGGTGGAAGAGAGGGGCGGAGCCTGGTCCGTACGGAGCGTTCTGATATGGCGGCTTAAACCCTGGACCCTGCGGTGGCGGAAACTGGGATTGGGAAGAAATCATAATTTGCAGGAGCCCGTGGGAATTAAAGACGTAGCAAAAGCAAAAAACGACAGAAATTTACCTGATTTTTTCCAAGCGGGATGGGTCCCATGTGGCCAGGTGGTCCCCCAAATGGAACGGGTCCAAACCCAGGTACTGAGCACAGAAAGGGAATAAAACTAAATTTCAATCCAGCTGCTTTCCCATAAAAAACATCTTCAGTCAGATTAAGCTGATTGTATAACATCTGTCCTGCTGTAAACTGGTTTCCACTCACAGATGAAAGGCGAGGGCCCCATGTTGGGCGAGCGTGGTTTGGAGGCAGCTGAGAAATACTCCACAGCTTTCTTAAATCGCTCCACCTTGTCCTCCATTCGTGACTGAAAATAGAGCAGAAAATATGACAGAAAATCTCACCGTCATTATTTTTCTTATAAATATTCTCCAAATTGTTTTTAAATGCACATCTGTTATATTGTTGTCTTAATGTATCACAAACAAGTTCCCACTGCATAACTATGAGAATAAGTCATAATTTTATACTTCTAGTTATGACTGTGAAGGTTGAAATTATGACTTTAGTGCCAGAAAAACTGCTCATTGTACACATTCAACACACCAAGATGCAGCTGGTTTTAAAGCTGCAATGTGTAACTTTTATAAAAAATATATATATTTTTGATGTATTTGTTGAAACTGTCACCATGTTGTGACAGCATGTTAAGAGACAGATGAAAAAGAAAAAAATAACCATCAAGCTTCTCTGCCTTCTTCCAGTGCTCCCAGTGCTAACTATAATCAGAGCCAGGAGGCGGGTCTCAGCGCTGTCAATCACCCTCTGTGTGGCATTGCTCATCTTCTCTACCATTTTCATTGTTGCGCTATGCTACGCTGCAGCTAGCACATGCTGTTGTGTATAAAAGGTATTTCTGTTGTAAATTCTTTCTACAACATTAGCACATTTAGCAGCGAGTACATGAGTTGATTTGCAGCGCCAAGACCTCCTGGCTCTGATTGGTGGTTTATGGCCTGGAGCGGTACATTTCTTCTGATGGCGATAGTAGCTCAGGGAAAAGGTAGAGCAGATAAAACTTTTCACAGATTATCTGTCAAATAAAATGGTGACACTGAACAAATATGTAAAAAAAAACATTTTTATAAAAGTTACATACTGCAGCTTTAAACAAATATCTAGCAACATTTACTTGAAGGATTGCTGGCACAATTTTAGAGAATAAGAAATATTTTGTTGGGAAAAAAGAAAATAGAAAAATATTTAGGGCTTTTTTTGTTACCCTCTGTGGTGTGGGTTTACTGCTGCAGAATCAAACCATAAAACATAAAACCATAAAGCACACCTGGAGCTGCCGGTGTTGGTTTTGTGGTTTCCTTAACGTTTTTCAGCCTAAAACTGGTTCCTGCTGAAATCTTTCCACTGAACAGTGCAGCAAACATTCCCCATTGAATTAGCAGATCATCACTGATGGAAATCCCCATAAGTCAGAGTAATGTTATAAAGCATTTGGATCATTTCTGTACTGATGTTTGATCATGTCCACAGTAATTATCTCTTACTGATCAAACATTAATTAATATTATTCTGCTAAGCTATTTTTTATGCAAAGACCTGTAAAGCGACTGTGGTAGGGTTCCATCCAGTCTTACGGAAGCCGAGACATTAATCCTTCAACGTTTGCGACCCACCTGTGACTGTTTGAAGACATCTCTGGCGATGATGTCGAGGTTTCCCAGGTCTTTGATGGAGGAGACATACTCAGAAACAGCTTTGATCACCACTTCACAGGGCGGCAGCACCAGCTGATGGGCTCGCACCTGAAACCGCAGCAAAACGTTCAAACTGAGAACAAAACACTCAAATACTTCCTTTACATATTTATGACGATGAAAAGAAGATTTTACATCAAAATTATAGTTATTTTTTAAACAAACTAAATAAAGATCTGAGGCTTGATTTTCACATGGGCTGATTCTTAACCATGCTTTGGCTCATGCTTCACTCACATTCTCATTCATTAAATCTGCATAAAGTCAGGCTCTGTAACAGTCCCATTCATTAAACATGAAGAGTAAAACAAAAGATTAACTAACCAGGTCAGATACAAGTAGAAATGCATAAATTTAACTCTGCAAAAACATTTCCAATCTGACTAATTCTTTCTCAGGGTCAACAATGAGCATCAATGTCAGCTGAAGTGAGAAGAAACAAACGTTTTAAAGCGATGGTGAGCACTTTACTAATCTAGCATTAGCTTAGCTAAAATTTAGCTAATTTTGAAAGCTTTTAGGGCACTTAGTTAAAGCTTCTCCGATCAGGGTTTTTGCAAGTTTCACAAACTTAAATTTTAAGACCTGTATCTCCACAGAAATGTACAAACGTCCACACAACTGGCAATAAATCTGAACTTCACCCATTACAAACTGTAGTCTCAACCATTTCAAGTCGTAAAATGCAATAAAGATTTTTAAGTACAAGTCAAACTTTTGCCGCACAAAAACACAACTGAGATTAAACATTCCTGTCTAGATTAAACTTACAACCTTTGACCCTAAAGTTTGTTCTGTTCCAAATAATCACATCACTGCAACCGTACAGGTAGGGACTCAATAACATGTTAAATCCTGTAGAGGTTGATTTAACACATTCTGTGTCACCGATACATGGTGGGCATCAACATGCTTCAAGTTAGCGCTTTAGCATTAGCTTTTTTTTCTTGTCTAAATTTAACAAATGCTTAAATTTTTTTTGCAAATCTCAAAATAAAGAAAGGATCTGTATTTTACTCCATTCAGCAATGTGTTCCACAATACTGACTGATGTAAGACACCATAATAATTTTGTCTTTAAATAATAAAATCCTGCTACAGGACCACCGCTGTGTCGCAGAGCAGCTTCTCTGCTCCTGATGTAGACAATTAATGGCTGCTCACAGCAGTTATGAACATAAGACTTATAATGCACACAGCGCATTACAATTCTGTTATGGAGGAAATTTAATAATTAAAGCAGGTTAAAACTGATTAGTCATCAACAATTAAAAAATAAAATAGAATCAAAGCACAACTACATTTGGAGACACTTTACTCTGAACCAGACACATTTAATAATGGAACTGCACGGCATTTTAAATATCCAAAATAAATAAACAAAACAACAGATAAAATTAATTATTTCAAAACAGTTCTCTGAAATAATGGGCAAGTTGAGACTGAAGACTTTAGTCAACCAGTTTTAGGTAGAAGAAAAGAGCAAAATAATAAATCATACAAATGTAAATTGAGTTTATTTTAATTTAGTATGTGATTAATTGATTTACTAATTTATTGTGATAGGCCTTGATATAAATTACTGTTTCTCAAGAAAGTATCCTGAGGAGGCCTGTTTCAAATGGGAATGTTTTTCAAGAGCAATATTTCTGTTTGTGACACGAGGCAGTTAGATAAAAAAAAAATTACAATTTTATTATAATTTTTGATCATTATCGCAATGAATTTCTAAGTCCAAGTACCTTGAGGGAAGCTAGTGGGTGTTCTGGTCCCAGCAGACTCCAGTGGAAGGCAGCCAGGTCTTCATCAGGCAGAATATGATTTCCTACAAGAGACAGCCGGGTCAGTTAGCAGCGGATAAAATGTCCTGGGCTGCGGCAGCGGCGGCTGCCTGGCGTCTCCTCACCCAGCAGAGCAGCGAACAGTGGCAGGTGTTGTGTCTTCAGGCCCAGCTGCCTGGCCGCTTCAGACAGCAGGTACTGGTGTGTGGTCAGGTTCTTTCCATTCCAGCTCAGTTTAAGCGCGTGTGAGGAAAAGTAGGCGGGTACGTTGCAGAGGGCAAACTCTGAGTCCTGAGCGATCAGGCCAGAAAATCCATAGTCCCTGTAGAGAGACAGCACCTCCTGGTGGTGGTCCTCCAAAGTCTGTACAACCTGGGGGTGAAGATTAAAGAGTTAATGGCAAAAAATGACTAAAGTTGCAGCATGTGTTACATTTTCACCTGGTGTGTTTTGCTTTCACACTGCACTGTATCAAACAAACTAAACCAGGGGTGTACAAACTTTTTGCAACAGAGGTCAGAATCCCAAAGTTTAAAGTGTTCAGGGAGCCAAATTGTTAAAACATTTAATTTTATCTGCTCAGCAATAAATTAAAAACAATATTCTAACAAGGTCTAACTTTTTATTACTTAACAAAAGACAGAAATGTTTCTAACTTTTTGGGTGAGTTTTTTTTTCCAGTTGAATTGGTCTGACAACCTTTGGGTCAATTCACAGCAACAAAAATTAGAACTTTCTTCAAAAAAGAAAAAAAAAAAGTTCAATCTTCAACTAAGAAAACACATTAATAGGAGAATTAACATACTCTGGTGTTTATTTTATAAAAGCCAAGAGTTATTTTGTTTTAAAATTTTTAAAAAAATTAAGCTTTCAAATTAATTTAGTACATGTTTATAAATTATTTTCTGTATTTGTCCCTGGCAAATAAATTACATATACAGCTTTCAAATATATGTCTTATGTAGCCTAACAGTTTTAATCCTCTATTAGTAAATTGTTAGGGATTGAAATCAAAAATGCATAAAAAGTAAAACGTCCATCATTTTTGTCTATGAACACATCAACTAAATCTGATGGATGAATCTGATAAAACATTACCTGTAAATGTCTCTCTTTTTATATTGCAATTAAAACTACTGTCAAGATACTGAAAAACCTTTTTTTCTTTTATGTGTTTTACTCCTTAGGTAAACAAAAAAAAAACAGAAATCAGGCCTCAAAGAAAACCAGAAATTGTACAGGAAAAAGTTTTATCAGCAAAAAATTGTTCAGTACAACCCAGCTTTAACCAGCTGCTGTTTCAAAATGCATCTAAAGGTTAAATTAGTTTGTTTGGTAATGGTAGGCTGGCTTAGTTGTATTCACACCTTATGCCGAAGCCAAAAAGCTAAAAGCACTCATGGATCGCAAAATATAAAAACAAAACAAGAGGACAATAATTAAGATACATTTTTAGCTGTTCAATAATACACTAAGGTTGCGAGCTTCAAAAAAAAAAAAAGTGTCTAATTTCTGCAGTAAATTCTCATAATTGCTGATCTCAGACACAAAAAGGGCAGCAGGTCTCTGCTTTTCTCACATTTTTGAAAAAGGAAAGGTTTTTTCTTCTTGGCAAAATGAAAATGTAGCAACCAGAACAGAACATAGATCAGTGCTGGCTGTATGCAGTCAAGTTTAATAATCAGAGTTAAACGGGATTGTACTGTGAGGAAAATAAGTATCTTAACACCCTGCCTGCAACTTTGCAAGTTCTCCCACTTAGAAATGATGGAGGTGTCTGACATTTCATCTGAGGTGCATAGCCACTGTGAGAGAAATAATCTAAAAAAAATAAATCAGAAAATCGCAATGTATCAGTCTTTAATAATTTATTAGTGTGTTACAAAGATGTATTTGAACATCTACCAATCAGCAACAATTCTGGCCCTCAAAGACCTGTTAGTTTGCCTCTAAAGAGTCCACCTCCACTCCACATATAATTCTGAATTAGAAGCACCTGTTGGAGGTTGTTAGCCACATGAAGACACAATCAGCAAGACATCAACTACTAACACAGCTAGGATCACAGAGTTGTCCAAAGACACCAGAGACAAAATTGTAGACCTCCATAAGACTGGACAGGGCTAAGGGGCAAAAGCCAAACAGCTTGGTGAAAAAAGTTCAAGTGCTGGAGCAATTATCATAAAATGGAAAAAGCTCAACATGAATGTCAATCTCCCTCAGACTTGGGCTCTATGCAATAGCTCACCTGGTGGCGTATCAATGCCAAGTTAAAGCAGAAGAGGACAGTGGATCTTTTGTCAACCTTTGCTGATGAGGTAGATGCGCTTGGCTTCACAGACAAGAATTGGCCCATCACTGATCTCCCAAAATTAAGGATATTGCTTAATTCTCAAAAATCAAACTTTAAATTATAATAAATATTTAACACTGGAAGACATTTTAAATATCCAGATTAAATAAAACCAACAAATAAAAAGAATTATGAAGTATCTGAAAACAAAACTGTCTTTCAAAAAAATGGGGCGAGTTGAGACCAAAACACCAGACAGGAGACTTTTATCATCCAGAAAGAGCAGAAAGAGAAAAACAATAAATCATCCAAATGAAATTGAGCTGTTTTAATGGACTTATTCCTAATTGTGCCAGGCTTACCAAGTTACCACCCAACTCTGCTTAGAATGAACTTCTAGATGAGCACAAAGGAACCACAAAAAGACACCAGTAAAGCCACAAAAACCAGTTCAAACAACAACCATCACTCCTCTTTTCTTACCCGCACTCGGAAGCGGAACATGGCGAGGCGGACGCAGTGGCTGAGGCAAGCCGGGGGCAGGAACCATGCCCGGGGAGGCGGGGTGGCCTTGCTGCCGACGTGGTTGACTATCAGCTGCGCCGTCTGCCGCTGGCCCTGAGCTCGCCGCGCCCACTCGGGCCAGCGCTCCTTCCCCAGAGTGCCGTTGAAAACCACGACGAGCTCCAGGCCGCCCTGGTACAGACAGGCCTGTGACAGGGCGGCCAGGTAGCCCAGCATGGCGTTCCACTCGCCTCCGCAAACCCAGTCCGTCTGGTAGCCTCCGTACAGGCGCTGCAGGCTGGAGTCAGCGTCGATCAGGATCCTGGCAGGCGGGGGCGGGGGAGGCATGGGCCCGGGGTGATGTGGGTGGTGGTGTGGGTGATGATGGTGAGGGGGCTGGCGGGCCGCGGTGCGGGCGAGCTTGAGGAGGTCCACAGGGACCGCCGCCCCAGGGCACCGCTTCTCTAAATACTCCTGGAAACCCTGCACACCCATGACGGTGTTGTTGAGCCGGTGTGTGTGGCCGGGAGCGGCTTCTGAGTACGTTCTGTACGCCGTGTTTGTAACGTGTTGAGGGTTGAGACGGCAGCTAGCAATGCTAACTGGTCTCCGCTGTAGTGACAAACTGTACTTTGAGTTCACTGGAAAACAAGCGGCTGGTGAGGTTGGGTGTAGGGGGATCACCGCGCACTATTTTAAATTAACAACCCCTGCGTTTTTTTTGTTAAATATTTTTTCCAAATGCTAACCTCTCACTTTTGGTCGTGGCTGCTCAGATTAGTGTCCATCCCTGTGGATTTTTTGGTGTGATGCCAGCCAAGGCCAGTGTTGCTACCGACAACTACAAAAAGTTCAACAGATTACCCGCTCCCATAATTTGGCTTCTTTTCAACCGCCTTCCAGAATCAAACTGACAGCGAGTAACGTACATGCAGCGAGGTGGTGGATGTTGCAGTGAAATGTTGATTAAATGATAATACCTCTGATTAGTCCACATGAACGGATGCAGAGCTGCGCATTAGTTAGCAACCCACAGACTGGATGGCCAGTTCGCGGACATAGTGTTCAGATTTTAAAACTCGTCCTTTTTTAATGACAGCTGATTTTTTTTGTGCCACATTTATGCTCCTGGGAAACGTCAGCACACGTGGAGCCGCAGCTTAATGCCCCGCCGGCGGTTAAAGTATCAGTTAAAAGCAAAGTACTAAGCAGTGTGGCTAGCTGTGCTTCTATTTGCTAACGGTGGCTAGCCGCTATCTACTGGCTGGGTCCCCGGCGTGATTTTGACGCGTCAACTCCCGAAGACGAGTCCGGGGCGGACACGACGCGGAATGAAATGGATGTTTGACGAACTAAAAGAAAAGTAACTAAAAGAAAATAAAAATAAAAGCCCGATGGTGCCTCCCTCGCGTTCTTCCACGCTCACGGCTTCATGTTGCGGAGGGTAACGTTACTTCCAAGCGACATCAGCCATCTTGCGACTTCCTCGCGGCCCAGTGGAGTGGGAGGGGGATGAATGAGGAGCGGGGAGGCGTCACTGCCGCGAAGAACTCTGGGAGATGAAGTGTACAAGTGCAATCCATGAAGCTCAGCAATTTAATCCTGTACGCGAATAAACTACAACTACCAGCATGCGAGCGAATTCAATTTTGACTGAGATATATATCAGAAGAGTAACTTTTCTCGAGGCGGTCCACATGTGAACTGACTTTCTGCTCTGTTTTAAAAGATATAATTAAATATTTTTCAATACATCTCAGGCCAAACAAGTATCAAAAAGTTAACACCGCAGATTTATGCAGAATATACAGATAGTGAAAAGACAGAATTCACTTAAAAATGCCGATAATATATTGATAGTTTAATAACAGAAGTAACTGAATGGTGTAACAGGTAGAATGGTTATTCATCCCTTTGTGATAAAATTGCGTGTATTTGGCGACCCCTCGTGGCTGTACTTAGTTTTGCCTCTTAAAGGAACATAAGCACTGCAAACTTGGCCACTGAGCCATTTTCCACTGTAACTGCACAAGAGAGCTTCTCAAACGTGGATATTTCCTCCCAGCTGCTCTTACACTATATAATTAGCACTATTTCTTACTGCCCACGTAGCAAAAACAAGTGAGCTTATTTTCTTTTCAGTTTAAACCCTATAAGCTCACCAAGTCTTTCTATGTGTATTTTATTTTCCCATTAACATTTTCTGTTTAGATTGTAAACTATTTAAATGTATCTCATTTTTTGTTTAGTTTTTTAAATTTTTGTAATCTTACATCTTTATGGATCTGCAGGAATGTAAATTACTCCACTTGGAAACAAACAAATGTTTTTTTATTCTATTATTTAACCACAAACTAGCAGGTATGTTCCAAAAATAACTGTTAAATGTCATGCATATGACCACAAATGACTGAGTTATACAAAAATGAGCCAAAATTCTTGTGAAAGCAAACATGCTTCCTAAGACTTGCAGCTGCAACTTTAAGTTAAAGTCCACCTCTGAGTAACCTAGTTAAAAAAAATTTGGAGTGGTCTAGTAAAAGACCAAACTTAGATAAGATTGAGTGCCTGTGGCATGACTCCAAACATGCCATTTATTCTTTGAAAATCTACAAATTTGGCTGATTTAGACTAATTCTGCAAGGAGAATTTCCTTCACAGTAAAATACAAAATATTATCATTAATTATCTCAAACACTTGATATCAACTTTTGCTGTCAAAAACCACAATCAGACACAGTTACTTTTTCACATAAGTACAGGTTGGTGTGTAAGAATGAATTAGAATAAATTATTAGATAAAAGCTACTTTTTTATTAGAACTGATAAAGCATCTGGTGTTGATAGGTAGGTATATGGGGCCCAATTTAAAATCTGCTCAGGGCCCCAGAAAGGCTTGGGCATGCTCTGCATTACCTTTGATCAAAGTCCACTAGTCCCAGTCACCTCTTAGACCTGACAGCCGTTTATTTCTGGTGGTTCATCATAGAAACACAAAAGCAGTAACAACAGGGCCACATGCATCACTGCTTCTGTTTGAGACCTCGATAATTATAATCTTCTCCAAATGAGGAAGCGATTGAGTGGAAGAAAACAGATTAGCGCCCAGTTGGAGAGACGAGAAAAGAGGGGAGAGGTGGAATGCAAAGGGGAGAAAGGAAAAACAGTTTCTTCCTCCTTCATAGAAACGCTATTACTTGTGTGTCTTGAATAATAAAAAGGTTTCAACCAAATCTTACTAGTGTTGATCCTAGGAGCAGCCATTTTGAAGCATTAAGTCAGTCTTATACTGCCTTTCAGTCACAGTCGGAACTGGGAAATTCTGACTACCCAGTCAGAAAATTCAACTTGAACGCCCTCCGAAGTCAAATTTCCTACTGGGAACAACTTCCACTATCCCCAGCTACAACCTGTATGGCGGATTTCACTTTTCAAAATGGCTGCTCTTAGCGTAAACAGTAGGAAGAAAATCCAACTTTTTATCAATAGTTAAGACAGTATCTTATTGCCTTTGCAAATAGAAAAAAGAGTAAATTTCCACCAATAAACTAAATTTTTTTTAGATTAATCTCAAAATAATTTCTAGAAAACAAACATTTTCAAATTTATCTCAGAAATTTTCTTGGAAAACATTAACATTTTATGAATTTGAAAAGTTGAAAATTTGATAGAAAAAAACTGAAATTTCCAACAAAAAAAAAACTTGGCTTTTATACATTTTTTTAATATTTTCTTGCAAATGTTCAACTTTTTTGAAAAAAAAATTCCAGAAAATTTCTGAGATGATTCTAACACATTCTGAGTTTTTTCAGCTTTTGAAGCTCAAACATTTTTATGTTTTTGTCTCCAAACTTTCTAAGGTTTTTGGCAAAACAATTACTATTACTTTTTATTTTGTTTACAGTGCGCCCAATACGACATCATGCTGTTAAATCAGGCTTACTTTAGCATTTGATAGGCTCAATTGGAACGTACATATGATTGAATTAAAATTTTCTATTTTTTATTTTTGTGGTAACATTTGCCCTGAATTAGTGCTACTGGAGCGCAGAATTACAAGTCGTAACTGCAGTTACAGTTGACTGACTTTGCAGAACGATCCAGTTGATTTTTTTCCAACTGGAAAGTAAAAATTTCCCAGGTCAGATCACAACTGGAAGGTGATGCAAGTGGACACGTACTCATGTCGGTTCATTGTGCATGTATGAAAGCTCTTTGATCTGCTGCTGCTCTGCATTGATGGGGGATCAAAGTGGCACCAACAGCAGCGCACTCTTAATCTAAACAATCAACTGGAAATTATATCAGTTGTCCTTTTATCGACGCTCTTCCCACTCCCACAGCCCCCCTTTTCTCCTCCTGGTGAAAGCAGAAGGGGGCAGAGCAGAGGAAAGAGATGCTGGAGAGGGAGGGGATGAAAACAGGAGCCAGGGCTAGCAAAAGCAGCAGAGGTCACCGGGGATGGAAAGCACGCACACATGCAGCAGGCGCAGCATGGATGCAGCGTTTCTGTGCAGCAGCAGCAGATCAGGTTGTCCTGGCTCCTGTAGACGCTTCACGGGACGCTGAGGACGAGCTCAGTAAGTCTGAACCTTCTCAACTAAATCTGGAACTCTGTTAAACTTCACTGCAGAAACACAATTTTAACAAGTATTTTTGGTCTGGTTTCTTGTGTAAATATCTTGCTGCACTTGAAATAAGACAAAACTAACTTACAAGAAACTTTCAGCAAGATTTGAGAGTTGGCTTGAGTTTGACTTAATTGATCAAAAAAATACAGAAAGTTCCACTGGCAGATTTTTTCACTAAAATAATTCTCCTATATTATCCCAAATCATTTGCCAGTAGAACTAGAACTTTTTCACTAATTCTAATAAATTATTAACTCAAAACAAGCCTCTATATTTTGCTGAAAATTACTTTCTAGTTAGTTTTGTCTTCTTTCAAGTGAACTGAGATATTTGCATTACAGACTACTAAAAATACTTGCATTTTTGCAGCAAAAATATATGTTTTTACAAAGTATTTTTAATATTTTCTGGTGCAAATGTCTTAGTACATTTGAAAGAAGAGACAACTGACATACAAGTAACATTTCTGCAAGATATAGCATCTTGTTTTGAGTCAATAGTTTCTTAATTATTGATAAACAGTTTTAAATACACTGGCAGATTATTTTACTTAAAAATCTTGAAAAATGTCTTGTCATAATTGAAATGATCTGCCAGTAGAACTAGTATTTTTTCATCAATGTTGAAAAATTATAAAACAAACTCCATCTTGCTGAAAAGTTACTTTTAAGTTAGTTTTGTCTTATTTCAAGTGCTCTAAGATATTTACAGCATAAACTAGACCAAAAATACTTGGTAAGATTGTGTTAGACAGTGTAAGGAGGTGATTCATTAAAGCTTCTCATTTTAATTAAAGTAAAACTAAAGAAGATCAACTTTTTCTTTTCCTCTCGGCTTTTAAACAGAAAAATTGCAGAACAGCAGGTGTCCATACTTCTGACTGATATCAACAAATCACTTTAATGCCTCACATCCATTCTGTTCAGCTGCAGAGGGAAGAATATGTCCTAAATTATCTGTGTCCAAAGCAAAGACAGGTTCAGTTGCATAGTTTGATTTGGGAATGCATAAATGGTGCTTCACAGCAGCAGCTTTTCTGTCACACTATATTCGGCTCAGCAGGGAAACCAAAACACGCTCGATGACTCGAGTTTCTCTGCAAGCCAGGAATGAAAAACCTCCACAGATCCTCATCAGGATTCCTGCAGACCTTTTTCTGACATAAATCTGTTCAAGTTTTACCTTTTAAGTGTTGCAGCTGTTGGAAGTTGAGTTTACTTTGCCAGAGCCGGTTGATTTTTTGTTTGTTTTTTGAGTTCATATGTAGGTCTGTATAAAAACGTCTTCTATTTAGATTGTCTGATTATTATGTTTTTAAAAGAAAAAAGAAAAACGATCATTGAAAGAGATCTGATTTCTCTTTCGATGGGGCTCTAAAGGAAAATCTCATTAATGGCTCATTAAGGGTGTTTCCATCTGTTTTTATTCTTAAATAAAAAATACATTAGCAAACTCAAACTAGTTAGTCCTAATACGCATGAAATGTATTAGTATTATGACCATGTTTTCACATTAAAATTGTTGTGAAGAGGCCTCACTGAAGATGTTTGATTTGTTTCATCTTCTATTATCTGAACTTGCAAAGAGACAGAAACTCTGATTAAGAAAAAAACACACACATTAAAAAGTACCTGATAACCAAGAATAATCAAAATGCAGATTAGCTAGCAGCAAAAAATAAATAAATAAAAATGGCATTTTTTATATTGTTTTCTTTTTCTTTTGCAGATAAATACGGAGAGCAAAAAGTGCCAAATTGCAATAAATAAATTACTTATTAAATAATTATTTAAATGTGTCACTACACAGAAAGAATTGATCAACTACATAATTAATCATATGTGCCTGATTTTATTTTAAAAGCTAGATATAATTATTTCATGATTTAATTAATCATTTAATGTTTCTGTTCATCATGAATTAATTTAAACTGACAACTTCCCACATTAAACTCTGTTAAGTCAAGATTTTAAATGAAATGTTGAGCTTTTTAAATTTCTAAAATGAGATGTTAGGGTTGAACACCTATAAAACACATATTAACAAAGACAGGAAAGACAAAAGAGTTAGATTCTTTCTTACTCGCGAGGAGAACAGACAGAGATGTGCTTTCAGTTACAATCTCCTACCGCTCTGAAGCACATTTGTCTGCTCCTCTCTTTTATTGTTTTCAGGATCCCTAATCACAAGGATGCTGTAAAGGGAAGGGAAAACAATTCATCACATAGCTACAGCGCCAGTTGTCATTTACTAACTAATACACAAATTAACTTGCACTAGATAATCTCGTTCCAGACATAAAGTCTAGCAGAATATGTTGTGAATCTTCAGAGTGACAGTTTCATGGCAATCCAGCAACTCAACGAAGCAGAGCTCTTCACCAAGAGATAACACTGCAGGAAAACACTCTCTGCTTTCCATCAGTGAGGCCCTCTGGGAAAGGAATCAGAGCAAATCAACAATATAGAAACATTCTTAATCCTATAATGAGATTAAACAATAAGAGCACAAAAGAAGATAATACTATAAGTTTATATGAGAATAACAAATATTTGATTAATAATATCACAAATTCTCCAACAGAGATTATTCAGTTTCAAAAACAAAAAAAGAAACTATAAATATATTAGAAAGAATTTAAAATGGCACAGGCACAAATAGTTAAGAATAAAGTCACACTGGGTTAAATGACACAGAGAAAAAGGCCAAATTTATACAAAACTAGAAAATATTTACAAGAAATGATTTCAAAGCTTCATTAAGATTAAGCTTTAACCTGAAAATAGATTTCTTTTCACTATGGCTGCATTATTGAGTGTTAATTATCCCAGTCTGTGGCTCCCATTTGGCATCTGGCATCAGTCGTTCATGCCAGAGAAATAACAAGGCCTATTGTGACTGGATGTGACCTTTGACCTGCTGTGGTTATTAAACAAGCTGCAGAACAGTTGGTGGTCAGTCACCATGCACCGGTCAATTGCAGATCAGATGTTTTTGTGTTTGTCCAGAGCGAGTTCTTGTTGGATGTAAACTTGGCACCTCGTTTGCTTCGCGGCTCTAAATATCTGAGAAACAAAAACACAGAAAGACGGTTAGGCTGCTGTGAGATGCAACAAAGAGACAGGAAGTCAACATGGGCAAAGAAGAGTCACTATCTGGTTGACAGTTCTGAAGTATTAGAGCCACACTAATAAATAATAAAATAAAATTACAAGAATAAAGTCGGACAAGAATAAACACAAAATAATAAACGAATAAAATACAGTTTATTAATATAGTTTTAATATTATACCTTTATTCTGGTACAAGTTTACACATTTTATTCCCATAATTTTATTACTATATTCTTTTTTTGGGGGGGGGAAGGGAGTTTGTATGGAGGTGATGGAGGTGATGGAGTTTGTACTCCATCACCTTTGAAAATTAATAAAATTCATGTGTGTTTCAGCTGAATCCACATTTTTTATTTACTTCTTTGCCCCAGCCATTATGCAGGTCTCCATGGCAACTGAGTCCCACCGGTGGTCGGACTGGTCTGCGGTTTCCGAGGCCCCGCCGGCCGCCAACCTCACGGAGCTGGAGCGGGACCCCCTGCTGGCCGCGGCGGAGGTGGTGGTTCTGGCCGTCATCCTGCTGCTGGCGCTGGTCGGGAACGGGCTGGTTCTGGTGGTTCTGCTGCGGCAGAGGCAGAACCACAGCCCGCTGCACCAGTTCATGCTGAACCTGTGCGTGGCTGACCTGGTGGTGGCGCTGTTCCAGGTGAAAGCGTGCTGACTTTTAATGGGTGCCGAACATTTCCGAGAGCAGAAATGACGTAATTAAGCACTATATATAAAAATACAAAACAATATATTTGGGGTTTATTATGGATGAACATCTTTAGTAATTTAAAAAAAAAGTTAGAGTATGTGTACCTCAAAACCTGCTTATATCCACATCAATGTGCAGAAATCACAGTGAATAGAACATTTTTAAGAATTGAAGCAACAAATTCTGGTTTTATTATACTATTATTTAAAATATATCAATAGACGAAATCACAAAAAATATTTTTTCTCTCAACATATTTGGGTTTGGGCAAGCTAATATTTCCCCAGTGATCCTTTTCCCTCCGGTTTTCCTCCATCAGGTGCTGCCTCAGCTGGTGTGGGACGCCAGGGGGCGCTTTCCAGGCCCAGACTTCCTGTGCCGCCTGGTGAAATACCTCCAGGTTCTGGGGATGTTCGCCTCTTCCTACATGATTGTGGCCATGACCGTAGACCGCCACTATGCGATCTGCTGCCCCCTGCAGGCGCACCGCAGCGGTGCAACAAAACGCTGGAACACGCTCATATTGCTGGCATGGGGTCTCTCCCTGCTGCTCAGCTTTCCACAGGTAGCAAGCATGACGAGACACAAGGCTGTTAAAAAATTATTACTGATTAAAAATGATCTTTTATGTTTCGTATCTCTTTGATGTCATTAAAGTATTTGAAATTGAACTGACCTAATTATCATCTGCACTTTACCATAATTGGACCTGCTGCTTCTTCTTTGGTGTGGTTGAGTGCCTTTAGTTAATTTTAGTTGTATATATTATTATATTATTATTATTATTGTGTGTTTGTTTATTTAATATTGTATATATTTGACTTTTTGCACGGGAGTTGCAATAGAAATTTTGTTGAATCCTGTTCAATGACAATAAATGCTATTCTATTAATTACAATTTTTGTGCAAAATCTTTCTGATAAAGACATTCTAGTCCTGCTATAAAGGGCTCCTTTCAGAATGAGCTCTTTTGTACGACGGTGGATTAGGGCCATTGTAGTCTTAAAAAAAGAAAGGAAAAAAATATATTAACTTTCTGCCAAAAAACTTTTTAAAAAATGTTTAGAATAATCTATCCAAATTTGGAAAACAGGAAAATATCTGAGTTTGAAAAGTCACAAAATTTGCTACAAATAGCTCCAAAATTTTTAGATTTATATCAGAAATTTTCTAGAAAAACTTGGAAGTTTGTAAGTCAGAAAAATCAAAAATTTGCAAGAGAAAACTCAATATTTTTTTATGATTTATTTATTTTTTTTCATTTTGAAACAAGATCCCAAAAAACCTTAACTTCTTGCCCAAAAATGTCAGTGTTTTTCTAAATGTTCAAAATGTGAATTTTGCGTAATCAATCCCTTTAAACATCCACTCACCTGGTCGCCCTGCAGGTTTTCATCTTCTCCCGTTCTGAAGTGGCGCCAGGTGTCTTTGAATGTTGGGGACACTTTGCCCAGTCCTGGGGCCTCAAGGTCTACGTGACATGGATGACCCTGGCCATCTTCATCATCCCCGTCCTCGTCATCACTTTTTGTCAGGTACAGAAGAGATGAGAAGTTTAAAAATGATCGCTGCTGGACTTTTCTTCTGTCGCCTCCATCAGGTGCGCATCTTCAAGGAGATTCATCAGAGTCTGTACAGGAGATCAGAGCGCCGCCTGCCCCCCGCTCCTCTTCCTCTGTCCAGACAAGACAGCCAGAGCAGAGGAGGAGGAGGAGGAAGGTCTGACCTGCCGGTTTACGTCTCACCTCTCACCTTCAACAACCGTGGGAGTCCCAACACCTCTGATGGTGGATTGGCCCGCCAGATGAGTCCAGCCCGGTCCGGCAGTGCGTCTTCACATACAAATACCAGCTGTGCTGGTGAGGCTCTTTTAGTTCATTTATAATTAATTCATGGTCAGAAGTTTATGTTTCCTCATCAGGGGCTTCAATGTTAGTCATTCTGAATGTTTGTTTTTTTAATGAACATGGTAAAAAAAAAAAAAAAAAGGAAAAGGTAAATTTGCTGTGGATTTTCTCCCTTTCACACAGGGTCAAAATTTAACAAATAGCCTCAAATTAATCTCTGGCTTTTTTGTAGCTTTCATCAACTTTCATTTAAATGTGTTGGTTTTCTGGTTCTGACTCATTGGGATATTTTGTTGTAGCAAAATGTTCATCTCACATGCAATAAAAAATCAAATGTGAAGAAATATAATAAAGTAAAGCTAAGTAAAAGTAAAGTGAATAAAAACCTTAATAAAAAACCTTAATTCATGTAAGTCTAAAATAAATAAAAGATGTTGAAACTAAAAGTAAAAACAAGAAATAAAAGGAAAATAGATAAAAATACATATAAAACTAAAATAACATTAAAAAATGATGTAAATTCAAATCGACATGGTTCATATTCAGAAACATCATAAGAACAACCAAGGCTCCCTCTGTACCAACTATCAGGTAAAGTGATAATGACTGGAATAATTAAGACTATTTTTATTTGTTTTTACTTCATCTTTAATCAACAGGTAAAAATTTTAAATAATTCAAATCTATCAAATTTTCAGCCAGAAGTCTGTTGATACAGTTTTACCCTGTCTGCATTAGAGAAAATCCTCCGTCTTTATTTCATACATGATCATCATTATTCCAACTTGAAGTCAGACGTGTTGATATTCTGCAGTCTGACCCCACAGCGCCCCCTGCTGTTAGCTCCACACACACCCACAAAGCCCCAGTGACCCGGGGTGGAGAGGTGACCTCTGCCATGTCAAAAACGGTGAAGATGACCCTGGTCATTGTTCTGGTCTACTCCATCTGCTGGGCCCCGTTTTTCAGCGTGCAGCTGTGGGCCGCCTGGGACCCCGACCCGCCTCAGAGAGGTACGGCAGACCCAAAACACCCAGTTCTGTCAAATTAAAGCAGATAAAAGTTTTAACTCCAAAGCTGTCATTTTCTCCAGTCGTTTAAATTTGCTTTGTTAAGACTTTTTCCAATTCAGTTTTAATTAGTATTTTTGTGTTTGTTAGCTTTTATTGGTGAAATATTTAGTTTTATTAGTTATAGTAATAGCTTTTCATACTTTGGCTAAATTTAAGTGTGAAACTCAAAACAGTCAAAGTATTGTGTTGTGATAAGGCAGATATATATCAATTGGGTAATGCAGTGATGTCCAAATTTAAACTACTAGTGAACAAAAAACCCCAAACTTTTTAAAATGAAATCATCAAATCATTAGAGTTCAAAGGGCTTGGGACTGTTGACACATAAAAAAAAGGTATTTCCCCCAAATGTTTTGGGTCAAGATTTTATTTTGTTGACTAAATTTTCACTATACTAACTTGTGGTTAGAAAGCCAAACAAAATTATTTTATGGGCCACAGTTTGGGCACCTGTGATGTATTGAATATTCAATAGAAGATACCATTTTTAAAATATTCATTTAATTATTGTTGAACAACTAACTCAAACGTTTTCTACCAATTTTTACAGTCGTCAAAGAGCACCATAATTTATCTACAGCTGACTAAAATGTATTTCTCATCTGTAGGAAACACTAAGATTTATAAACTCAAAAACAAAGTATGTTTAGTTTTATAAACACACCATAAAGTTCAATTTAGTTATAGTTTGACTCACTAATTGCTGTGTTTTCTCATTTTCTGTTTACGATGATGACCCTGACCCTACCGAGCGTCTCATATTTACAGACACGGCGTTCACGCTGCTGATGCTGCTGGCCAGCCTGAACTCCTGCACCAATCCCTGGATCTACTCCGCCTTTTCCAGCAGCGTTTCTCCGGACCTGCGGCTGCTGCTTTTCTGCCGGAAGCCTCCTGATCGACGAGGCTCTTTCCCCAACGACTCCACGGCCACTCACACCTCCAACTCCTGACGGCCCAACTCCTAACCCTCACCCAGTGGCCGAGTTAATCACCCGAATAGCTGAGGCTGCAGTTTGACTTTTACATATTTGAAAAATTATGTAAAATGCATGTATGCCTGGTCGTTCATAGTATTACTAATTAAATCAGTCTTCTGTGTGAGAACCGTACACGTCGCCAACGGTGCCCCGCATGCGCACATGAAGAACATTCACAGCTGGAGCCGTTTATGAATCGATTTTAACACCTTTTGCACTTCAGACGAGACGCGTGATCAACTGCTAGAAGTTACTACTGGCGAAAACGACAAAGATAACAGGAAGTGGTAGGTTTACTCGTGGCTGCCATGATTGTCGGATGAACAAGCTAATGAAAACACAACAATGGCAGAATAGTGTTTTCAACATTAGCAAAATAGCGAAATGATGAGCGAAAAGATTGGAAATGGGCCATTCAGAATGAGGGGCTTTCATGAAGGGGGGCAGATTTTGATTGCATTTCCCTGCTATGTGAATTTATCGAAGTTGTTTTAGTGACATGTTACAAGGTGTGAAATGTTGAAAATCCACCTAGATAAAAGTCAAAGCTGTTAGAAAGATGAAACCTAGTTTTGATGTAGATGAGCTTCCCACAGTGGAATGTCTCACTATATTTTCACAGAAACAAGGATTAGATTAGATAACCCAATGATTTCTCTGCAACATGTGTAATAAAGGAGATTCAGCTAATCAGTGGATAAAGGACTGGGTCTTTTGACTCTATATGAAAATTTATGAAGTCAAACTTTTGACCAAGTGATAGTTAAAAATAAAAGCCAGGTTAAAAACATGCACAAATGTAAACATCCACTCAGACCTGCTTTTCGAGTTTGTATGTAGACCCAATGGGAACAGATACTCATTTTATTTAAAAAATTAACAGTTATTAAAAAGAACCCAAGTGTGTTTAAGTCATAAAACCCATTTATTCATGTTCAACCAGAAACACAAAACAATGAAACTGCCACTGCAACCAAGAGAATAAACTTTCCAGAAAAAGGATGCATTTGTTCACCATCTTGAAACATACACAAAAAAAGATGCTGTGGCCAAATAAGTACCGTTCAACAAAAAAAGAAAAAAAAAAAGTTACATAATTTCTGTGGTTTCACCGTGTCCCGTTTTCTATAAAAATAATTTCTCTATCTGCTGTGATTGAAGGAACAAAGTAGGATGAGAGCAGAGGAATGTGTACACACTTAAACAGCAGATGAAGAAGAAACCGTCAATGAAGCCAGAGAGATGGACTTCCCATTAGTACCAGAAACAGCTGAAACAGCTCAACATCCCACATTTGGTCGTGTCTAATTGAAACGTCGCTCCACTCTGGGTCCAAACCATTCAGAACAGACAACCTCAGCGTTTCGCCTCTATATTTATCTGATATGACACTTTGTTCAGTTTCCAGATGATAAAAACTGGTTACAATAAAAACAAAGACAAACTAAATGCATTAAAAACAAACTTCCAAACATGATTGTTGTTAAAAATAACAGCTAAATATCTAATTTTATAGGGAATTTTGTGTTCTAATCACTAAAACACTAAAAAGGTGCCATGATGCGTGAGCTAAAAACAAAGCTGGACTCGTTGAGTGCCAGTGCGCCACAATCAGCTCCAAACTGGTGAGTTAATACTGCAGACGGACCACAGTGAAATTGTTCATCCTCATCCTTATGTTGCATGATGAGCCACTCTGTGTGGAAGATTTGATTTAAAAAAAAAGATAAACAAGCACAGTCAGATGGTTGCAGTCCTGCGCTTTTGTCTGTAAAGTCAGAATTAAAAAGGTTAAAAACACCCTACCTAAAATACACATTTGCCCATGTGTTAGTAATCTTTATAACCGCTCCTTCTGTTTAAACTTTCCTTCCATACCGCAGCTAACAAACGTCCCTACGATCACACGAAGCAAGCTTTTTGTTTACTGACAGTGAAGCGCAGTAGTAAAAATAAATGGGTCAAGTCAGAGTGTTCTCCGTTTGGGTGGTTTAGAAGGAGAAATGTGAAGTTCTGGATGTTTGCAGCATCTCCAGACCCTGAGAGTAAATCCTTGTTGCTTAACCATCTGCTGGTGTTTTAGAAAAAGTAAAATAAAAGTACCTGTGCTCAAAAACCTTTTCCAAAAGGCACAGAAAATACGACCACTCGAGCAAAAAGCCGTTGCTATGGCGTCAGGGTTGTGGTGCGTGGTGCTGCTCTCCTGTGTGCGTGTGTCCGAGTCCATCCGCCCCACCGGCTTTACACCGTGTCCTCGTCCATCTTGGCAACGTCTGCCATTGTTACGGCGTCCGAGTCATGCGGTTTGGGTTGCGTGGGCGATTCCAACATGGCGGTGCGCTCCTCCTTGGTCTCCTCCCGCTCCTTCCTCTCCTCCTCTTTCTTCTCCTTGTCCAGCAGCCGGTAGTTGATGCCCATCCCGACAAAGAGGAAGACGCTGGCGATGATGAGGATGATGCCGCAGGTCAGGTAGGTGTAGTCGTAATGTTGGTAGTAGTTGTAGAAAGTACCTGGAGGAAAGAAATGGTAGGTTTATTTTTTTTATTCATTGGGCTTAAACAAAAGTTTGCATTTTAGAAAGAAAAATCTGAAAAGTGTGGCATGCATTTATTTATCAGTCACTTCAGTTTTTGTAGAAATTCACAAACATACAAAGAAAAAAACAAAACAAAAAAAAGTTCCTTGCATTTTTTCCATGCCAATTGATGGTATAAAGATGGTCAAAAACTTTGGGTTCAAGTGATGCCAACTCCCACCTGCAGGTGGCAGTAATTACTTCTACATGACTGGCTTTGCCTTAATGTCAAGTTAGCCTGTTCAATAGGGGGAGTAATAAAAATAAAGGTATTCAAGTTCTTTAAAGAATAGAAAATGTGTCCAATTTATTTATTTTTATTATCTTTTTTCCTTTTATCTTTAAAAGAAAAAAATATAGGAGGAAAACAGTGGTTGTTTGCCGACATGTAAAGCCAAGCCAGAGAGCGAAGAAAGGCAGAATATAATCAGTTAAAATTGTTTTACACCTGCTTATTATCATTGGTCTTTTTCTTAGGTTTTGTATTTCTTTCAGTGGTTGATGCAGCGCCCCCACAGGTGAGGAGGAGAACAGGATTTTTTTATAGGATTTGGTTTGTTTGACAGCAGTTCGAAAGTGAACCACAGAAGCTGATAACGTAACAAATGTTGCCGTTTTGTCCCCAGCAGAACAGAGTTTACTGGACTTTAAGGTGTGAAAACACCTACCAGTATTAGGAAGTACTAGTTGGTAATTACTCCATGAAACTGGCCGCTCACACCATGCATATGGAAGACTTACTTGTTAGAGGCGGGCCAAGCAGCACAGGTGCGCACTCCACGATGGTGACCAGACCCACGGCTGAAGAAAACCTCTGGGCTCCTACCAGATCCATCAGCGTCTCAAACAGCACCGCGCTCAGCCAGCCGAAGGCGAAGCCAAAGAAGATTGCATACACCACAAATCCAGTGAAGTCTTTCGTCAGCGGCGCGAACACGTGACACACGCCATTGTAGAGAACAGACGCAGCAAAGAAGTACTGCACCTTGGGCCGGACCCACTTGGTGTTGGCCAGCATCCCCATGGAGGGCCGGGCGAACATGTCGATGAATGCCATGATGGAAAGCAGCAAGGCGGCCTTCTCCTTGCTGATTTCCTTACTCTTAGCATAATTGGAGAGGAAGACGAGAGGCGAGAAGAGGCCGAAGAACATGATAACATTGCCCATAAGGTAGAGCAGGAAGCCGCGGTGCTTGAAGAGTGTCAGGTCGATGAAGGTGTTGATGGTCTGCAGGACCGTCTTCTTGGGCTGAGCCGGCGCGTCAGCGTCCGGTTTGGCTGGCTGTGGTTTGGGTCCGATGGGCCTCATCAACGATCCGGCAACGCAGCAGTTCAACAGCAGCCCGCCGAGGATCAGGAAGCTGCCTCTCCAGCCGAACTCATCGTACAGCCACGTGTTGAGGGGCGCCAAGGTGGACAGGAACACCGGGCTGCCCGCCATGGCGATGCCGTTGGCGATTGGACGGCGAATGTAGAAGTACTTCCCGATCATGGTGAGGGCGGGGTTCAGGTTGAACGCCAGTCCCAACCCTGCAGAGAACATGCAGGGGAGGTTAACCCAAGGGGCAAAATGTAGCTGCATTTCTGTTAACCAGAAAATTACACAACCGAAACTATGAAAATAAATTTGCTGAATTAAAAAAAAAAAAAAAATCTAGTTATTTGGTGAAGTTTTTGGGCTCCAATGAGGTGGCAAAAGGTTTTTGGTGGGAACAACAAAGACAACGACAGAAAGTGGTCTTCTTCTTAATTTCATTTCTTATTTAATGGAAACACGGCCATTAAGAGGAATGAGAGATGGAGCTCAACTCTTACCTCCTACTACGCCAATGAAGAAGTAAAGTTGCTCCACGGTGTTGCAGAAGGACGCAGCAACCAACCCTGAACCGGCCAGACAGCCACCCAGGATGATGATTGGTCGACTGCCAAATTTGTTCACCAGGATGCTGCTGATTGGACCTGAGCGGGACAAGAGGAATAAAGATTACAAAAAGAAAACCAGCTTTATCCTTATTACATAAACTACTGAATCAGCTCTCCAGGATTTTTTTTTTCATTTCAGATTCTCTGGAATGAAAAACAATTTATCAGACTATAGATCTGCAAAAGGATTAATAAACATCTAGCTGCTATACAACAGTCTCAGGACAGAGGAAAACTTAGAAAATGTGTGCATCACCCAATCCACCACCAGAGGGCGCCATGTTAGCAAAAAACAAGACAATTATTGTGTAACTGAGACAGAAGGTAGGCCATGAGAGGGTGGAAGAGTGAAGCAGGCAGAGAAAAGAAAAAGACCTTCTCGTCTGGCGCTTTGTGGTGGAATCTCAATGAATCTGAAATCCAGATGGAGTCATGCTGAGATTCTCTGCTGGGTGTTAAAGTTCAGTTCCTGTTCGGTGGCTCAGTGTGCAGCCATGCTGGGACAGAGGAAAGGAGCCAGAGGATTTCTCCAAGCTTTGTTTGCCTCTCTCCAACATTTACTAGTGTTTTAAAACTTTAATTTATTTGATGAAGGTAAATTTAAAACATTGGTGAAGCACATGAAGTTCATGGACATGGAGAAACGTTTTGAATATTTTTGGATGGACTCCCAACAAGTTTGACGAGCTGGTTCGTCAAACTTCACATCGGGTTGGGAAACAGATATCACCCAAGTCCTAGCAACCCTCTTCTGTGTGGAAGTTATTACAGAGTGAAGACTACTCTGTCGTTTTCAGAATCACCGAGCACAACTGAAAAAACTCTTAAAACCGTTTCTCCAGCAATGTTCACTTCTACTGTTGGGCCAAGACTGTTTCCATTCTATATATGTATGAATGTTAAAGTATATTTGATGTTTGAACTATTAAAAATAGGCAGTAAATGTTTGTACCAGATGTTCAACTTCTAACAGGAAATCAGAGCCTTATTCTCTCAAGGTGGACGCAGCCAATTATCTCAGGTTTTCAACATGGGTTACTAGAAATAACCCAGAACTGTAGCATTCAACTCCTCAAGTGTTGTAGCTGCTCACTACCAAACATCCTTCCCCCATTTATCAAAAATAGGATTGCACATCCATTTACAAGGCGAGAAGGCTGGAAGTATAAAATGAGAGATGATCTCAGAAGCG